TGACCTTTCTCAGGACTCACTCCAGTAAACAAGTGTTGTTCTGGGGCACCCAGAGCTGGCAATGGATTTCACTTTGGGCTGTTCAGAAGCAAATGCTTCCTGCATCTTGTCTAACCAAGCTGATTACCAGATACAGCGTTGCAAGTTGTGTAGAACATGAGTCAACTCCCCCGAACTGCTGGCATTGGAGGGCTCTTGTGCACTCTTTTCTCTTCAGGGAACTGTATCCTGTGGTTTCTTCAAGCAAGACTGATGAACAACAGGCTGTTCTTGAGTGATGAGATCTGTTCTTAGGAAGTCTAAGGTTGTGATCCTGCTTTTGTCTTACTGCCTTCTTTCAGGTTCCTGAACTTCACCTGCGCTGCCACTGCATCCAGTAAAAGGATGCTCTGACGAAACACTCTCAAACTTGATGATGACTACATGATACGTGTAGTGATGAGTGATAATAGCTTGCTGTTGTGGTCTTCTTGACAATGTGAGCTTGGGATTTCACTTTGGGCTGTTCAGAAGCAAATGCTTCCTGCATCTTTTCTAACAAAGCTGATCACCAGCAGCAGTAGTTCACCTAATGGAGGAAACAAAAGTATTGTTTGATACCACAAACTTGACTGTTTCATTTTCAATGTTTATTGAGTGGCTGCTGCCTTGTAATTTCCACAAGCCCTTGACTCTTAAGCGAACTGTGTTGAGTAAGCATTTATGGAAACCGAGTAACAGAATATATTTGTTATTTGTCTGAACACAGCAGCTCTTGGCTAGACCTGTCCTGTCAACAGTATACTTCTTCCCAAAGATGGGTAGCCCTTGAACCAGAGCAAGCAAGTTTAGACAAATGCACTGAGTTAAAGTCACTTGGAAGTCTTAAAAAATTGAGCATGTGTTAGTATGTAGTTTACTAAATTCACAAATTTTTCAAAAGTGTACTCAAAGATTCAACAGCAGAACAACTGTGTCTAATACTGTACTGGCTACAGTAGTCTTTGGTACCATGTTTCAGAAGCAAAGGTTTTAGGTCAGAGAGCACTTAAATAAGGCTTTTGTTGTTCCTTTTCTGCTTCAGCAGCAGAGATGGAATAATATTTTTTCCACTCATTGTACACGCACTTCGTATAACGCATGGTCTGGAAGATCTTATGCAGGTGTAACACTAACATAATTTTAGTTCAAGTTGAGTAATTCAATAACAGCATTGAGGGGAGGAACACACACTCACTATATAAAGCTTCCCTCTCAACTTTAGGCTTATCAATTACACCTTGAGGGAAGATGCTCTCTTTGCATTTCTTCATCTCTTTTAAACAGAGTAAGAGCAATGGTGTTGAGACAACTGAACAATGTTCTCCTAATAATGCATCAAATAGTCCAAGTACTAGCTATTGCTGCTTCTGGTTTAGAACAAATAAACTAAAGCATGACTTTACTTCTCCTACTACAGGTGCTACAAATTGCAGTCATGTAATATGTAATTTAAACAGTTGTTTCACCTATTTTAAATTGTCAAGCAACTGATTATTGCCCACCTTCCCCTTTCCCCTCCTTTTTTTTTTCATTTCTGCCTTTGTTTTGAGGCAATTATTTAATATTCCAGGGTTGAAGATTTTTGGTATTTATTTTATTCTCTAGGGATTTTTCTGTAAAGGCTGTAATAGCACCATTCACTCTTTCTTTGTGTCCATTTGCCACAAGTATTTTTTTGTCAAGGTGTCTGTATGTTCTGTGCTCATTTGACTTGTACTTGCTTTGTGGTCCAGTTCAAAACTTGGTCTCCAATGTTATAATGTTTTGAAGCAGTTTGCAAAAAGCCTGCCTGAGATTGCTGAAAATGAGTGCTTGTTTTCTGTGAGCTAAATGGTATCAACAACTGAGTTAGATAGTTGAAGGCTAAAGACCTTTTGCCAGCGGAAGCTGATTGTCAGCGCAGAGTACCAAGACCTTTACAAATGACAGCTAGCAGCAGCTTACAATTGTTAACCAGCAATAGAATTAATAATTTAGCTAAAAAATCCAGCTGAGCCATATCAGATCTTGTTAAACTTCAGGTAGTAGAGGAGTTGTGGTTATAATTAACACACGTGGTTTCCAACAGGAAATTACTCATGATCTGCTTAACATTGTTTTCCATGAATATATTTGCCCATGTTTTTCGGAATATTAAAACATCTTAGTGTTTTGGTATATGGTTTTAGTGTCCTTTTTTCTGAATACTAAAACCATCTTAGTGTTATGGTATATAACAGTAGAACTGTGAACAATCATATGTGTCTTTGTTACATGCAGATACATTGTGAATACATTAGTGTTATGCATAGTTATTGTAGGTCGCTCAGAACTATTTATAAAATTAGTGTGATGAGATATTTTTTATTAATTGCTTACTTGTTCTGAAGGTTTGTTTGGGTATGGAAGAAAGTATACTTTCCTCCTTGAGGTTTCATTTTTAGAAAATATAGGGACATAATTGTGGATTCTTACTATGGCATTTCTGTCCCAAACTGTTTCCATGTAGAATTATTCAAGCCCAAAACTTGCTGAAGATCAAGACTGCCACAGTGGAGCAGTTCAGACTGTGCTGCTGTTTGCAGCATCTTTAATGGTTGTTGTATGAATGAGGGAGATCTTAGCACCATCAGTAAACCCACTGCTGATCTTTCCTGTTTGCTCATTGGAAAAAAACATTGTGTAGGTGTGACAAATGAAGCTAATCTGCCAAATGGCAGAGGTTTTATTACTATGGAAATGAGCCTAATCTTGGGGGGAGGGAAAAGGCTTAATTTGGGGGTTTTTCAGTTGTATGCATAAACACGAAGAAATGCTTGCAAAAAGTACAGGGACTGGTCCAGTGAAATATTTACAAGATGAAAAAGTGTTTTTAATGTTTGCAGGCTGTAACAAATTTGGAGAGTTTTCAAGGATTTTGGCAGGAAAGATTGAATTTGAAATGTCTTGGCAACTTGAATTAGTATCTTTTAAAACAAAAAGAAAAAAGCTATGCTTATAAAGTTGTCTGTGGGTAAGTGCAAATCATACTGTGTTTAAAAGGCATAATTATTAGCACAGATAAATAAAGAGTATTGGAAGCTCAATTTCGAGGTTTGCAGGGAAATGTTTTCATGCTAGTCTGGGTTAAATAGGTCTGCTATGCCATATGGCTGTGGAGCTGCCGAATAATACCTGGAATGCAGTTTAAGTGTGACCTTGGAGGCATATGAGACATTTCTTCTTCCTCTTCCTAACAGCAAACAAGTATTGTTTTCAGCTTTGGTCAGCATCATTTATGTGTGGTATGGACTGAAAGAGCCCAGAGGATATTTTAGTCAGGACTTTTAAACTGAAAGTTGGGGTGCAAGTTTCATAAAAGGTCATTAGGTCCAGAGCAGAAGATTGAGTGGCTACAGAATGGAAAGGACTGCACTGTTCTTCATGTTTGACAGCAGAATAAGAATTAACTGCATTAAATGCTAATGAGGAAATGTGTCTAATTAAAGAAAAACTAAATAGTGAGTTAGACTATGGAGTTTCATTGCTGAAATTTGAGCAGTAAAGGTTATATGAAGTTTTTCTTCCTTGCTTCTTAAATAGCTTGTGTACTGTTACCTATTGAAACTTTACTGTTGGGGGAACCTTGAGCAGTCATCTCCATTCTCTTTGTAAGCTTTAACTTTCTGAGGATGGCGAGGGAATTCCCGCTCACTGAATCACTTCTTTTAACTCCAGGATAAGGGTGTTTGTTCCTTATAAGCAAAGTGGTGAGCTGGTTTGTTTCTGCAGGAAGTGTCTTGAGGAACATACCTTCCTCTTAATATAGGTCAAAAGAGGAAAAGTGGTGAAATTTCTAGGAGGAGGCTTTCTTGGAATACTCTGCAGGAATTCTTTGTTGGAGCTTGTATTCTCACTGCTGGCTGTTGGTCAGGCTTCAGTGTTTCCAGCGTTTAACTGCTGGACCACTATGCTTTTAGAACCTCAGCATTTTTATTTAGAACAATGTTGCTTGAATGAAATATTAAGGTTCTTCTGATTCTCAATCTGTTACTGAAAATGCAATTTCTCACTGCCTGGGATTTTCAGATATGATAGTTTTATTTTTCAACTAATCTGAACTGTAAGCTATTTGAGTAAAGTTTGTGGTACAAAGGAATGTTAGCTTTTGCTTGAAGTCCTGTGTAATGTGAGCTGTATGCTGCATAGGTAACATATTACTTTTTTTTTTTTTTTTTTTTGGTAGAATTTATAATCTGAAAAAACAGTAGGTTAAAAAACATGCATTTCAGAGTAATCTCAGTGATGGTGACAGAACAAGCATGTGAGCATATGGTATCTTTCTTGTATGATAGTTTTTGGTTGGTTTTTTTTTCCCTGGGTAATAAAATGAAGGAGAAAAAGAGTGTGGTAAGAATGAGGTGTGGGCAGGAGAGGATTAAATGAGCTTAGAGAAGTGTGTGTGTGCTAGATCTGTAATATAAAGGAATGGACATTAAGTCTATAATGTGAGGGTAGAAAAAGTCCAAACAAAAGGTAAAGAAACTGCAGTTTCTTCCATCAGTTGAATCTTCTGCTAAATGATATATTTTTAAACTTACTTTTTGTCTTGGAAGGCTTGAATCTTTGTGTGATTAAGACTTCACGAGGCAATGTTTTGTACTAACAGCTTGTTTTACTGAGAATTGTCAATAATTCTAGCATTGCTGTGGCACTAACAAACTTGTAATAGAAGCAATAGGGCAAGCCAATAGAAAGCTCAGGAACTTGTTTCTCTCCTAGTATATATTCTGCTTAAATTGATGAGAGTAAAGGTGCATAATTCAGTGGAACATTAGGAAAGCACAACTTTAAGTGCTTTGTATTCTGATTTATACTCTGAAATTATACCTGCAATTATTCCCTTTGCATATGAGGAAAAAAATTTAGAGCACTTCTGACATTTTTTCCCTCTGTGCTTATTACTGTGAGGTACAGAAGGGAGTTTATTTTGTTCTCATTGCTTTTTTCCTCTTTTTCAGAAGTAAGAAACTTTTTAGCAAGAAAAAGTTGAAAAGAAAACAGAAGACTAAATTGAAAGTGAAAACACGCAACAAGGTAAGCCTGTAACTAAGTTGACAAAGTCCTGACTCAAAAATGACAGTAACTTCAGTTGAGAGTAATGCAAGAACACCTAAGTGTGGCTAACAATGTGTTTAGAGGAGTTAATAATAGAACAGTATTGTCTGTTTATTGTATCCTACATGACTGTGATGCCAATGTTAACCTTATTCAACTGCTTTTGGTACTAATGTTCAACAGGAAATTATATGAACAGTGTTTTTAGTTCTCCAGTTCCTAAACCCTAAGTGTAGCTAAACATATTGGTCTTAGAGGTAAATTTTGAGATCTGTGTCTAGCAAACAGTTAGAGACTAGTGCTGCAAAGATTTAGCCATATTGGCTAAAGGAGAATGGGAGCATTCTGAGGACTCCAGAATTACCTCTGAAAATTCCTCCGTAATGGAAAATGGGGTAAATGATACCTAAGTGTTTCTATTAATGTTTTCTCCCCATGTAACCCCTGCCTTCAATCACTTTAAATGCATGGGAACCATACAGTGAACTTAATAAAAATGTTTACATCTTTATTCTTTAGAGAGCATAAATTTATGCAGAAACAGTGCTATTTTAAAATACTGCTGTGCTGCATTCTTTCTCTATTAGAGAGCTATTATTTCTCTATTTAAGCTACAGTCTTGGAAGGATTTTCTTGAAGGCTTGCTGCAGACTTGAAGGCTTGTAGTCAGTAAAGAGAAAACTAATTTTTGGAATGGTTCTGAAGGACAGAACTACTGAAATATCCAGTGAAAACACTTTCTAGTCAGCTGAATGTCCTTATAATACACATGCACTGTAGAACCACTTGGCCATCTTATCCCTATTTGCCAAACCTCATGTAGTTACTGTATCTCAAGACAGATGGCTTTGGAGGGTGAAGCAAACCCTCTATCTGTTCATTTGGTATTGACTTTTTGGAGACATACCAGATTATTCTGCTTATCTCAAGTAGTGCAGCTTCAGACTATGGTATAGAAGGAGCTTATCTTCATTTCTGTTCTCAGCACTGTACAGTAAAATATTTGTGGTCCAAACTGAATTTCTCAGTTCTTTCTTCAGTTGCTATAAGAAGTTTTAGCTCTGTCCTCTCCATGACTTTATCAACCCACTGTCAACAAAGAAAACCAAGTTAGAGATTCGAAGAAATATCACAGAATGTAGTTAGTTTGTGTGTTCTGTCTGGTGACGGAAACTTGCGCTTTTAAAATAAGATAACTCTTCGACTTTGATCATTGTTACACTATAAAGGGACCCTTGTCTGTCTGGTTGGTGGAGCCCTAGTTTTAATGCCAAGTAGAAGGCTAAATACAGAATGGATGTTGACAAGCTTAGCAGTCCTATGTAGTTCTTAAATTTAGTTGCATTGGATAAATGGAGTGTCAAGATCCTTTGGCCAACACAATGTGAACATACTAAAAGCTAGTTGTTGTGGGTAGTTATGGATATGGCACTAACTGATCATCTCCTCAACTCATCCCTGTGCAAGGTTGTTCTCAAGATTTTCTTGGGTTTAAGTCAGCTTCTACTTAAATCTTTGAAAGTTATAATGAGGTTTTTTTGTCTTTATTGATGCCGTTATCTAGACAATGTCTGAGGCAGACCAGGGCTGACCATTAGAACATTGGTCTTCATTCTGAGTGACTCGGGTATAGAAAGGCATTCCTGCTTATTTCAGCATGATAACAAAAAATTGTGTATTTCCTGAAAAATGTAGCAGAGAAGGGAAAGATAAAACCAATTTCATGTCTTGAGGTTATGAAACTGACAAAGTGGGGTGGTTTTGTTTATTGGTTTTTCTGTAGTTGTTTTTTTGTGGGAGGGATTTTTTGGTTTTGGGTTTTTTTTTAATGTACTTTTCAATGTATCCCAATGCTTATCCTGGCAGAATCAGCACAGTGATTATTTTTGCACTGGAATGTCTGAAAATGGATGTATCTATTGTCAGGAAAATGTGAGCTTCCATTTGGAAGCTTTAAAATAGAGCAGATTGAAAAGTCTTTCACTACTGGACATTCTGAGCAGTAGAGTTTATGTGCATCAGTTTATTTTTATGAGAAATGGGGTCTTTTAGTCTGAACAGAGATGGAAGCTTTCTCTTAATATACTTAGTAGAGGCAGAGAGGGCCTTAAATCAAGAATAAGATGAAGGAACCCAAAAATTTGTTATTTATATCCTGTGCTTACTAAAAATGATTGTGTAATGGAAGAGGAGAGAACTTTAGAAGAGAAGTAATTGTTGAGCAACTGGAAGAAAATTATTTCCACCATTTAAGCATTAAATGTTAGAACATTTTAGGTATAAAACTAATCGGAGTTTAAACAGCTCAGTAGTTTGACCCTTGTTCTGTTTCTAAGCTGGGTCGTGGTATGATCACTGGGCTTTGAACTATCACTAATTTCTGAGTTTGTGGTTTAATTTCTATTTTTAAATGGAGGTATAAAAGTTTTTTATGTGGTGCAGTCTATTTCGGCTTTAGAAATTCACTGCTGACATAAGTGACTTTTGCATAGAAAACAAATATCTGATTGTTAGGCATGGATATAGCACTTCGGATTCCAGTCCCTACGTGCCTCCTCCCCACTTTTTTTTCCTTTTGGCAAAGAATATCGCCAGAAAAGGCCGTGTAACTTTTCCCAACTCTACGAATATTGCTGCTAACCCCTCCTTCCCTCTTCAGACACCCTGGATATTTTTCCCCTTTGCTATTAATACATGCAAGTGCTGCTTAGGACACTTGGATTGAGAGAGACTTACACAGAAAACTACAGTTCACCATATTCTGTTTTCATAATGCTATTTGAAGAATACTGAAAAATTGGAGTCCACCAAACACAGCTTGTACTGGAAATGATTGGTATCTACCTGTTCATGTAGAAGTTTTAAGCTATGACTTTTTTAGCTTTTTACAAATGGGAGTAATAAAACTTTAAGGGGGAGGTTTATGTAGCAGAAAAATTCATTGTAAGCTAATGAATAGATGTATAAAACAGATTGACCGGGATGAATATTGTCTCATTAGAAACACATGTAGGTTCTCAAATAATTTGGCATTGTTTTCAGTGGCTTTTGTATTATTTGGTCTTTCAACCTCAAGAGGGCATCCCTTTCTAAGAGATCTTTTGACTGTCTGAAAAATAATTGGGTGAGCTTCTCTTCTCAGTGTTACACATGGATTAGATCAGATGGTTATTATAACCTGACCCATCTTTAACAGCAGATTAACTTTCCTCTCTTAGATTATTGTTTATTTCCATCATATTTAAGAATAAACCATTACCACAGTCATCTGATTCAAGAGGAAGAAAACAAATAGAAAATAAGCTGTGTATGGGTTTCATCTTTAGGGAAAACAGTTTCTTTAGGTGTGAGACGTGTAAAGGTTTTTCCCCACTTCTTTCCTTGAGTGTACTGGAACATTACGAAAGGCTAACTGAGAAGAGCAGTTAGGTTGCCCTTATCTTTTGAACCAAACCTGTGCTGTTTACCCTCTCCTGCATAATTCATTCTTCCAGTTAGCAGGGACTGTATGTCTACAAGGACAAGCCAGGCATCAGGGTGTGAGCATCTGCACTTTGATCTCTCCCTCATAAGAGTCTTACCTTTCCGAAAATAAAAAGTAACACACAAGAAAGAAAATCTTCACATATTAGAACTGTCTTCGCCAATGGTGGGTGTTTAAGTTTTGCAATGTATGTTTCACCACGTATCTTCATTTGATAAAGGTGCATATTTAATTTTTGGTGACAGCAAATCAAACAGCAAAGATGAAGGTTCAGAACATTCCACTGTGTTACAGCTCATATGAAAACTGCTGAATCAAACAGCATAATTCTCTTTTCCAGTCTGTAAGCTCTCTTCTTTTTGACAGTGGTGGCAATTTAATTTTCCAAGAAACCACGTGCTTTGGGAGCAAAGCTAGTATAGAAACTATCATCTCATCTTCTGTGTAGGCACTTTGGAAGCTGAGTTTGTAGTCAAATTTAATGAGCGTTTTGGATTGCAATATTCCAGCAGCCATTAAGAATTGGACATTCAGAGGCAGAGAAAGTGATTGCTGCTCTTCACCTTATTCACAAGTGTCATGTGAATCTCAGTACCCTTAACACCATGAAAACAAGCTGTAAGGCATTGTTTCTTTCTGAAATAATTTATCCTATAGCTCAAGAGCAGTCTGTTTGGATTATTAATAATTCTAGATCTGTGCAAAATTAATAAATTTCTTTAGTGAGTTCTTAGAAGTTGATTAACATTTTGGTTTAATGTTCTGCTGTTTTTCTTGGCAATGTAGATGTATTTTATGCCAACATGAAATGCAGTATCATTAAGAGAAATTTAAGTTAAAGTAGACTTTATTAGTTTGATAAAAGAACTACTAAGTGAGGTTCTGTAGGTACAGGTGTTGGTTAGATTTTCTTACTGATCTATTCTACCTCAAAATCTGTGAGTCTGCAGCAAAATTGTACAGGTGTATCATGAGTCTCATAATATTGGGGAAGTTTTTCCGACTGTGTAGAGGTATTGATTGGCTGCAGAAAAGTAAACTTTCAAGTGATGGTAGAATGAACTTAAATACCAGTTTTCTGACTTGCTCAGTGTATCTGACCTTCGTGAAGTTAGGAATCTGGAAAGGAAGAGCACTTGTTTCGTGTGGAAGGAAATCCTGATGTCCGTTTTGAACGGTTGAAGAAAAGAAAAAACAACCAAAAAAGCTGCTCACTGAATGAGCATTTGCATTAGAGGGGCAGAAAGTTTTACTGGTTTTTTTTGTTGTTGTTGTTGTCAGCTCTGTTCTTGCCTTATGTGAAGGAAATCTAAGAAGGTGATGTTTGTACAACCTGCTTATATATGTCAACTTTTGAACAGATGTTTCTTTTGAAGACCTAGCAGATATTACAGATAGTTAAATCCCTTAGACTTCAGAAATCCATCACAAATCACATCAGTGTTTTTTACCTTATGACGAAGTTTCTGGAGAATGTTGTGCTGTACTGAAGTCTCAGTAGGCAATTAGTGTATGCAAGTATTGTTCATGCACTGTTGTAGAAAAGTAAAATATTGAACACAGAATAGTTAAAGTACTTACTGGTTAATAGTTGTAAAGTATTGAAAATAAGAAGTTTATTTCTGAAAATTAGTCAGTCTGTTATTAATAGGCAAGAAAACATACATTGATTTTTATCTAGCACAGTAATGTCTAAAATTACCTGTGCTTGTTTAACTGTTTGGCCAGTCTGTTTCAAATGAGACTATATGAGCTACAGAACTTAGGCTCTTGTGGATCAAAGACTTAGCTGAGCTGACAAGAAAGAATTGGAATGGAAACTCTCAGAAGTTACAATTACCATATGTGATATTAACTAGGTGAATGAACTTTCAGATAAATGTCTGGAGCCTCGTCCTGTAACTGTCAATGAAAACTTTAGTAAACTAAGTTTACTGAGGAGTTTAATCTGTGCCATTCAACGGAGCTAGCTTTAAAGCTGAAAGTTTGTACTATGTGTTTGCCTTAACAGGAGCTGCAAAAACTTTTGGGGTAATGTGTATGGATACTTGATGAACAGAAGAGTTACATCTTTATAACAATTCAGTTTTCTGGTGTCAAACTTCAAAGTATGTGGGAGCTCATTATCAAGGGGGTCAATCCAAATTTATTTTGATTCAGTTTGATACTGGAAGAACATATGAGGTTGTGCCTTGGGTTATTGCACTGATTAATGTTGTGGGATTTCTAGCAAGAGCTTTACTATTTCAAAGATACTAATATTGAACAAGGACTAAACTTTGCTGTCTTTCAGTTCTTAATGGCAGAAGTTGTGTTGAGCTAAAGAAAAAAACCTGCCAAACTTGAGTATGTGTGTAGGGAACTTTTTCCAGCTTTTTCTTTTCTCTACTTCATTATCTTTATATTTTTGTGCTTACTGCTACCACTGATGCAGGTGAGAAAAATTAACACTCAATGTGTTTGATAAAATAGGTTGCATACTAAAGCATTGTTTCTTAATGTTCTAGCTTGCAGTAACTTTAGCAATAATGGAAAGGAAGGATAGGCAAATAGCTACCAGTACAGCCAGAATGATATTACAGTCAAAAACAGGGAATATATGTGAACAATGAAATATTTTCAAGTAATTTTGAATTTTTTTGTTTATGTTTTGTAATGTATGGTGTTAAAAGGTCTATCGTAGAGTCTTGTGTTATTTCTGGTATTAATAAAAATGTATGTGCAGATAGAAGTCTTTTTGATGTAGAAAATTGTGGCAACCGTACTGTAGAAAAACAAATCACCTTATTAAAATATAACCCAATTCACTGATTCTCAAATTCCTTTTACCTCTCCTCTGCTAGTTTAATGTTCTCCTTCCCATCACTGCTCTCAATGATCTGCTTCAAATCACTGTAGTATAATTTACTGTGTAATTTCATGCCAGATGAATGTGGCAAGGCACAGTATTAATACCCTATCAATAAAACAAAACAAAAAAAAAAGACAAAAAGCCTCGACTCTCACTGTGCCCTTCCTCTGCCTATCCCTCAAGAATATGAGAGAGAAACCAAAAATGGCCTTGTGAAGTTAGTCATGACCCTGAGTCTGTCTGGCCCAATAATCCCCCTAATTTTGCCTTGCATGGTCAAGCGAATTTGTCCTGCATTCTTAACCCGGCCCTTCTCTCCTTGCATGGTCTTTGTGCCATCTGTCTACAACAAGCTCTTACAGAGAATTGCTTCTTCCCATATGCCTGGAATCCAGTTTTCAAAGCCTGTGCTGATACCAGCCTGGTCTTTGCTTGTACGCAACCAAATGGAAAGTGTAACCCTGCTTAGGAATTAATTGTTGTGGAGTTTTGTTTTTAAAAGTCAGTCATACCTCCTTTCCCATTTTACTGTTTCAGACTGGGAAAGTACAGGGCAGATTTTTAAAAAATGGTTTCTCTTATTATTTTTCCAAGTTTAGTGACAGCCTCATGAAGGCTTCTTTGTGTCTTGGCCAAGGCTGATAATAATACATCAGTAGTAGGCTCCGAGGTGGGCCGTGGTAGTGGTAGTTATTCAGAACAATTTCCCAGCTCATACTTTGTGGCTCAGGGCTTCTGAAGACAGAATGGTGTCCTGTTAAGTCGTAGGCCTTGATTTCTTTATTTAGTAATTAGTCCATTAGATAATTATTCTCGAAACTATTAACTGCAGCATCCTCACAGGAGTTTTTAAACTTGTCATCAGTTTTCATCTTATGACAAAGTGAGGTTTTTTTAATTTCTAGTATATGTTTAACAAACATGTTAAATTTTTAGTATTTACCAGCAGGTTAAAACTAACAACTAGAATAACAAGGCATGAATTTAAAAATTCAGTTATAATTAAAACCTCCAAAACAGATTGCTGTTGAGGAGATAAAGCTTGATTCTTCTATTCTTACCACTGTGACACAGGTTTGGACCATTCTGTAGCCTGAGCTGCTGTCATTTTTAGTCCCACTGTTCTCATCAATGTTCGCATCAAGTTATGAGAGGTAGAGGCTAAAGCTAGACAGAATCTCTTGAAATGTCTTCCTCTTCTTCCTTTCTTCCCTGCCTGAAATAGAGCTGGTACTTCAGCAGGAAAGTTGTCTCCAGTTTGGAAATAATTTGGTCTGTCAAAATTGAGACTGTTGAGATTATTTATATTTAGCAAAGCTTGTAACTTTACTAGTAAACTAATAAACGAAAATTAAAACTGATCTTGTTTTTCAGACTGAAAGCCTAGAGAGTACAATAACCATACCAGATATCAGATTACATAGCAATCCTTCAGCTTTTAATGTTTACTGCAATGTCCGCCATTGTGTGTTGGAGTGGCAGAAGAAGGAAGCGTCTGTGTCTTTGGCCTCAAAGAACAGTGTCCAGAGTGGGGATTCAGACAGTGATGAAGAAGAGGAGCCCAAAGAGCCACCTATTAAACTTCCAAAGGCAAGTAACTGATACCACTTAAAGTATGCCATGTATGTCACCTGAGGTAGGTATGTTCTTTTTGGGGATTAAAGAACCGCAGTATAAGCCAGCTGCTTAGAACACTGCTGTAGTTTTATTTGTAGTCCATCTAGTCCAGAATCATTTGATGAATTAGGATGATCTGTGTACCTGCCCAAATTAAAGTCAGTTAAATGTCAGGTAAACACTCAAGTTGCACTCATTTTAAAGTGTTGGTACTTGAACACCTACAGCCTCAAAATCTGAACTGAAATTATGCAAATAAGGCAGCTCTTACGTCTCTGAGAGGCTACCAGCTCATAATGGTAAAGGGTGCTTTTTTTGCTTTATCCTTCAAAAAGAATAAGTCTTTCTAAAAATGGAAATAATTTGGTGGAATGGTTCCTCAGATGTTTTCCTGGGTATGCATGTAATTGCAGTAACAGTCAATTATTCTTTCCCTTTTTTGGCTTTACTGTCCTTGTAGTGGTACTGACAGCTCTAGATTCTAATGAATGTTGAGATTTTGATGCTGTGGTTGAACAGTTAGAGTGGGTTTTTTACTATTGACTGCTTCTATGCTTATAGTAGGATTAATGGTGGAAAGTCAGAAATAAAGGACTTACTGATTTTTTTCTTATTTTTTTTCAACTTGTTGGTTCACTTGTTTTTTACTGTGTATTACAAAGCTGTGTGTTTAGTTTCGTTCATTGCTACCTTATCAGTGCTATGGAATGTACTTTGTTTTGTTGTTCTTCTGAATCTGAAAAGCATATTCAGATTACCTTCCCTTGCATATATTTGGCCTAAAACTAATTAAAATGCTGAATTAAAAAAGGTGGTTACAGCACTGGTTATGTACAATATTTGAGTGGCTTAAAAATTAGGATTTTATAGATGATTGCATTTAGGTGTTCTCTGAGAGGCAGGGTTGGCACTCCAGAAAGTAATGGTGAATTGCAGAGAAGCATAACCAAGTCAGCCAACTGAAATGTCATGACTGATGATTGCAAAATATGTGGTTGCTGGAAATAAAGTCAGCATTGTTTATGAACTGCATCTGAGTACTTGTGGATTGTATCAAATGAATCAGCAAGTGCTTGTAAAGATGCTTAATTTTAAAGGCAGTGTAGCTACTAGCACTTATGGGGAATGGAATGACGTTTTAAAAAGATGTTGAAATTAAAAGAGGTTCCAAGAAGGGTGAGATTTATCAGTGATATGGACAGAAGACTTGCATGTGGAAACCAAAGCATTGGTATTGTGTTGGACAGTTAATTACAAAGATGGTGGCTTAGAAAAAACCATAGAGAAACTGTAGGTAACAAACTTCTCTCAAAATAGAAAATTGTTGAGATTTTTGTTGCGTTCAGTACAGCAAATACAAAATTGGTGAAAATCAGTATGTTTTCACACTGTTAATTTTTAATGAAGAGTCTACAAAATAGCAAATTTGAGAATTTTTGGTTCAAAAATATATTTAGATGCCTGTACAACCTCAGCATTTTTCGTAACTGTCTAGGTAATACAGGGTTGTTTAGGTCACTTGGAGGTAGCAATTTGAGTTGCATTCATGCTTTTGAAAATAGCATCTGCTTGGAATTGTCTCACATGTAGTAAAACTTCTATGGGCTGACTGTGTAAATGTCTTGGTATCCTGGATACAGGTGTCTGTCTCATGACAATGAACAATATTTTGTAGGGTTTAGTTTGTTAACTGCAAAGAAGAAAGTTATTATAAAGTTTCTAAGGTTTACAATATTTACAAGACAGATTTCTGATAGTAATTGTTAGTTTATTAAAAAGAATACTGATATATTTTGAGTTTGACAGTGAGGTGAAATATGAAAAAATAGTGTGGCTGGGGTTTGTGCTTTTAGAGATTCTCCAGAGTGTAGTCCTTGGTATGTTGGTGGTTTTTTGTTTAATTGAGAGTTAAGTTGAAAACATTCTACGTTTTTGTACCTTAAGGTGACTTCAAGTGTTCTATTGAAGTATTTTTCTTTCAGATCTTAAACTTGAGGAAGTCAGATTTGTTAGAGCCTTTAAGTAGAATGTATTTTGGAATCAGAAGTTATCCTATGCAATTTCTATAATAAGATTGAGAATAGTTGTTTTTAACATTGAGACAGACTTTGCTGCTTTTCAGATACTAGCACAACAAAAAATTTGTGTTTTGGTTGTGTTCAGATACTTTAGTAACTTGCTTTGATAGCTTTATATTTTTGGTTTTCAGGAAATACTTGCTTTTGTCTGATATACTTATTTGCTACCTTATTTATTTGTTTTCTTAGCTAATGATGAGGAATTCTGTCTACCTAAAATGGAGTAGGTTCAGTTCTGTTGGTAAGATTTGTAATTTGCAGAGTCAAGAAGAGGTATTTCCCACACCCTTCACCATCACCGCCTCCCCTCCCCATCAAGTTTTAAACTTAAGGCTGAGTAATGAATGATCCACAAAAGCCCTGTACTAAAAGGGACAAATACTGGATTAAAGTGATTAAGGGGGAATTAACTGACTTAAATACTCTTTGTTCCTGCACTGGCATACATTTTGTTAATAACCTTAAGCAAAAATTTAAATATTTAAGTTGTAACAAAAAATAAAAGACAATTACTTTTTTTAGAGACTGATTTTGCGCATTTTAAAATTCATTAGGAGAATGTTACCTTTGTAAATGTTCCTTCTTTTGTGTATGTATATAATATAAATCAATTCAGAGTAGTGTGTAGTTTTAATTACAGAAATGTGAGCACTGGGTATAATGCTCACAGTGAGAGGAAAGATAAAGGAAATAAAACAAGAGCACAAATAAGACTTCAAGATGAAATGGGAGGGGTTTTAGGAATTAGGAGTCACAATGTCAGCATCCAGGCTAGAATTTTGGGTACCTTTTGTTAAGCAGTCTTAAACTTTTGATCTGAAGTCTCAAAGGTGTTGCAAAGGGAATGCGAGAATGGTTGCACAGAGAGCATCAGTAAGAGCAGTCAGGCTGTGACACAGAAGCTGAGGCAGAGCAGTGCTTGTTTTGGCTCAAAAACTCTTCAGAGAGCAGTGAGAACAAGCTTAAGACATCTTAAAAAGAGCTGTTTGCTTATTCTGTCCTTCAGAGGACAATTGGGAGGAGAGAGGTAGACATACACACGCACACACGCACATATATATATATATATGTATGATATACATACATGAGATAATACAGTGAATGGACCTATTTTATAATACAGTGAATGGACCTATTTTATGAAGACTACCCAGTCTCTTATATTTAAATGATCTCAGATATTTGAAAACCAACCCAAAACCTATGCAGAATTGATAACATCCCAGCAGAACTCTCTCTTATTCCTACTGTAGTAAGTGGAAGTTTACCAAACATTTTCCACTGTGTTATGTTCTCTGCTTTCTATAGCTGCCTCTGTCAGCTCCTAGATGAGGTTTTCTGTCTGAAGATTATGAAGAATGAACTTAGTTTCTCTCAAAGACACTATAACTGAACAGGAAGGGCATTTCTAAAAATGTACTTACAATGTATTTTATTTTTTAACCTTAGGATGATATGGTGAAGTTTAGATCCTGGAAAAAACATCATGCCATTATTATGTTGACAGTTTTTTTCACTGTAGATTCCATGTATGTGTTATCCCCCTACTCCATTGCAGATGTGAAATGTAAGGTGTAATTAGTAGGAAAATTGCTGCTGTGCTTTGAGGACTTGACTTGGTTGTGTTTTTATCCTTCCTCCAAGAATAATATAGATGGTAAAATAGTTTCTGAAGGACGGGAATCAAGTTAAAGGTCAGCAAAGACAGGTAGAAGGCATCCAGTAGAATTTAGAGTTGACTGCCAGAATATATATGTTTTAAGCATGGGTGGCAGGTGCATTAATGATGTTATTCATTTTAACATTTCTCTCTTTTTCCTTAGATTTTACTCAGGGGTGAGTCTCTGTTAACCACTCTATGGTGACTCTACTCTTGAGCAAAACACATAGTGAAGTTTTTAAAATACAGCTGCTTATTTGTAGTCTGCGAACCCTCCTCTCTTTTCTTTCATCTTCATTATTACTAAATACATTGTTGGAGAAGGAGGTGCAAGGGAGCAGTCAGTGAAGAGAAGCATGACTGTAATCTCAGAATAGTCAGGAATTCTGAAAATGAAAGTTAGACATGGCTGTAACAGGGCTTTAAACATGTTCTGTTACTTGGCTTAATGCATGCCTTTTACGAGTACATATGGAGTTTTAGTGCCTAGCAATTAGTCCTTGTTTTTGTCACAATATAAATTTATTTTGTCACAATATAAAAAATAATCTCAGAGCCTTTGGAGGGGAAAGTTCTAGAGCTGCCAGTATCAGCTGTCAAATGTATTGTTATTCAGGATGTGAAGCCAGGTTGCAAGACCGTTCTAGTTTGCTGGCTCACATTAATGAGCAAGGAAAAAGAAGACTGTCAAATTATGAACTGGAGAGAAATTAGAAGGGCTCAGAGGTCCTGTTTGCCTTTTATGGTGCAAAAAATTTTAAGCTTCCTTATTCTTTTGAGAAACTTAGTCTGCTTAGATATGCACTTTTATGTAGTGGCTAACTTATGTGTAATATTTGCTGGTATAGTTGTATAGGTGGATTCTTGATTTTGATTCTGGTTTAACACTGTATTTTATATTGCAACTTTTTGAGTAATTGTCTTGTTCAGTGAATACTAGGATATACTTTTTTGATGAAGATCTAAAAATATTATATTGACATCTGTTCTGAAAAAAATCTGTACTTTTTTAGATCATTGAAGTTGGATTGTGTGAAGTCTTTGAATTGATAAAAGAGACAAGATTTTCCCATCCATCCTTGTGTCTCAGGAGCTTACAAGCCCTACTTAATGTGCTCCAAGGTCAGCAACCAGAAGGCCTGCAATCAGAGCCTCCTGAAGTCCTAGGTAATCTCATCTCTTACTGTATCTTTATTAACATACATCTGTTACTGTGTTGGACAGAAGAAAATGGTTCTTGGCAAGTACTTGTGAGATAGTAACATGCTTGTTCTCAACTGACTGACTATTCTGGCGTGTTAACTCCTTATGGTGCATGTATGCAGTACTTCCTCACTGAAACACAGTAATAAACATCACAGACTAACAAATTTTGTTTCACTTTCTTGCTGAAATATAAAATACTTGGTCTTACTGGAAATAATACAGTTTTAGGGTGAATTTCTCTTGTAATCTGCTGATGTGGTCTATAGCTTACATGTTTAATTTTGTATTTTTTGTGGAAGTGCTAAGCAGAGTGTCACAATTCTTGTTTTTATTTTCTCTGGCCATCCCAAAGCTTCCCGGAAAATTAATTTTCTTTTTAATGATATTGAAAATAGAAGTTAAACTTCTGATGCCTTTGAGAGCATGGTTGACTATATCCTTTACGTTAAAATCCCATTATCTTTTGTTGGTTTATAGAACTGCAGAGAAGTCTAGGCTGTAGCCTGAGTTGTTTAAAGACAATTTTAAAAAAGTCTTTAGACTTCATGTAATTTTTCGTGTTTTATGACAACAGTATTGCATGTCCGAAGATTATAATTTGCTACAGAAAACTTATTTGGTATTGATGCATGGAGTATTAAAAAGCTACAAAGACGAGTTTTTAATTACTGCCATAGTGATTAATTGTATCAGCTCTCAAAAATTAGATGGATTTCTGTTCACACCTGGATTGTTAGAGAAGTTCAGCCACCAAACAGTGTTTGGAAGGAGGCATATGATCAAAATAATTTTCAAGCCTTGATTTGAAATGCTTGTTTCTATGAAGTGGGCTGTGCTTCAACATGGCTAATGGTCATAAAGAGTAGATAAGCGATCTACACATCATCTCCGTGGTGGAGTAGGCTGAGTAGTGTCTACTATAGTAACACTTTCTGGCCCATTTCCAGATAATGTGTTCCACTGTGACAGAAGGACTTGTAGTTTTCTCTTCTTCAGCCATGGTGATTATCCAGACTTGATGTTTTCTGACTGAAAAGAAGAAAAGTTAAGGATAATTCATTTCAGATGCTTTTCTGTCTGGAATTAGCTCTGGACATAACAGCTGAGGAAAGATATAATGTATTTTCCTATTTTAATTTCCCATTGATAGTTAAATTGTTTTGTATGATTTTGTGACTGATCTGTGCAATGGCTGTGTTTTATCTACAGAATCCCTGTTCCAGCTGCTTTTGGAAATAACTGTCCGTAGCACGGGAATGAATGACAGTACAGGACAGTCCCTGACAGCACTTTCCTGCGCTTGCCTCTTCAGTTTGGTAGCTGCCTGGGGAGAGACAGGAAGGACATTGCAAGCAATCTCTGCAATTCTCACCAATAATGGCAGCCATGCTTGTCAGACTATTCAGGTCTTGCACTGAAACTTCTCTGTATCTGGGAATTTATGTAAATGGGTACTTCTCATGGGTTCTGAGAAGATGTGTTGTTTAATTGTTACCTTTTCCCCCCCTCACTATTTTTGAGATGAGTTGATATTTCTTTGTCGCTCTTGAATTGGAGTTAGAACAGAAAATACAACTTTTTGTAAAACTGTCATCTTTTTCACTCACTATTTCTTTTACTGTTTAGGTGCCAACCATTTTGAACTCTCTTCAGCGAAGTGTACAGGCAGTTCTGGTGGGCAAAATCCAAATCCAGGACTGGTTCAGTAATGGGATAAAGAAGGCAGCCTTGATGCACAAATGGCCATTGAAAGAAATATCTGTAGATGAAGATGACCAGTGCCTACTTCAGAGTGATGGTTTTTTCCTCTATCTCTTATGTAAAGATGGACTTTACAAAATTGGCTCTGGATATAGCGGGACAGTGAGGGTAATGTGTCTGCTTCTTGTCTGATGAGTGATACTTAGTATTTTAATTTAACTTCCGTGATGTCCTGTTTCCATGGATAATCTTACGTAGCTCACTGATAATCAGTTCTGTTACGGTTTGTGTAAATTTTTCTGATGATTTCTATGACAACTTGACAACATTTGGTTAGAATTTTCACTTTGCAGTGTGGTTGAACATACTGCTTAGATGGTAAATGATTATGTGTTAGGTTTTCATTCTGGTATTTGTTAAATGATTGAAGTTTTTTGCTTTTCAGGGCCATATATACAATTCTACATCTCGCATCAAAAACAGAAAAGAAAAAAAGTCTTGGTTAGGTTATGCTCAGGTAAGTGAATACTTAAAATATAAAATGTGCAGCCCTCCTCATCCCTCATAAGTAGTTTAAGTAGACCCTGGCTTAGAGTAAGCTTACATGGATATTTTATCGTTCCTTTGGCTTTCTTTATAAAACCCTAAGTTTTTGGTACTGGCTTCTAAATTATGGAGGATGATGATCTCATTGTCCTGGTGTGATTTTTAGTATACTCCTTTCCACACTTTTGAAGTGAAATTGTTCAATACAAATATGTGTTCTTTCATTGCAGTTACTGTGTTTGTGTAAACACAAACACATGAAATCTGGTTTTATTTAATGTAAAAGCAGATCACCAAAAGATACACTGTCACAAAACAAATGTGTGTGGCTGTGTTAATTCTGGAGTCTGTTTTATCAGTTCGGAAAGGAACAGGATTCATGTGGTTTCATTATATAGTGTTACACATTTGGACATTGAGTACATGACTATAAATGTCTGTGATGCTTTTTGAGTGCTTGTACAGGTGTGTGCACTCACACAGTGATTGTAACCAAAGGCACTGCAGTTTGGACAAGTGTCATTCTGTGGCTATATTTATAGAAATGTGCGTAACTTGCACTTATTGGTAGTTATGTGTTTATAAGCGATAAAAGGTGTCCTTAGTGTCATTTCCCTTCAGGTGCATGGTTAACTTTAATCCAGGTGATTTTTCTTATTTGATCATATTACTTCTAGATTGAAGCTTTTCTATCTACTTCAATGCTCTTTGCTTCATTTATGTGGGCTTGTTTTCCTCATTTTGCCAAGATTTATTTAATCTGTAGTTTCAATGGAAGAAGCTGTCGTAGTGTGGGAGTCAAAGTAGTTAATTAATTTTTTTTTATTCTAGGTTTTAATGCATATATTAATATGCATTAATGATTGCTCTTCTATGTAGGACAACATTATCTATCACCTTCCTGGTATTCCTGCGACTAGTCTGTTGACTTGAAAAGTGGATACAGAAATATTGTTTCTGTTTTTACTGTGGCTGTGGCTTTTAAGTCTAATTGTGTGCAGATACAAATAACAGAGTTAATATACGGGGCTTCAAAACTTGTATACAAGCTTCAACATGCTAATCTATGGCATGTAGAAAGTGGAGGAAGGGAGTCAAATTTCCATTTTTTATTGTGGAATTTAGTTATAATTTGGGTTAGCAGGAAAAAAATGTTGATTATTGTTTGATGTAGAAGGCTTCCACTATTTTAAAGCAATATCTAAAATAATAATTGGATTTTTTCCCTTTTAACATCTGTTAATGTATTTAAGGGCATTTTCATACCTTCACGTATTTTTTTTTGTTCTTGCCAGGGCTATTTATTATACAGAGATGTGAATAATCACAGTATGACAGCCATAAGAATAAACCCTGAAACTTTAGAACAAGACGGTACAGTTGCTTTGCCAGGTGAGAACCTTCAGATTAGAGAAATTTGGTATAGTTTGCTGTTTACATTTATGTATTTTCAGGCAAGCGGAAGAAAAACTGAGAGATTCTGAGGTCACAGATTGGTTATGACTTCGCTTCACCTCAGACCAGCTTCAGTATTTCACTTAAAGGCCTTGCATCTTACTCCAGTTGTTGGAAGAATATTACAACATTTTAGAATATGTGAACATCTTAATTTAAAGACTACAAGAGCTTAAACTCCTTCCTAAAAATCTTCTTTTCTTTCTCATTTGAACTTTGAATGTTTGGCTCGTGTATGACTTTGTTTCCAGGATTTCTTACACGTAGGCAATTACAAACTATGAACAAAACAGTTTTGTTTTTTAATAGGGTAAAAATATGTCCAAAAAGCAAAGGCTGCTAATGAACACTGGTGGACACCATGCTTCTGATGTTTATATTGGTGGTGCATTTTGGTTTCTTTGTTTGGGGAAATTGTTTTCGGTTTTGGGGGATTTTGTGTGGGGTTTGTTTTGTGGGGGATTGTTTGTTTTCATTTTGTTGTCCTTTTGCAGAGGAGCCTCATAACTTCAGTCTGTTTAGAAAATAAGGATGTTCCTGGAACATGCTTTAATGGCCTTCTAGTGAAATGCATCTGTTCTTAGCTACACAGATAAATATTAGAAGGACGCAAGAATATTTTTTAATCAAACAATGACAGGCTTATTTTGTAAATCAGAAGAAAGATTTTGTTTCATCCTGACATAAATAAGAAACCACTGACTGAAACCTCAGAAAAGTTCTGTAGGATTTTTGTGTTTAAAATGCAAATAGCAATTTTATAAACAAGTTTTGAATGTTGAATCTAGTCCATGCAACCTTCTGCACATCCTTAAAGTATGGATGTCTTTTTAAGCTGCTCTTGCTCTTTGTGGGGGCTGTATGAGGTATTTCACTGAGAGCACGTTCAAGGACCTGAAAAACTGCCTTTCAGAGTGGCTTTTCAGCTTTGTTCACCTCGGGGCAGCTTCTTACACAGTAGGGTTCATTATGTCCTTAATTATGTTAACATTTGTAAACAAATAAGTGTTCTTCATGCAAGTCTTGAGAGAGATTAGAGCACATTTAAAGTCTACCCTTGGAGCTGTTAGCTTGTTTTTCCAAATCTCAGTGACAAGTGTAGTTCTGCAAGACTGCCTTGTATTTATACTGTAAAAAGGCACAAATTAAATGCGTGTGCCTTCTCAACAATTTGCAAAAGCAAATGCGAATGGGAATACCCATTCAGAAATTTCTCAAACTGTCCTCTCAGTTGCATTTTGTGTGGTTTGTGATGGTGTTAAAGTAGATGTTAGGTGTTCTTTATAATTCCAGTCCTTTGTATTTCAGTCCTTGAACTTTGCTGTTTTGCTTTGTGCACTTCTACACATTTATCTCAGTTGTATTATTGTGAAAAGATACGACCTTGTTCTTTTGCCTGGGACAAATTCCAGGGAGTCCACTTCTGGTTATTTTCCTTTCCCATTAGAAAAAAATGAAATGAAGGTAGGGGGAAGTGTCTGACCTGAGGAAAACTGTGTAGGTGCTTAACTCTGAGTAGTAGTGGCTGCCCCACTGCAATCTTATGGTGACTTGCAAGTTGTTCTAGTTCTGAAAAGACATGCTGGATAGAACTAGAGGCGAGTGACCTTGCTAACAGCTGAACACAGCAAATATTTGCTCCTGTTTGGGATGGTATTCAGACATGGCTCTATCTGGAATTAATCTCTTTCAAATGCGTGGGCTGGTGATAGTGCATTAAAAAAAGGTATTAGAATTTATTCATACAAGGGATGCATAGGAGGTTAGGAGATTTGATTAGAAGTTGATCCTAGGTAGAAGTCACATGACCTTAGAAAAACCAGAGAACTATGGAACGTTATTTTCTCCTTCCTCAGTCAGGAGGATCCATCAGCTTCTTGAAGCCATAAACTTCTGTTTTTAAAGGGCAGTCTTTCCGCTCTGAAAGATGATCTTTCAAATCTAGCCTTGTTTCTGGAACTACCAGGCTATGTGTCAACATTCTTGTGTCTAAGGCCTTTGCCAAGATTTATACTGTACCTGAGTTGAGTATCTGTTTTCTCAGTCCATGTATCATAAAAGAATGTATGAATTCCATGAGAATTTACTAGGTGACTAGACCTGAATTTACAGAGGTTTTCATCTTTGCCATTTCTTTTTACAGTGATGCTTACTGCATACCTTAAAACAGTTTGTTTTCAGCTGGAGAAATTGAAGTGACATGGTATATGGTTTTATTGTTCTTTGAAATTGCAAATTAGTATCTTAGGCTCGGGACTATTCCCTTAGTGTGGAAAGTACTGCTAACTGAGGGTAGCCTAGATGACCTCAAGTCCTGCTTTATTAGCAGAATGTGCAGTATGAATTTGGAAGGTGATGCTTCAGAGAGACTTCCTTTGAAGCCTCTAAGGAGGCTGTGATTAACAGATGTCTGTAGTTACATGGTTTTAGTACATAAACCCTTTCTCTTATAGCAGTCTTCAGACAGAATGCTTGGTTATCCTCACTGCCATAGTAATATACAAAGTCAGATTGAATAAGATTTAGGATTGATCATACAAACTTCTTCTTAGATGAGACACTATACTAGTTTTTCCAAGTGCTCCATTTGCCTTCCATTTCTTAGTCTTCCCAATGATTTGATTCTTAATGCTGGGCTTGTTTGTTAGTTAAGCAAGTGCTAATTTTTAGGAAGTGTTCTGGAGACAATGTATGTAAAAAAAAAAAATAAGCCCACCCCTGTTCTAGATTTCCTCTTTGAACAGATCTACCAAACATAGCAACAACCCCCCAGAAATGTTTACCAGGAGACTCACCTTTCTTGAAGTGGCTCAAGCAATAGGCCAAATAGTGCAATACGGACCCACTGATGGCTGGAATGTGCTGTTTCCTTGCCTGTTCTGCTTGTGTGAACGTGTAGTTTTCAGTTATTCAAGGAAACTTCATGCTTACCAGCTTCCTGGTAACCTTTGGAGAAATGACATTTAGTTTTGGAACTTCTCATCCAGTTACTGGTACTTCTTTTATCACTAAGGTGACTTTGCAGCATAGAGAATTAGTAGTGGACTGCCTTTGGTTGTTAAATTTTGAGAGAGCAGTATTTCAAACTTCAGTGTTTCTGCTGCCATTCTCCATCATGCTTCCTGCTTACCTTCTGTGATTCATACCTGGTTGTGCTCTAATGGGTAGGAAGGTTGTCTACTTTTGGTATTTTGCTTCCAGATGTGACAGTTACAGAAGGCTTTCTAATGCATATTCAGTTCCTGGTAAGACACTGGATTGGACTGGGCAGTGTATCAGCCAAAAGTAAACAGTGGGTTTCTGTGGGGTGTTTTCAGCTGTATTATTTTAGTGCTTTAGCTAGGTAGCAAAAAACCAGCAAACTTGCTGGTTATGCTAGAAAGACATTATGTATGCTCCATTTAGCATTAAATTTATTTGATAAAATGTTAATACTGGATCTTTGTTCAGATTATGAAGCAAATATTTGGAGTATAGAGTGGCTGTCATATAGTATTTTTGGAAGAGGTCTTTTTCCTGTGTGTAATCAGTGAGACAAACACAAACCATATGATTCTTTGCCAGTAGTTCCATCAACAGTGCAGGAAGGGAAGAAGAAATGGTGTACAGACATAGGTTTAAACTTGCACGGAAAGTGGTCTTTTTCTTTTTTTTCTCCTAATTTGGGTAGGATTCTTTCTCTCCCATTTTCTTGGAATTATCTGAGTTATTTTCAATGAATGAGTGATGTATTCAAGTATATACTATATAGTTTTCAAAACCCACCTAGATTTTTTCAGTTAATAGTTTGGTGAAATTTATAAATTGTGAAAAAATGAGATAAATAATGAAAACCGTGGTTCATTTATTTCTGTGGGTTTTATATGCTGGACTGAGGAAACATTTCTTGAAGATAATGGTCCTTACATAAAAAAAAAAGTCTTTGGGAAAGGAGAAAGATTTAATAGTCTTGGAAAATTTGAATTTATTTGTGTTGTGGTAGTTTGGAATATGCTTCACAGGTGACTACCAGTGAAAGGTGAATGGGTTTTTTTGCAGTTAAATATTGGGGTGTAACCACTCACATTTCGTACAATGGAAAGTGCTGTAATAACTCTTACAGGAACTGAAGAATTACATGCTTTTGATGAGACAGGACATCTTAATGTAAAATAACACATTATCAGAATGGTATGATCTCACTTGAGACAAAGTAGAACTCTCATGATCTGATTGGAGTTAGAGTGAATTAGACAGAAGCAGAGATTAGTGCGTGTATGTATGCTAATATAAATTGATGCAGTACACTTCATTTTTCTCTCACAGATTGTCATACTGAAGGGCAGAATATCCTTTTCACAGATGGAGAATATATTAATCAAATAGCAGCATCTAGAGACGTAAGTTTTACAAATGATGGGTAAACTATTTTTCTCTCAACTAGGTTTTATCTTACAATATTTATAGCCTCCTTTTTGCTTCATGTTTGGCTTTTTCTTCACTAACACAATTAAGGAAGAAATCTGTGTAACTAGAAATAATGAGGAACTTCCTTATTTGTGCATTAAAATGTAGTATTTTGGTATTCACAGAATTTTGATTTGTGATTGATTTTTTATTTTTCAGATAAGTTTTAAGAAAAACTCTATTGCTCTTTCAGGAAAAAAAATCTTATATGTTGAATAATATGTTCTACAGGTTCTTTGTAGAATAAGCTTCGTAGCGCTTAAGGATAATTTTTTTTCTTTATTAATTTCCTGTAATTGCTTTGGAACTTATTGGAGTATTTCAGACAGTTTTATTAGATGAGATAGGAAATATACTACATTGCAGTTGATTTTTGTGTGAAAATTGCCTGATGGTCAAAGCTGTAGAAACTCAAAGAAGTGCTCCTACTAGGGACAAAACTGTAGTGGTGGTTGTATTTTTTTTTTCCAGCAGACAGTTACTATGTTTTTAGTTCTGGTGTGGTTTTTCATAGTGAGAAATTTGTAAAATAGGGATGGGGTGAAACTGGATTGTCAACAGATGCTAAACACCAACTGCAGAAAAACCAAGATTAATCCATTTCCCTCCTAACAATTAAATTGGTGGGGGTTTTTTAACATGGCGAGATTAAGATACTCTGCACTTGTAAACAGAAAACTCTTCTAGTTACTCTTCACAGCTGTCACTCTGCATGCAGAATTTTGGGTTCTGAACAAGAAGTTCAGGGCTTAAACATAGATGTAAATAACTGTAAGAGTAAGATTTCTACAGCACTTCACTCTTTTTATAGTGTTCACAGCATTTTCATAGAACTCGATATATGTTTAAGGAGTCAGATACTTCAGCTTGTCCTGATGGCCACTTAATTATTTTCTCCTCTGTAGTAAATGTTATAATAAATGTTACTTTATCAGTGTCCTCTGACATTTACTCTGAAATAGTACCATGTCTATATACTTAGGACTTGAGAAGTAAATGAATTAATTTCTTGTACAGTATGAAGTGGATTTTTGTATTTATTGCAGGATGGCTTTGTAGTGCGAATATTTGCCACAAGTACTGAGCCAGTATTGCAACAAGAGCTGCAGCTTAAGCTTGCAAGGAAATGCTTACATGCCTGTGGCATCTCATTGTTTGATCTGGAGAAAGATTTGCACATTATCAGTAAGTTCTGTTCTTTGAAGGTTAATAACAAGGCTGGTAATTCAAACAGTAGATCTGAAACACTGCGCTTTCCTTTGACTCTATGTGCAGGAAGGTACAGCTCCATAATAAACACATGGAGAGGGGTTTGAATCCATTCAAGCATTAGTTGACTCAGAGTCAAACCCATACACCTGTTTGGAACCACCTTTCTGTCTCTAGCACTGTTCATTGTTTTCCAGTATTTTCCTTCAGTTGTATAATAAATATATAATTGTTTGAAGCTTGGACTTTATAAAACATAGATAAACTGTGGAACTCCTTGCTGTGGGTCAAAGTTAACAAGTTACAAGGACCACTGACTGGATTAAAGGGAGAGAGAATTACATTGAAAACACATTCTTCACCTCAAATCAGAATTTGAAGTGAAGAATTGGTAGTATCTATGAAGGTATTTTGAAAAAAAATAATTTGGCCTTTGCTTTGGGGTATTTTTGCTCTGTTGAGCTTACTTTTGGCTCTATCAGAACAAAATAACCAGCATATTTGGCTCCATGGACCAGCAGAGGTGGATAGGTGACTGGTCTGTGAAACTGCCTGGTTAAACTGTTCAGTTAACACAATCTTACTTGCACAGGTACAGGGTTTGATGAGGAATCAGCTGTCCTTGGTGCTGGGAGAGAGTTTGCACTGATGAAAACTGCTAGTGGAAAGGTACTGAAAATGTTCTGTAGTGAATAGCAAATTGCACCAATAGATTTCTGTGTTTTTTAATTTAATCATTATTTTCCATAATTTCTTTTTGCCTTTTCAGTATGTTAGAATGTATGTCTATGACTGTATTCAAATGTATTTTTCAGAGCCTGCTTTAAAACATAAAAGACAAATAGTTATTTAAAAGCAGATACCCAGCTGATAGTTGGAACCCCTTAGAAATCCATTACTTGAATTTATAGGAATTTCTACAGTCAGTCTCACAATGAAGGGCTTTATTTAAATTTGAGAAACAAAACTGTCTTCTGTCTACAAATGATGTGTTAGCACCTTTGCAAATTTTGCCACCTCATAACTTTCCAGTCTGACCATAGTAATTTATTTAAATCCCATCCTGATTTTTTTCTGATCTTTTAGAGAATTATTGATTCCCCTATGTAAATTTTTCAATTGATTTCTTTAAACCTGTTCTTAATGATTTGATATGTTGTTCTGCTCAGTGGAGACTTTTTGAGGCATTTGCATAATCATGGAAATTTAGAAATACTGCTGTCACTGACTCTTCCCATTATTTACTGTGGTTCTATTTCAGTGTGAAAGACTAATGCTGTTTATCTTGTAGAAACATAGTTCTTAATTACATGTTCAGAATTGCATTGCTTTGTTGGAATGAAGGTCTTGCTCTGCTGCTGTCAGAACAGTGAGATTGTTGAAAATGTTAGAGTAAATACTTTTAAAGAAAACGTTATGTACCAGAATTTGATCAAATAGAACTCTTCAGCACTGAGCTAGGCAGATTAACTTTATCACTCAACTAACAAAAGTGCCTGTTCATTATAAAATCACACATTTCCTGGGTTTGGTCTATAAAGTTGTCTGTTAAGGTAGGAAATACAGTATGTAAGGCACTGTAAAATGGCTTCAGGTGCCCCATAGGTTGACATACCAATTTTATAGAGCTGTTGAGTTGCATGGTTCTAAAGAAAACTTTTTAGTTCATGTCAGTATTTTTGTTTGTTCACGTGAAATATCTTACTCTGTTATTTATGTAGTCAGTGGCCACTGTGCATTTACTAAACATGTTTTACAAATGTGTTGAAGCATATTAAAATACGTAGTAATTTTTTATTTTAAATTGATTTTATTGTTATAATACCATCTTGTTTTTATACAGACCAGACATTTTTGTGAGGTGTTTTAAATGCATCCTCTGAGTAGTTTCTTTGGTTCTTTCTTGTGTGTTCAACTCATCTAGCCAAACAATTATATATGAAAGCTCACTCAGTGGCTCAGTAGAAAGCACAATTCAAAACAAACTAAACTAAGAATCTAATCAGAATGTTTCCCCATTAAGTCAAAATTGATGGGTTTGGGACAGAGATACTGAAATGGCGTAAATAAAGTCAGGAAGAGTGCAGTGTGCTTTGAAATGAAAGGAATTAAAAACAATGCAACTTTGAGAATTATGTAAGCTTGAAGTGCTGTGGCATAACTAAAACTGATAAACTTTTTTCTCCTAGATTTATTATACTGGCAAATATCAGAGCCTTGGAATCAAACAAGGTGGCCCTTCAGCTGGCAAATGGGTTGAACTCCCAATCACAAAATCTCCAAAGATTATTCAGTTTTCTGTTGGGCATGATGGCTCACATGCCTTACTTGTTGCTGAGGATGGAAGCATATTCTTCACAGGTTCTGCTAGTAAAGGAGAGGATGGTGAATCAAGTATGTATCATTGCTTGCTTGACCAGTGGTTGGTAAAAGCCTCTTAAAGAGTTTTTAATTTGAGAATAAGAGTTTCAGCATTTTCCAGGAACATGTAAGCATGCCATTTGTGCAGGAGATTATGCTGGCCACAAATCCTGACAACCAGTGCCAAAACCTCTCCCAACTACAGAATCCAATCTGTGCTTTACCACAGTTCGGGTTGTGTGGTGGAAGTACTATTTTAGATTTGTCCCAAGAAAAGACAATAGTAGATTTGGTCAAGAGGCCATGCTGTCTGCCTGGGACTTGGAAAAACTGTGGAGCCAAACTTTTGCCTCTTTGCTCTTGTTTTATTGAGCTTTGGAAGTGGATGTTTTGCTGGCTGGTGGAGAGGCACATTGATGAGAACTTGTATAAGCAGATCTTCTGTGGTTGATCAGGCAGAATTCTTCAGACATCAGACAGATTAATTTGATCTTCAGACTAACAAATGCCTCATCAATATAAAATTAACACGTTTCCTAGTCTTGATTTCTGTAGTTGTATGTGTAGGTTGAAACAGACTTTGTAAGACAACTGAAGATACCTTTAAGTGCCCTGAATCTGTGATCTGCTGTAATAAAGAATTAAATACTTCACTTTAGGAAACAGATGGGAGATGATGATGTGGTAGATTAATAAGAATAATTAAAGTGATTTGAAATACTTGAAAATTCATTTCTACAAGATACTGATCAAATAATGTCTTGGCTTGCCATTGAATTTTTTTGAGAGGAGCCAGTATAATACAATTGAAATTAGACCAGGAGATTGTACCTATGGTTAGTTGTTTGGTTTTTTTCATTAGTGGTTTGAAAACTAATGATTATGCCTGTGATGGTTTGAGGATTTTTGGTAGATTTACTTGTAATTTATTTATTTATTTAAAGCTAAAAGCAGAAGGCAATCAAAGCCATATAAGCCTAAAAAAATTATTAAAATGGAAGGAAAGATTGTCATATCTACAGCGTGCAATAATGGAAGCAGTTCTGTAATTTCCAAAGATGGAGAACTCTACATGTTTGGAAAAGATGCCATTTACTCTGATAGTACAAGTAAGTTAATATTGGTCTTTTGAATTATTTTTCAACTGAAATAATTGAAATTAGTATGGAAGTTTTTAGCCCATGAAAATGTTGTTTTTGTGTTTCTTACCCTCCTAATGTATTTCTGACATTCTGTTGATTCAGACAAATATGACAGAAGGATAGAAAAAGGTAGTTTCCAAAAGTTCTGTAAAATAATTTAGCATCAGTGGTGACAAATGTCCGAAGTAATTCTTCCACTAAGGAGATGAAAAAAAAAAATTCACTTGTGTTAATCTGGCACCAGAAGGCCACACAGGAAGGAGTCACAGAAATAAGGTGTGCTTTGGTGCGAACAAAGGCTGCTGGAAGCTAGGTCTTAGTGCTTCTCAGCTCATAAGGTAGCAGGGGATCCTGTGCACCACAGTTTAAGTAAAATATTAATGAAATAAACTCCAGTGGCTTTATGACTCCTTTAGAATTCTTTTTCAAAACAAGTGATTCACAGCAGTTTTAGGTTTGCTTTTGGATCTTCATTTTTTGCAGGACAAGTGGCCTAGGCCTAGTTCTTTCACTTTTTATTCTAACACTTGTTTTTTATACCTGTTTTTTTCCTATGCTGTAAACTTTAAAATTGTCAGTAACCGCTAACAATTCTGTTACATCATTGAGTTTCCTTCTTGGCTAGAAAGTGGAATTTTTCACTTAAGTCTTTTATGTCTTGCAGGTTTAGTAACAGATTTGAAAGGTCATTTTGTGACTCAAGTAGCCATGGGCAAAGCTCACACCTGTGTGTTAATGAAGAATGGCGAAGTGTGGACATTTGGAGTAAATAATAAAGGACAGTGTGGACGAGACACAGGCTCTATGAACCAGGGAGGAAAAGGTGTGGGACCTTGTTTTGTTTTGTTTTTTGGTTTTTTTTTTTCTTTTCATTTGCATGCTGGCAAATATCAGAAGTGAAAACAAAGCTAAACATTTTGTTATAAAATGTAATTCCATCACTAAAGTTTGAATACGTGCAACATGATTTAAAAAATCAAGCATGCCCATGCACAGAGATTTCCAAGAAGTCTCTGAGCTGGCTGAGCAGGCAAATCAGGCATTCCTAGTCATTCCTTTTAAAACCTGATCTGTGAATGTTCTTCAGAGCTTCAGCAGTTCATAGACGCGTAGAATAGTTGGAGGTGGAAGCAATCTTTAAAGATCATTTAGTGCAACCCCCTGGCAATGAGCAGGGACATCTTCAGCTAGATCAGATTGCTCAGAGCCTAGTCCAGCGTGTCCTTACCTCTCTGAGTAACCAGAACCCTGTCTGATGGCCTCAGAAAGCACGTATTTCTTATTTCAATATCTTAATTAGGTTTTGGAGTTGAGAACATGGCAACAGCAATGGATGAGGATCTGGAAGAGGAACTGGATGAAAAAGATGAGAAGTCCATGATGTGTCCTCCAGGCATGCATAAATGGAAGCTGGAGCAGTGTATGGTGTGCACTGTATGTGGAGATTGCACAGGCTATGGAGCCAGCTGTGTTAGTAGCGGGCGTCCTGATAGAGTACCTGGAGGGTAAGCACACGTGTGGGAATGTGCAGACAGTTGGATGGCTAAAGCACTGAATGTGAACTGAGTTGAAGTTTCCATCTAAAATAATTTTATAGCTAAATATATAGTAGTATGTGTTTTTAAAATCAGAAATGGCTTAAAATTTCTGTAAATAGCTTGTGGCTGCAAGTGATTAGTTTTACAAACTTTTTTCTCACTTTAGCATGTAGTTCTTCACTAGAAGCTGTTGGATGTGAGCAGCAATATAATTCCTGTCTCTTGACAGAGCTGCTGGTAGAAGTTTATCTTGCTGTTCAAGTTGCCATTATCTGTTCCTTCTTAGTTGAGCTGCAGAGGGGTCACTGCGTCACCATAACTGTTTCTTCAGCATTTTGTGTGCTCACTGTTTCCTTGTTCATGTTTTCATGTGGTGTACATTAAATTGAAGAAAGACAAGTAATTCTGAGAATTCGATTCAGTGGACGGTCAGTGTGTGGTCCTTGCCCCATGCAACAGCACCTAGGATTTAAACTAGCTGTCCTTCCTGCTTATCTCTGGAAAACTTGCATGTCCACAGATAGAACAAAGTAATAATCTGTGTTTTAATTACAAAGGCATCAGTAATGCACAAAAATAAAAGATAGTGATAAAGCAACTTTGTTTGCTGCAGAATCTGTGGCTGTGGCTCAGGTGAGTCAGGCTGTGCTGTGTGTGGCTGCTGCAAGGCATGTGCTAGAGAGCTGGATGGCCAGGAGGCAAGGCAAAGAGGAATCCTTGATGCTGTAAAAGAGATGATACCTTTAGATCTCTTGCTGGGTAAGTACTATGAAATTACCAAAAAGGCTTTTAATTCTCAGTTTTACTGTACCTCTTTTTTTCCTATTGTTGTCCAGTACATTTGTTTGCACACTTTGTTACAGGACAGTTTTAGTGTAATATTGTTAAAATGGTGCTTAACTGTCAGATTTATTTATTGGTGATATAGCAAAGTGGGATCATTCTGCTAAGTGAACTGTTCTAAGTTTGCCCTTACTATAGTCACCTGTGCCACTTTATGACCTGTGCAGTTACGAAACTAATGTTGATACTACAAGTTCTTCTTGTCCTTTTTGATATCCTGAAAAATTTTCTATAATGTTTTTATCAGGATTTAAGCATTCTTAAACTAAAACATGGCTAATTGGTGTAAAATGTTTTAAAAATATGAACAGTCGTAGACTTGGTTTAATAATACTTTTTGAAACTTTTTAGGGGAGGATGGAGATAACCATGACAACACATAACTACATATGTGTGTATTCCTAAGTACTACTTAGTGATGGTGGAATAGTCAGATTCATGAAAACCAGGAGATAAAGCTTAGAACTCTTCCGAATTTACTCAAATCCTTTTTATTTATTGTTAGGGCCATGTAAAGAGCAGCTAGTAAGTAGGTTTTCAGTTTTCATTTACCTTACTTCTTTTAAGGTTTATTGCCACCAAAACAATTTTAAAGATAATTTTATGTATTTTATTTTCTTAATCTATTTAGCTGTCCCTGTTCCTGGAGTTAATATTGAGGAACACCTTCAGCTACGACAAGAAGAAAAGCGGCAGCGTGTAATTAGGAGACATAGATTGGAAGAAGGAAGAGGTGAGTGACTTACTGAGAAGGGCCTTGAATAGCTTAAGAAACTTTTAAGTCTGTTTTCTAAGAATGAAAATAGTCTTCCTCCAGTGAGCCTGTACAGTGGTCAAACCTAAATCAGGTCCTAAGTAGGTAGTTTGTTATGTAGCATGCTTTTAGAAAATGGTGTAAAATCGATGTGTTTAACAAAGTTTGTACATAAGTATCAGAATTTTAATGATGAAAGGAGCATTTTATATCACTTTCAATATGAGTTTTTATTTTTTTGCCATTTTCTAGTTGAATGTTTTTAAAATGTAGATCCTAATACATATTTATATGAAGAAAGAACTACAAGCCTGTCTTATGTTATTTACCTATTATATGAATTATCTAATTACTATAATCATTCATTTTCTGTTGTATAATGATAGGCAGAATTGTCTTTTATAAAATGAACTTTTCTGTATTTGCATAACATGAGAATATTGACACAGACTGAATTAAAAAAACAAAACACCACTTCAACATGTGAAAATTTTCTTATGCTTTATTTACCTCATTGTTGATTTTCCACACAAAGAATAATCTGCCTCAAGAACTTTTCAGTACTGTTCATGTTCTAAGATACTTCAGTGTCTTGTCAAATTAAATATGAGAAAATTAGACTGATGTAAACTGTAAGATTTTTGTAAAGCATGATGACATGTTTGCTAAGATAATGTGTTGAGAAGAGGAGTAACTTACTGGGATATATGCTCTTTCAAGTTCCTGTAGTTCTAGTAAATACCATTTTGATTCTTCTCTTATGAATTAGATACTGGGTTTTTTTTGAATACAAAATGTGCCTTGTAATCCAAATTATTTCCTAGACTGTGCCAATGATTGTTGTGATGTGAATTGTGTCTTTATTTCACTTGCATTAAGAAATTGCTGGTTTAAACCACAAATAAGGAGCAACCAGAAAGAGAAATCTTGTAGTTGTCTATGCATATAGAAAAGGATGGAATATTTATTTTTCTTTGCATCTTAGTGGCTAATTTTAGCTGTGAGGTGAAGAGAGGAAGCCTTTGTTTAGGTCATGTCAGAGCTGCTGCATGCTGCTGGCAAATGTTGGGTGCAGCTAACAAATTTTTATTGAATCCTAATTAAATGGCCAGTCATTATTGAAAGGTGGTGCTGTTTAGCCCATCAGTGATGACAGAGCTGGGAGGTAAACTTCAGTTAAATGAAAAAAGAAGATTGGCAGAGAAAAATTTACATTTGCTTCTATTTCTGTGGTTAGAAGCAGAACCAGAGCAGCTTATCCCTTCTGTATGCCATCTGTTTCAAAAGCAAAAAAAGATCACTTGAACAGTAGCAGGAATGCACTCTAATGGTTGGTTTCATAGGTGTATGGGTGAAAGGAGGTTGTAGCCAAGTGGGCCCCAGGCAATCAGTGACAGTACAGGAGGACACAGTCTTAGGCTGCGCTAGGGGAGGTTTAGGCTGGACATTTGGAAGAATTTTTTCACAGAAAGGGTGATTGGGAATTGGAATGGGCTGCCCAGGGAGGTGGTGGAGTCACTATCCCTGGAAGTGTTTGAAGGAAAGACTGAATGTGGTACATAGTGCCATGCTGTAGTTGACATGGGAGTGTTTGATCATAGGCTGGGCTCCATCTCCAAGGTCTTTTCCAGCCTAGTTGATCCTATGATTCTGTATAGGGACTGTAGCTAAAAATATACTGTTATCCAGCTTGTTGCACATATTTGTGTTACATTTTGTATCTAAAGAATACCGGTGTGGCTGTGGGAGGTAGTGGGTATGCCAGTCTGGAAGGGTTGGAGATTAGTCTCCTGTTTTGGTTCAGAATGACTTCTTGTGATAAAGCTGGAAGTGGTGTTTCACAAATACTTAGAGATCTTGTTTTATATAATCAGGTATGAATATTTGATTTGATAATCAATCTTTATTTGCATAATCAGATTAAAGAGCTTTTTTGCTTCTCCATCCAGATGCTTAAGTTTTCGTTAATGAGTTGGTGCAAAGAGTAGCGCCATTCTTGACAACTCTTATGACGCTACTCTTTTCGTAAGAGGGAAAAAGAACGTTTAAATAATCTACTAGATTTTTTGTGCAGTGTTTTGCTTTCCAGTCTGATAAAACATAACAATGTTAAAAGAACAGGCAGGTTACTTGTTGCTCAGTTTTCCCAAGAGTTTTACTATTTGTGCATATGGAGCTGAACAAATCCATGCTAATGAAATAGCTATTTGGAGATCCAGAGAGAATGTTCAAGCTTTCAATTTTCTGAAAACGGTGCTTAGTCAGTTAAAGGACCAGCTCTTTAGGGCCTTTCCTTAAGGTACACAGTGTTTATTTTACCAGGATTCTGATTGCTGGATTATTTACTGTGTTAATGTGTGTCTTTTGTTCTTTTATAAGAAAAAAAGCACGCATAGTTTATGATGGTCAAGAATAGGATTCATCACTGAATGTAGCTGCAAACTTTTAAGTTCCTGTTGGTGACCTTTATTCAATACAATTATTTTCAGTAAATCTTGAATGTCTTATAAAGAAGAGAAAAGCTTTAAAAATACAGGAATATTTCGTTCCTAAAACAGTCATGCAAAGAAAAAAATCACAAAGCTGCCTGTCACCCAAATGCGTTGAAATAGGTCTTAAGTTTAGGAGAGAGCTGTAAGAGCACAAGTGCTGGGATTACGCTGATTTTTAAGCTAATTGTTTGTTGTGCTTCTTTCAAAGCTCCAGATTTAGTCCTGTTATAGTGACTTGTGATATGAAAACATGTTCTTGGGGTCCACTTAAATTAAGAGTCTTCAGGTGTGACAATTGTTTAATTTCTTCACAAGATCACTTGTGGTCTCTTGTGTTGAAGAAGATAAGAATGCTCTTCTTTATTTGCATTTATCTGAGAATGCTAACTCTGAATTTGAATGTTCTGGGTAGAAGTAGTTGTTAATAACTGCAATATCAATGACCTGGTTCAGTGTTAGTGTCACAAGCAATTAACTCACTCCTCACACATGATCCAAGTAGCCTGCCGCTGTTGTAAGGGACCTGTATACATGCTGCACAGCAACAGCACACTTCAGGAATTTTAAGTGCTTATGCTGAAGATTTCTTTGTTTCTTACTTTGAAACGAGTTACGAACTATAGTTTGTGATGGAATTGTAACCAGCTAATAATTTTTATGTTTTGAATCAGTTATTTCTGTTGCTGTATTCAAGAAAGAAATTCTACTTTAGTGGAAAAAAATAGGTACTTTAAATTAATATTGGGTAAAAAGTGTTTGTTTGGGATAATCAATTATTTTAAAATTTTGTAAGTTCCTTAATATTTATTATAGTTCTTTGCTCTTTTGTGCACACAAAGTGACTGTGACAAGCAGTGAAGAGGGCTCAATCAATTCTACATTTTTGAGTTGGGTGTATGACCTTCAGAGAAATAAAGCCAGCTGTATTCATCACAGCGTCTGTGCTAAATCATAATATCTCAACATAATAATTGATGGAATTATCTCAGCTCTTCACTGTCTCTGGTGAGAAGTGAAGGAGCTGATTTTCCATATGGTGAAGTGGTTTTTGTTTTTCAAACTGGTTTGGGGCTTGATGAGAATAATGAGATGAATATGGAAACAGTTGCACGTCATTATTTTCTGTGGCAGTGAGAAAGTTTTGTATGTTAGAATGTTCAGAACATGGTTAATTATTTTTTTCTTTCCTGTGAAACTATTTTTTTCATCATGGGGGTATTAAATTGCCTTAATGGATTACAGAAATCTGTGGGCCACATGTGCAATTAATGTAATGAACCTAAGACTAGTATTTTTTGAGAGAGCTAATCTTGAAAGCTGTTCATGAGACTTTTTACTTTTTCAGATTGGTGTTTGCAGTAATAGGAGTTGGAATAGTCAAAGTTTAAATTTATCACTTGAGATAATTCTGGGATATTTTTTCAGAGGGCAATAAGAATGTTAAAATAGCTTTTTAAATTATATTTAATAAGCTGAAAAACACGGACATGGTTCTCAATACAGCGATAATAAGTGGTCTCATGCTTCACTGGTATTTCACTACTACTCTTTCTCAGCCTATGCTGTAAAAACCTCTAGATGATTATTACTGAGATGCAGATTTGGTGTGTAATTAAGCAAGGTTTAGCCTTTGATACCCCTACAGAAAAGGAAAATTAATTTAATCAGTCTTATCCTACTTGCAACAACAAAGAACCCACAGAAAATTGATTAATTTTAGTCCAAGCTGCTCTGTTTTAAGACAATATAATCTGAGGCTGCCTAGATTTGGGCATTTTTCATTTTCCTGAAGTGTAACTGATTCAGTTAATTCAGTGATTAGTTTTACCATGGTGGGCTAAGTATCACACAAATCTGTTTAACACCTGCACAAGCCACCCTGAGCTTGGAATCCCTTTGTTCATTGCTCAACATATACCAAAATACACAGTAGAACTGTCTGTACTAGTGCAATATTACTTAGTAAATAATTGTGCTGCTTCTTTTTATGGTTTTAATTAAATGTTTAATTTGATGCTTTCAGGATTACTTTTGTTTCAGTGTTCTTTAAGCAAACCAAAACCAATTGTTACCTTTTCACTTGAAACTCACACATGACTTTTTAAGCATGCTTTCAAGGAAAGCTGTAGGCTTTTGCCCCTAATGACCATCAGGTATGGTTTTATGAAGTTACATTGTTACACTTTTGTCTGTGATTCCTTTCTGAAAGCTAACTGTTGTTATTAAAACTGATGTTTAGAGTAAAAATATTTATATTATAGTTTCAGATCTGATTTGTAGTAGACACCATGGTACAGTTCTGGTTAGTATTTGCTGTTTTAAATTACTTCATGTATTTATATGCAGAAATGAATATTTTATATGTTTTTAACAATACATACGAAGTCAAGTATTCAGAAGGGGGAAAAGGTCGAAATTAAGATTATCATAAACCATACTTCCATTTCATTCTCTTATTACTCCCACGTTTCCCTGCATGCTTGAGTTGGCTGGTGTGCATCTCTTTTTCCTCTTTAAAAAGCCTTAATTTTTCTTCTACACCTGATTTGTACAATTTGAATGTTGCTTTAAGACTACAGGAAGAGACGTATCTTGTCTTTATTTTCAATGTTTTGAACAAAAGAAGCAAACTGCAGTTAACCTTAGTGCCTGCACATGACATTCTCCATGAGTGTTTTCACCTTAATGGTAAATTGCTAGTCATAGTTGGAAAAATGCAGATTATTTTTTTTTACATGCACCATAATTATTAGCCCTGCCTCATGAGAATATTAAATTTTGTTTCCTTTAAGGCTTTATAGGTGGGACATTATCTCACTATAATGTTTTACGCTTCTAGTGGAACTGAAGTGAAGCATTTGTCTCTAATTCCATTTTCTGAAATATTTTTCTCAAAATTTGCAACCTGTTGACCTATTAGGATGGTTAATATCCTATATTAGGGTTTTATCTTCCTGTTTTATTGCTAAAAATACCAACAAAAATACACTCCCCCAGAAATTGCTTGCTCTCTTTCAAGAAGCCAAAAATAGGTTTTTATAACAGAGGGTGTGATCCAGCCTAGCACTTAGCTCTGCAACCTGAATTTATACTGCTTTTCTGTATGTGTGTGTCATCATGTACTATTTTTTCGGGTAGCCTGCTGTGTTCAGTGCACTGGTGCAGAAGTCAGCATTTGAGATAATTGATTTCAGTCTCCTGCAATCACAGCCTGCCAAATAGCATTTGTTTAGGGTGAGGTACTAGAAGAAATCGAAGTATGTGTTATATAAAATGAAACATTAAACTCCTTCATAGTTGTGTCCAAGAGCTTAGATGACCAAGAATGCCAAAGCACATTAAGTGCGTGTAGGATGAAATAATTGTGTACATTTTTCTGAAGTCCAGTGCATTACTTAATAAAGGCATTCTATTTGGAGAAAATTAATTTATTTCTGTGGTTAAATATATTTTTTAATGCTTTGAATTTCCTGCAAAACAATGTCCATTTTGAAAAGTCTGGACCAAGAAAGGAAAGCTAGTGTTGACATTTCAACTAGGGCTGTTCAGCATCTCAGCTCAGCTATGGAAAAACAGTCTGTGAAGGGAGAGAGCGAATGTCATTTTGCATCACACAGTGACTGATTTAAAATAGCTCAGTAGTCTACCAGTGACTCCTCTTTGCTTATCTCTGTCACTTGATCTTCTAAAGTAGAGACTAGTAATAGATTGTTATTCCCCATGCAGATCTATCTTAGAGGCTTCTGAAGCAGTGTTCCAAATAATACTCTGCAGTCATTTTTTAACAAATTAAAGGAAGTATTTAATGCATGACTGGATTGTTCCACCAAAATATTCTTAGCACTTAAATTTTGCTCCCTTCGTACAGGCGACCTCAGATGTGAGCAGAAAGCAATTAATGGTGTCCATGAATTTTTGTATGTTTTGTTGCCTGTGTTATTTGGAGGGAGAGGGAGGTGTTTTGCATCCTGCCAGCAGATGACCAAGGGGGCAGACATCACAATACAATCAAAATGTAGATTTTTATTTCATGTTTGTACTTTCCTATTTTATTATGATCATTTTACAGGTTTAGCATGCACAAAAAGCCAAAGATAGCAGACATGTTACATGGATTTGGGTAGAAATTACTATGAAGTGGCAATCTGTTGCATTTAAGTTTATTTTGGATTCAAGTTCTTTATACAATGGTAAATGTAGAGTATATAGGAATATCCAGAAGCGAAGATAAATCCTGCATTGGTCAGAAGGTTAGATTGTTACAGAATTGTCGTGTTGACTAGGAGAGTGTGATTCAGATGAGTAGCTTGGAAACTAATGGCAGGTGTCTGTTAGGGCCATGCTGGAGCTGGCAGCCTCTTATGTTTACTAAACATCCTGTGTCTTACAGATCTTCTGTAGTTCTTTTGCTCACCCTACTGTACTTCACTTCCTTCTGTCCTCCTGAAATTCTCTTTTGTTATCTTTGCTCTTAGCACTAAAATGCGAAAGGCTGCCTTCAGGGCTGTATCTTGTTCCCCGCACTGTTTGTTGTGCAAGCATGTTTTGGAGCTTCAGAATGTTTGCCTAAGTTATCTAGAGATCAGTCAGCCACCCACAAATGTTTTAGATCTACACTCTTCAAGCCACACTCTTTGCAGTCCTTGGATCTCTTTTTGCAACTTGGCTGATCTGACTTTAACTTGTGTCATGTTGTCCTGTACATTCTCTCTTTTTTCAGATTTTAATTTCATTAGAAACTTTCCAGTAAGTCCCACTACTTTTGCCTTATTTTCTCATATTCTTCATTCACCTTTCCTCTGTATCATTTGTCCTTCAGACATTTTTAGCTTTCATAATCTGCTTGTCATTCATCTCTTGCCCTTTTTACTTTTTTCTGGTGTGCCTCAGGATACTCCTCGCTATATTGCCTCACTTGGTAAGAAGCAAAATGTGGTGTAATTTTTTGTGTCAGTCAAAACTCTGGAAAGTAGTATATTAAACACAGCAAGCGGTTTGGCAGAAAGTAATGCTTACCAAAAATATATCTATTAAATGGAAATTTGAATTCAGAGGAGACTGAAAAGGGGGAGCACAACAGCAAGACAATTGAAGGAAGAATCTGCAAGATGAAGGTAAAACAAAAGCAAATTATGATCCTTGATTAGGAGAAGGAGCTCTGAATTAGTAAGAGGATCTGTTCTGGAACAGAGTCCAAATGAGTACGATAGAACAAAAATAAAAATTCTGTGCTGTATGCAGAAACAAACATGACTGAGGAGGTTTTCGGCCATTATATTCCCTAACACATGTTGACCTCTAAGCTAGACAGTAGAGTGTTTTTAAAGCATTCTTCATTTTGTCTTTTTAAGTGAATGCTAAAATTTGGAAGCTTCTCTGTATGAAGAAAGTTTCTTCATCTGAAAGTTCTAAAGCTATATAGATTTGGACTAACTTTTGCTTAGATGTCTATCCATGCTGTTTAGTATTAGTGAAGGAGGTGATGGTATAAAGTTGACAGCAGAAAACTTGAGGCAATGGGCATTTATTAAAAGTTAACCTACACTGTCTTCTTAATAAAGTTCAGCTGAGGAATGAGAGTATCAATGAATTTGCAGAAAAAGGAATATTTGCATTCTGAGTTTTGCATAAGGGATTTATAACACCACAGCCTGATTTTGGGGTGCTTTTGTTTACTGTTCATGGTGGGGCTGGATTTGGGAACCTGTGAAACTGAGTGTCACTTGGCAGAATTGGTTGCTTCTGATTCATGGTTTCCATTGAATATGAGACTTCTGAAAGGACAAGAAGTGTCCAAAAAATTCATGGTGACATGCTCAACCTATAAAACAGGAGAAATACAGATTTAAGAAAGAAATTCCTTGTCCGTTACTTGCTTATACTCAGCCTCAATTAAGCACAGTACCTCACTGCCTAAATCTAGATTTTTAAAAAGGAAAAGCAATCTGGAAAAAAATTTAAATCATTGCTTTATTTAAGTCAAATCTTCTCTTGAAGACCTTTAAATAGATTGAAAAATATTTTCAAAATAAATGGATTTCAGAATTACTAAGTAGATAAGAGTCATATGATATGAAAAACTTTCTTTCTGAAACATGGAACTTTTTCTTTTAAAGTTGTAACTCTGCATCTTAAATATAGTAATTGCACACAAGTTTATGGGCGGGGGTGTTAAATTTAGCATTTATATTATGATCTTGTTCCAAATCAGTATTTTGAATGTTATGTTGTAGGATTTAAGGCATGATAATTATTCTTTCTATCGTTCAAAGGCAATAATGGGTATTTGCTATCAGATTTTATTCTAGTGTGAGTATGTTATATTTCCATTGCTTGCAGTGCGGTTGCATACTTAGAAATTCAGGTAAAAATATCACTACAGGTTGTCTATTGGTTTTTCACATAAGTTATCGAGAAATGGCAACTTTCTTATATTTTAAGGTCTTTTGAATTTAAGAAAACAACTTTATAATTATTATTCTTTTTGGTTTTTTCATTGCTTTTAATTTGTATTTTGTTTAACACACTGTTTCCATTTTGTGAGCTTTCCTATGCATGTGCAAAATGTTTCTCCTCAGGCCCCCTTGTAATTCCTGGTCCTATTTTTATGAACCATCGAGAACAGGCTCTAGCCAGAATCAGACTCTCTCCAGCACCGCTAAAGCATAAACGGGACAAGCACAAAGGTATTTGGTCTTCCTTATTGACTAGGGTGGAAATAAGCCCAGCCTCCCAGTCACTTCTTCCAGATGCTGCATCTGTCTTTTCAAAGAACTGCACAAAATGAGTTCTGCCTTTTCTTCCTGTTAGTATCTTGTTACCTGAGGAGAAAGAAAACACATTTAAATGCTGACCTTTCTTTAGAAGTGTAAATGGTCACTTGTCCACATCATCTTTGTTTTTCTTTCCCCTTTTTATTTGTGAAATATGCTTTGTCTTTCTGTATGTCTTTTCTCATTTCTAATGCTGTCTCATTCTTAAGGTGGTTCTTTATTTTTATTTTTTCTTTAACTGTAGGAAACGTAACATGGTAGAGTGACTTAAGATTGTTGCACTGCATTTGTGGTTTTTGTCCTTTGTGTTTTGTATTTGGGGTGTTTACTTAAACATGTCAGTCCCAGCCTTGATAATTCTGGCCAATATCTTCTCATAGGTACGTTGCCTTTCAACAAGCCCTTTTTAGGAGTGAAATATTTGAAATAACGTAAACATTACTTTTTGCTAACTTTGAATGGGGAGAATACAAATCAAAATACACACTTTTCTCTGCAATGTTCTTGAGTTAAATGGTTTTATAGAGTACAGCTATTGAGGTGTCTTGGTATTTCAGACATTTTTGTATGTCTGAAATACATACAAGCCAGTTCCTTTTATCTTCAATTTCAAAGTGTGCCATCTGTTCAGATATAAATGACTTATGTGTTTTTTAGAAAGTAGTAGTATATTACTAACTGAACTGACTGAAGTTGAGCTGTCTCAAATCTGACTGTAGTTTGTATCTATCTGTGTATTGATGTCTCTGTACATGCATTATTTATATACAGAAGATAAATATGTAAAATGGAGGTTAGAGACCTGGTCAAAGTAGGAAGCTCCTAAAAATGGTGAACCCAGAACGTTTCAGCTCTTTTCTAAAGAATACCTAAATATTAAAAAGAGTTAGTATGGTATTTCAGTTGAATTCGTGGAAGTTACTGATTGTATTTGGCATGTGTGCAAACAAACTGTTTATCGGTTTGAAGCCTTATGGGATTAAGTTTCAGTGTATGTGGGTGATGGGCTTACTGAGTTATGAACATACTGGATTGTGAAATCATCTTAAGTTTACTTTATGGAAATGAAAGCAAAATCTGTTGCTTTGAATCTGCAAAACATTTAGTCTTTGGAAGGCATATTGTCTGAGCTTTAAGTCTGGATGGACTTAGTAGGATAACCTATCATAATCTCACTGGAGAGGTTGCCTGCTGAAGGAGCACATACTGAATTTAAGTTTTGTTATGAGAGTGACAATTTGCTGATGGCCATTATTCTTGAGCTACATACTACTACTAGTTGTAGTGCAAACCCTTGACTCCACAGGCAAGTCCATAAAGTAGTATGCTTGTTCTGCCTCCATCTGTGTTTTTCTGGCATGTGTTAGTTGTTGGAACTCATTTCAGATCAAGTATCTCCTTACAAGAGGTGTATTCATTAGTATCAGTTTGAGGCTTATGTTGCCTCTTGGAGTTGTAAGAACAATATAAAAGGTCTGTGTTGTGCTGGAAGACTTTGGTCAGATATGCCCTATAGAACTGAACATTTCTTTTTCTTTAGGGAAAACTATATGGAAGGAAATACTCAGTTTATTTCGGTTCTTTGTGTGTTATGGTAAACAGATAAGGAGGTTTTCAAGTAAACTTTTAGACCCTTCTCTGCCTCAGAAGACTGACTTTCAAAAAACAGCCGTAAATTTGACTAGGAACTAGAAATATCCCTTAACTTCTCAAAGAGATTCCAAGGGGAAAAGGAAAACTGAAGTGAAGTGGGTTGTTATCCAATTAACAGGCAAGGTGAGAATTGTGAAAAAGATAACAGAGGCTAGACAGTGTTAAAGGAATAAAGTAGGTATTTATTGAAAAGGCCTTCAAAGGATACCTTGGGCAGTACAGAAACCCAGCTGTGCCTGCACTCAAGATGAACTCTTAGTCACAAGTTTTCACACTTTTACAAGTTCTGGTCCATTTCCATATTGGGGTTAATTGTCCAATTTCAGCTTCAGGTTCTGGAGTCGCATCCTCCCAGTTTGCTCTCCTCAGTTCCCTGCTGTTTATACTTTTTGGGCCTGAAGCTGCCACAGTGTCCTTGGTTCTCAGGCTGGAAAAGGATCATTTTGTCTAACTGAATTATGAAGAGAACTTGTTAACGCTTTATATGAAGTTCAGAGTTATATACTAATACAGTACAAGAATCTGGAAATTATGAAAACTAAAACTTAAGGCATCAAAAGGATTAATGAAAGTCTGTAAAGTTTTCTCAAGTGCAGAAATTAACTAAGTAGAAATAAAAACCAAAGTAAGCTTCTTGAGTCAGCTAAGATTCAGCAGATTGAATGCCATCTATTTCCTGTATTTGGAAATAGTGGTAAACATTCTAAGGAATACAAAACAAATACCCTCAAAACGACTAAGACTAGATGAAGCTGAACCTGCATGGATGGAACAAGATATAGGTCAACCATTTTGCAAACACTAAGACAAAATTACCAGATGTTCAAGAAAACTTACTTGGAAATTTACTTTTTAACTTTTTGGCTGTCTAAGATATGATGTGAAGGGCAGAGTAGTTTGAAGCACTCATTGGAGTGAGACAGCTGACAATGAAAAACCTACATCTAAGACTGAGTTTTTGACCAGAATGTGAGTTTGTTATCACTTCATTGGATGTGTTATACACTTGTGACTCTGCATATTGTACTTCACCTGTAAGCTCAAGTAAGCTCTGTAGCAACCTCTAAAGAATCCAACAGACTTAGTTTTGTGGATGGATGATTTTCACAGCCAGAGTATATTTATTTTCTCCCTGCACTGTAGCTATAAAATTGGTTACAGATATTTCAGCTGCAGCCTGGGGTAGACAGCCAAGAAGCTGCAGGCACAGGCTGATTAGTTAAAGTGATGTTGTATATAAAGTCTGTAAATTATGGCACTCACAACACCCTGTGAGAGTTGGACATCACAGAGATTAACCAGTAACTTGACCAATATGCTTTATTTGGGTGATTGCTGCTGAATAGAACCAAGATTTGTTGGCATGTGATGTAGTCTGAAGAGACAGTTAATGTAAGAATTTTTAATATAGTCATATTCCATTAACACTTTTCATCTGTAGGGTATTTAACATCTTTAGAAGTGCTTTTTCTCTTCTCCAAAGATGGATGGTAAATGAGAAATGGAATATCACCATCCTTGCTGTTGGAGAACACTAACAAAATGCTTTTCCTCTGGTCTGGGCCAAGCAAGGGTCCACTATATCTTTCTGTAATGATGCTGGGTTTGGGTTTTTTGCCAGTAGAGGTCTCATTTAAAGGTTATTACTTCACTTGCTGTTGAGTCCGAATGAGGTTTTCGTTTGTTCCTGGAAAGCAGTGGGTTTTGTGGCAGCAAAATGCGCCAAGAAAACTTCTAAGCGCATTTAGTGGTGGAGGAAAATTGTCTTCAGGAATTAAGAACTTTCTGAGTGGTAGTGGGGATTGGTTGGTTGTATTTGCAGTTCTCTCTCTTTCCTTCCCTAACTTTGAGATACCAGAGATGAAAACCCACCAGATGTTGTTCATGGAGCACACCCCTCTGTGTTGACAGCAGAAAGTACTTTTCCTTGGGATTTTCTTCTCCCTCAGAGAGATGGAGTCAAAGGTGCTGTTCAGTGGTACCCCAGCTGGATAACACTGGAGGTACTAACTTGCTCTACTTAAAGGTTCCAGTGCATCCAACAAGAAGAGTCTCTCCTTCAGTAGGCTTTTTATTCTTCTCTTTCAGGAACAGTTACTTTGATATTACTTTTAATGAAATGAAAAAAATGCACAATTGTTTGAAGGAAAACAAATGTCTATCTCCCTAGTTACAGTTATTCCTTGACACATGCAAATAAGCTTTCAGCATCCACTTTTGACTCACTTTTTTTAAAAAACTTTGACTGTTTGAAAGTAATGGAAGGAAAGAGGATGGCCCAATTTATTTGCAGCCTTATCTCTTAAGCGTAAGTTCTCTTAGAGAGTGCTGCTGGAAAAATACGATACGTATTGGCCATGTAATGGAGTAGAAGATAAACACTGTAGTCCAGAAATACAGCTCTAAAAGTAAGCAATGATATAATGATATTCTATTTGGCTTTGTGTTTTTTGGTCAAAAGACCTTTTTTTTTTTTTTCTAAACAAAACTAGCTGTTTTAGTTGTAGGGTTTTGTTGCACCACAGATAAATTATCAAGTGTTGAAAATCCAAACAATTCAAAACTCTTGAGACAGTTACTAATTATGCAAAGAAGGCTGACAGGAATTCCATTTTCAGTCAAAAATTTCACACTTGAACAAAATAAGATATGTATGAAAGATAGTTGCTTCTATTCCTGCATTCTTAGAACCTTTGAGAAGTTAGCTTTGGAAATTGAAAACGCCAACTTTGTTAAACTTTATTCTTTAAAATAAATTTTTTTCTCACATACGTAATTGCAAAACTTGTTTCATGTGAAGGTACTTGTCTCTGCATCTTGTATTTAGTGTTTCCTCAAGGGAAGTACTGTGTTATGCTTTCATTTACAACTTCGGAGAAAATGAGGCTGTATCTAGAGTCAAGTTTTATTTAATGGTAGTATCACATTTATCAGCTGAGATAACAGGAATCCCCAACTTTTTATTAGTGGTTTTTTAAGCGCTTTAGAGCAGAATGTTTTTCTTACAGTGAGGCAGAAATGCACATGTGCCTCTTTAAGTTTCTGCAGATCACTTGATGTGCTGCTGTTACATGACCAGAAGACACCAGCTGCTACCATTTGCTGATGTGACTACATGGGTGACGTGGTTGCTGTAAGCCCAGTGTGTTTCATTGGAAGTGCGTGCAGGACACATTCTTACTGGACATGTGTGTTTCTGACAGATGATTATTCAAGTGCATTTACACAGTGAGAGAGCTCGTATTTTTTATTACTTAGCAGTGTCTGAGGGGAGGAGTGGATACAGGGGCCACAGATAGACTTCCAAAATAATCAGCTGTTTTTCTGCTCCTGTCTATAAAGCTTGTGTGAAATGGGGAAGCAGTAAGCAGACTGATTGCTGAATAAATAATTTTGGTGGCAATATCAGCTGCCAGAACCACTCCTGGTTACTTTGGCACATAAGAGTTCATTGCAAAAGTAGGCATAAAAAGTTCAAAGGTACTGTATTTGAGAAGTAGTAAAAGTTGACTAAAATACTGTGAGCTGCTTAGGACAGAATTTAAGAAATTTAAGAGGAAAACTGTAATTTTGAGAGGGTTGTTCGACAATGATTCTGTCTTCTTATGTTTGCTTTTGTTACCAATAAAAAAAAAGCTGCACACAGACCTTCAGAGACTTCTTCTAATTTGTGTGTAGTCTGGTAGTACACAACCTCAAAAATGCCATGGCAATTGTGAGAGACAGGTTTTTTTAACCACGTCTCCATTTCACACATATCCAGCATGTAGTGCATGTTTCAAAGGGATAATTTACCTATGCTTTTAAACCTAGTTCTTCAAAACCATTAGTAACTTTACACACTGTTCTTTACAGATGTGAACTACATGCAGATTAATGTAATTTCTATACTCAAGTAATCACTAGAAAATAGCTTTATTCCTTCAACAGTAAGACTTTAAAAACTGGCATGTAATGAAAGTGTGAAATGACATTACTGTATCAGCAGTTCCTCTGTAATGACAAGAAAAATTTGAGCAATATGTGTAAAAACAGAATTATATTTAAAAAAAATTTTAAGTCTGTAATTACTATGCTTCACAGAGGGAATAATGAAGTCTTGAAGTTGAGATTTCCACTGATGATTATTCAGGAAAACGTGTTGAAATTCTAAGTAGATATCTAAATTTCACAATACCTTGAATTCTTTAAGAAGCAACTGTTTCCCTGTATCAGTTTTGTTAATAGAGCAGTACTTAGACTTGCCACAGAGAGAATGTGCAGTCTTCTATGTGGAGTTATTTCTTGCTTCATGTATTTCTGTAATTTCTCTATGCTAGATAGAGAGTGACTGTAGTTTAACAGGTGATGGAAACGTTCTGATTTCTGGAGAAGATGGTAGCTGGCAAGAAATTTAGGAATAACACGTTGCACTTCAGTGCTTCTGACCAATGTGAAGGCAGTTTGACTTTAGGAGTCATTAATGCACTTCATACTTACTAAACTCATACATGCTTACTAAAAGAAATGACAGAAATGTTGTCTAAAAATGCATGGAAGCAGACAGGAAACAGACATTCTCTTGGTGAGTTGTCTGCATTGTTAGAAATGAGCTGTGTAAGTAATTATCACCTATTTAAAACAGGGACTCTGTGGCTGAATTGGAGTCAATTCCTTAAAGTAAACTCCTTAAAGAGTAGTAACTGGAAAAGGTAGACTAGGCTATGCCTGTTAAGTTTAACTACAGTGTTGCCTACTTACTAAGGCTACCTTACTATAGAATGAAAGTGATGGCTTTTAAGCAAAGCTTCTGAAGTTTGCATTTTCTGTTTTGCTGTTCTTTTTGTCTGCTCATTGGGAAGTTTCTGCTTTAGAGGATCTTTTCCAATGTGTACCTTTATAGAACATTGTTTAAAAATAGAGCTTCTGTCGTCTTTCACATCTGCTTTGATGCCACATTTTGAGCTCTTTTGCTACTTTGTGAGTTCTCTCTTCTACCTTACAAGTGGTGGAGTGGGGAGTTACTTACTATTCTTGTTCTATTCATTCTTCTAATATAACTTTATTAGAATGCATAGTATATAATTTTAAGCCTTGTTTATAGATGGAAGTGGAGAAAGAGGTGAGAAGGATGCCAGCAAAATCACAACATATCCACCAGGGGCTGTCCGCTTTGACTGTGAGCTGCGAGCTGTGCAAGTCAGTTGTGGATTTCACCATTCAGGTAAAAACAAATAAATCAATGTTAATTATAATAATAGGGGGTTTTTTAAGGTTGTCATATGTGTCTTCACTGCTTTGTGTTCAATTTTTAAAATGGATGTATGCAGGAATGCTGAAAGTTGAAAACGTGGCAGGGTCATTTTGTCACATCTCAAAGAATCACACCATGTGCCTAAGAGTATTGTCCAAACACTTCCTGAACTCTGTCAGGCATTTGTTACCGCTTCCCTGTGGAGCTTATTGCAGTGTCCAGTTACCCTCTGGGTGAAGAACCTTTTTCCAATATCCAGCCTTAACCTTCCCTGATATATTTTATGCCATTTTATTACAGGCTAAAGTAAGATCACCACCCAAATCCTCACATTACCTCCCTTATTCCAGCAATGAAAGGCATCTCACTGTCCTTCAGTAGTGAAAAGGGCTATAAGTATCATACACTGAGTTATATCAGAACTTGTAAGCAATTTTGAAGTCAATTTAAAACATTTGCTCTACTCCTGCAGACCTCTACATTCCTGCTCATTGTTGTGGGTTGTGGAATCTGATCTGGGTCTCTTGGGAATCATAAACTGCTACTCAGAAGGGTAACTAGGACTGGTGCAGTGCCATGTCATGTGTGTATGTCAGATAAATATTTTGTTGTTTTTCAGTGGTTTTGATGGAAAATGGTGATGTTTACACATTTGGATATGGGCAGCATGGTCAGCTTGGACATGGTGATGTTAATTCCAGGTAAGCTGGTAATCAAAGGATGTGATTGTGTATTACTGTACTGCTGCATAAGAAATGGCTACATTTCTCGCTCTATAGCTAGCAAGTGTGAAAATTCAAATATAGACCAAATAAAGTTGAAGAGCTCTTGTACTGCATTTACTCCCTATAACCCCCTGAATACTGATGCAATAACAGCAGTCTTGTACTGCATAAGTAATTTATTTAACACATGAAATCTTCTGTGCATAGTTATTAGCATTGCTTTGATAATAGTTTGAAAGACTTCTCTCTCTTTAATTCTCCCTGCATCTAAGAATTACATTGATGAATTACATTGGATTACATCTCTGCATATGAGAATTACATTGATGCCTCATTAAGATTTCATTATTTCTGTAAAATACTGCATATGCAATAATTGAAATAGTATGATATTGTAAATCTAGATTAACATGTTCCTGTTAAATCAGTGATAAGAGCTCACAGAATATTCACAGAATCACAGAATGTTCTGCGTTGGCAGGGACCCACAAAGATTGTGTCCAGCCCTTAAGTGAATGGCCTGTGTGAGGATCAAACCCACAACCTCGGTGTTACTAGCACTGTGCTCTGACCAACTGAGCTAATCTCAGTTCAGTTATGATGAAGTCTCATTTTTTTCTCATCAGTTATCTCCCAAATGAAGTCCCTAAGCTTTGGTCTCAGCTGCATTTTGTAGTCACTTGTTTTGGGTGTTGATAGAAGAGTGATGTGTGCTTTCTTTGTGGTCAATGGAAGTAGAGAAATCACCAGAGCATGGAGAGGTATTACATGCTTTAGTTGTGGTGTGCTTAGTAGCTCTGTAAACCTGATCTCTATTGACTACAGTGAGAGCACAGATAATTAAATATAGATGCCTTTAATGTGAAGCTCAATCTCACCCTTAGTATCTCATGCTTAGAGTCACATCTTTTCATTAAAGTAAATAAAAAAACGTTGTCCTGCCATAAAAGGAAATGTGATTTAGGTCTTTGGACATGTACATATGCCATATAATGCACACAATGGAGGTTTCTGTGGTAGGAATCTTTGAGACTTTGTGTATGTAATGCTCAGTATCCTTATGTAGAAGGCATAAAGAGCAGAGCATCCATGACGTGTCTTCAGTTCTCTTGTTTCTCTTGTAGCAGTCAGGTGAAAGTTACTGACCATCTATCCTCCTAATCTCTTTGGAGACTTCAAAACCCTTTCTTTTGTCAAGTTCCTGAAGAAATCTTCCGTCATCTTAAAACTTGCATTGGATTCATTATGCCAAAGGGAGAGAGGGAAGAAAGAAAGTATACTGGAAATACTGCCTTGTATTGGCTGCTGTGCCTGGTAGTAGGCTCTGAACTGTCACCCCTACTCAATTTGCATTAGACTGGTGAATGCAGTCTGGGTTTCTGTCTATGATAATCATATTGCAGACAAGTACTCTGTTTTTCCTTCCTGGAAATTCTTGGGTATTTGTTCCAAGGAACAATGGCTTAAACTAGCAATTCATGTTGCTGTTAGAAAAAGGCCAGTTTCTGTCTTCAAGACTGAAGAGGTACACATAGCAGTGTCATTTGTACTGGTAATTTAATGTCACCTATTTCTAACTTTGATGAAATCACTTGGCTTTTCAGAAGGGTTCAGAGATATCTGCAGATATCTGCTGTATTTGTCAGTATTTCAGGTAGTAAACCCTACATCTGCTGCTTATTTAGATAGAAACTGGATGAAGACCAGTAGTAGTTCCAAGTGAGATCCTAAAGGAGAATATGAAAATTCTTATGCTGAAGGATAGTGCTTGACCAGAAGTAGAAGCTGAGGAGGTGCCAGTGACGTGGCACAGACCTTTGTATCATTCTACATCAGACTAGAAAGTGTCTGAAAAAAGCCTTGAAGAAATTTGGAGTATGTCCTATGCATGAGAACTGGCTGTAGTACTATATTGCTATTTAGCACCATCATTCAAATTATAATTTCTTCATTGATGTACTTCTTTTTCCAGCTTTAAGTAGAGATCTCTCCTCTGTCCTCACAGTAAGGGATTCAGAGAAGGAAACAGGGAATCCTTATGCAGAGTTCCACCTCAGTTGGGACGCAGTGGTGCTCAGATGGCCAGCTCCTGCCAGGTCAGTGGTATGTCAGTCATGCAGTGTGTCACATTGCCTGTATTGACCTCAGGAAGAGCATCATCTTCTGAATTCAGGAACTGATACTCTACTGTATTTCTGGGACAGAGAGAGGAGAAAAAAAGACAAGTAATATTTAGGCATCCTTTCAGAGGCTTTTGACTTGAAGTGTAAAGATTTAGTTGTGAGACTATTTTTAAAAGTCTTGAAAGTGTTCAAGTATTTTAAATTCTGAACACCTGTTCAGACATGCCTTGCTCCTTAATTAAGGGGATTGTAGACTCTTCTAAGAGAATATTGTAAGCATCACAAATTCTTCCTCTACTTCAGCAGGAATGAGGTAGATTACATGCCCTATCAGTAAGCTGGAACCATTAAATTAGCCTGTGTAGGCTTTTTGTTGTAGCATCCACAGTGACAGATGTTGATAAGCTACATGAAAGATTTGTCAGTCTGTGCTTATATTCTCCTCAAATTAGATGCTGGTGAATACAAACTCAGTGGAAGCCAGAAATGTTTTGCAGTATCTAGTCTTGGTGAAAAATAGTATGTATTGTGCTCAGGTAAGCAAAAGCGTATTTGTTGCTGATGCTTCCCTCAAGAAGCTGGAAGTTAAAACTCCAGGATCTTTCTGTTACTGTTCAAAATCTGTCTGCATTTTTTTTGTACAAACTTGACTTCAGCACTCCAGTAGCAAGTACATGATCTGACAGCCAAGCTTCAGAAATGGAATGACTGAAGTGATATGGTCTTGATAGGATTTTGCTTCCAAAGGTTCAACAGTAGCATAATCCAAAACTGATCAGACCTTCCATAGATGATTACCTATGTTCCACTTGAAGAATAGAGACTGTTCTCTGTTAGTTACTCCAGGGGGGAAAAAAGCATTCCATTACCTGTTTGTTAAGATCATGTTTCTAGGTGTATTTTCTGATTATTTTACTCCAGTGGTGGAGTGCAGGTCATATTTACATATTTTCACCAAATTTCCTCTAAAATGGAGTCACTTCTAAAATATAAAAATCTCCATTTTGTCTGTAAAAAAGTTGTCCGACTCTGCTTGCAATGGACAGAGGTTGCTACTGGTTTCCTCTTGCCCACCACACAGAAACATTTCCCAGTGAACCGTGTTTGCAGCACCACGGTCAGCTGCCCCAAGTGACATGTTGTGGGAACTGGCAGGCAGCTGTTGGCTGCGTGAGTACCACGGACAGCGATTGTTCGAACAGGTCATGCATGATGAATTTTCAAAGACTACAACTGCTCTGAGAAATACTTACCCTTTGGGATGGAAAAGGGTTTCCATGTGGACAGCCAGAATGCATCTGGACCTTCTTCAGGATCCTGTGTTAGCTGATGCATGTACATCTGCTCAATTATTCAGCAGTTGTTACTTTTTCCCACGGGATCTCAGGTTAATTTCTCTATAGCTGAGGTTGGTCTTCTGTGATTGACCAAACGTTCTGTGACTTTGACACCAGTATGTCTTTCCACTCCATCCCAGAAGAATAGTCCTTGTTTTCTTTGATTCAGATGGAGAAACTTTTATTGTTAAAACTTTGCCCACCGTCTCTCAGACTCTCCAGTGTTTGTTCTGAGCTTTCCTGTGTTGAGTTTCAGGGGGATAGGGAAATACTCAATATTATCACAGGTTTTAAATTATATGTGCACTGGTCAAACTACCTACTATATTTTTTTAAATCCCTCTTCCTTTTATGAAGTGAAAACTAGTTATCTGCAGTTCATGTTTATTTTATGATGTAGTTAAGTATCTTGCATTTTTTTTCTGTTAATTTCTAAATGAACTGATAGACTGTAGTTGGCCATTCCAAAAGTTGGGTGATAATAATGAAAAAGCTATTTAAGAGGGTAATGTATTTCATCTCTCTGCATTAGTGGCTTATTAGATCTTTGTTCTGCCGTTGCCAAGAGGCTATCAAACACAGCATTCGTATAACATTGCTGATAGATTCAATTGGAAGAACAGAAAGAGAAATAGTTATGGTGATAATAGCTTAGCTTTTAAGCATTAGAAGATGAAATATTCACTGGGTTTTTTTGGTTGGGTGTCTGCATGGTGGTTTTTTTTTTTTGTTTTTTGTTGTTTGTTTTTTTTTGTAATAAAGATGTGATTGATAATTCCATGCCTGCAGCTACCATAGTTTCAAGAGAGAGGAAGAAAAAACTTATGATAAAAATACTTCCTTTTTAATAGGGGTGGTTTTGGATTAGTTACTAGTTATGTTTTATTTATGTTTTGATGCCTTTTTGAGTTTCCTTAAAGTTAATGAGAGACAAATGTAAAAGTTTTTTTTTTTAATTTTATCATTGGTGCTGCTAAACTATGCTCTATGTCTGTGTGTAATCATAGCAGTGTCCGAATCTATGTGCCTGTAGCTCAAGATAAGTGCCTAAATATGAGTGTCATGTTGTATATCCTCTACTTAATTTTATTCTGCCCTACACTCCCTCCATCCTCACTAGTCGCCCACTGAAAGCTACATTTACCACCAAAGAATACTTCTTCTATATAACTGTGTTCATCCTTTAGGTTATCAACATATCTTCATTCTGCATTCCTGTGTTCCGCATTTTTCATATGTTCACATCTTCCCATCTACCCTTTTTCTGCTGAACATGATGCTTCACCTTCTTCATACTTTCTTGACTTCTATTTTACTTGCAATTCAGCCAAAATCAGAACTTTGAGATGAACCATCTTTTACCACATCAGCTGCTAAAATAATCAGTAGGTAACTATGGGCTGGCCCTTTTTTTATTCCAGTATAATACAACCTGTTCTTATTTTAGATTACCCTACTTTTGAGAGGCTGTGTTTAAAAGTAAGTTCACATAGTGCTGTCATGCTCTGTAGAACTCTGGGCCCAATTTCCAAACATAAAATTATCTGAGAATAACTTGTTCTTCAAATTCACAGTCTTTAACTCCACAGGAGTTAAGGAAATATTAAGTCTAGGTAAACATTCATTATGGGATTCAAAGTCTTGTATGTTTCTGTTCTCCATGTTGGTATCGAAATAAAAATTTTATTGTCTCATACTTTTTATCTTTTGTGCTGTTTGTATTCCAAGTCATCAGTCCAAGTTTTCTTTCTTTGCATCTTGAAAACCCTGTCATTTTTTTTCCTCTTCATTTTTACTGAAATGGAAAGTTTATTTTCTTATGTCTGTCCATATATGGGAGACAAATGGATTAGACCTTTTCATATCTTTTTGGAAAAGAGTTTGGAGAAGTCTGTTCTTTATTGAGTCGGAGTTTGATGGGAGAGGAGCTGATGGAGAGGAGTAGACCTTTATTTCTTTTATAATTCTTTTATAATTCCCTAGCCAGTGATCTTGAGAGTGCTGTAGCAATATTGTTTCTGGTGACTGTACTGGAATAAGGCTTCAATCACTTTTTTAAGTGCTTAAGTAGAGTTCTCTGAACATATTTTACTGCTACATTTCATTGCAATATATTTTGTATTCATACAAAAATACACACATTTATATGTTACTGTATCTACACATCTGTAATTCTAGAATTACATATTAAATTAATAATTCTTATTCTATGCTAATTTCTGAGTTTAACTGAAGAGAGAGTCCTTGATCTGTTTCCCTGTAACAGAAGAGCATAAACTTAACTCTCTGTTGCAGTCTGTGTTGGTTTAATATGTAAGATGTTTCTCGGCTCTTAACTTTTTATAGTATGTGAATGTAGTGGATATATTTCTCAGCAATTGTAATACTTGTAATACTAATGTATGTTTTAAATGCTGCATGACCATGTATTGACATAGAGTTAATTTATTTTTATCTAGGGGATGTCCCACTTTGGTGCAAGCATTACCAGGTCCTAGTACACAAGTTACTGCTGGGAGCAACCACACAGCTATTCTCTTAATGGATGGCCAGGTTTTCACATTTGGAAGTTTCTCAGTAAGGAAATGTTACTTGCTTATGGGAATAAGCTAGTAGTTCATGTCTTGTTCAGAGACCTTTCAAGACTGCTTATACTTGCTCCAATAGAACTGTGCATGACTTCTGCATGTCTTCAACACCTGTTACATGTTTAAATGTAGCCTTTAATATTTTCTGATTAGAAAAGCAAAATGCCAGGAATTCTTGGGGTTTTTTATATTGAATGAAGGTGGTGATTTAAAACATTCTTTATTTTATAAGGTGCACCAGGTTTCTCAAACTCTTACTGTTTCAAGCTTGGTTCCAAGTAAATGTTGCCTATTCTATTACCTGTCTCCATTTGATAGAAAAAAGTGTCCTGGGTTCTTCCATAGAAACAGCAATGAGTTGCAGAACTTCTGCTTACACTTGAGGGGAGGAGTTATTGCTCAGTACAACACAGCACAACTCCAGTGGTCTTCTTTCATATCCACATGGTCTATATTTCCCCAGGTCCATGTAGAATCCATTCTTGTATTCACTAAACAAATGCTTAAACATTGTTTTCTTCCCTCTGTGCCTCCCTGTGTTTGCAAAGATACCCCTTGTAGCGTATAAGTACTGAGCTATTTTTACATGCTTTTAAACTACGTACTGCCAGACACAACAGAAGAGAAATTTCAACTTTTGCAATCTTTTTACTGCATGTTACTTGAAAATGTCTTCACCAAGTTGACTTACTTATGTTGTTATGAAGAAAGATGAGTAATGTGCTGAACAGAAGACATTTGCTGTATATACATTTTTCTTTTCTGAAATAATTTTAACTTTATTGGCATACAGTGCATTTTCTGTGCCTGTGGGAGGTAGATGGAGCATGAGCAGGTTTCTGGCAGCAGTTCTTTCTGCACACTTAGGTGCAGTATATGAACTGTTGGTCCATCTCGGTAACTAGTTGTACATAGAAGTAAAGCCCTAGATCTCCAGATAAGTATTCATGAGCATGTGCAGAAGTGCTTGCTAAGGCACTGTTTTTCGTTCAAGTTTGACGTGCTAATCAATTTCTAAGTACTTTTAAGAGGTATTTGCTGTATAAAACTTAGTCCACATAAGTTCAGAATTTAATGGAACCTGGATGGTCTATCTGAATATATCTGAATATAAATTTTTTTTCTTATGAAACTATTCCTTGTTTAGCACTGACTTTAATCAGATGTTGAACGTTGTAGGAAAACAATGCTTTTACATTTGATTCTGAAGATGGAGAGGAGGGTTATCCATCATAGTTCGAAGTGTATTTAACAAAAACTTTACTCAAAAATGTGTCTGAAAAAGGAGAAGTATATCTGTCAGTAACTTGTTCCTTGTATAAATGTGTAACGCTTCACTTGGAGCACATTGCATTTTGAAGGTAGTTTTGTGGTAAATTCTCTTCCAGCTTACCAGTTTGGTGTGATAGAACTATTGAGGTAATTTATCCATCTTTGAGACTAACTGTTACTGTCCCTTACTGATTCTTACATTCTTCCTACAGAAAGGTCAGCTTGGCAGACCAATTCTGGATATGCCCTACTGGAATGCAAAACCAGCACCTATGCCTAACATAGGCTCCAAATATGGGCGCAAAGCTACGTGGATTGGAGCGAGTGGAGACCAGACTTTTCTCCGGATCGACGAAGCTCTCATTAATTCTCATGTACTTGCTACATCAGAGATATTTGCAAGCAGGCATATAATAGGCAAGAACTCTTCTATATTATTTTAAATGCTTACAGAAATACTGGACAAGAAAGTGAGTTCAGTTGTGTAAACAATAGAGGAGCAACATGTCAAAAACATTAATGGAGGGACTGAAATTTTTGCTTTTTAGTTTTACTGCATATGATGATCTTTCTTTAGAAAGGTGGTTTTTATTAAAAATAATAAAGTGAAAGTCTAACCTTCACTGGCATTTGAATCTTACCACCATTTATATTTTTGTTGTAGCAGTATATCTGTTCTTCCCTACTGTATAACGTGGCATTTTCTAAGCATGAAGCATTAATGAGTGGTGTCTTCATGTTTGCTCTTTCTGCTCCCTGATCTAGGTTTGGTACCAGCTTCAATATCAGAGCCTCCTCCTTTTAAATGTCTTCTGATAAACAAAGTAGATGGCAGTTGCAAAACATTCAATGATTCTGAGCAGGAAGACCTCCAAGGTTCTGGTGTGTGTCTGGATCCTGTCTATGATGTTATTTGGAGGCAAGTGTGGATTATAGCTATTAAAATAGTAATATATAAATCCTTTTTGTGAAATTGTGAAGGGCTGGAGATTTGATTATACTTATTTTCCCTGTAAATGAAAAACAATTTTTAGTCTTCCATAAATATATTTTCACATTTTTGGATGGTTTGTTCAAGTAAGACCAAAACAAACATGTTCTCTTGCCTGCATTTTTAAAATTTCTTTCCTTTTTTGCATCATTCTCATTCCAGCCTGATAATATTTTGGGGTTTCAAATCTGTTTTTTTTCTTTACTCTCTTAAATCCCTTTCCTCCATCTACCTAATGCTTGACTGAATAACTTCCTTGCCATATTCAGCTGCCATATGTGTGTGTCTTAAATTATTATTCTTCTGTCAGGCATTAGTGGTTAAGACCACTGGAGAAGGGATAGAGCAGTGGTATTCTTTCCAGTTCTCATATTTTGGGAGGTCAAAATAAAGGTGTTTATTTAGATGGCATAGATGTTCAGATTAATTTTATTTATTTCAGTCTTTGGAGCAGTCTTTGAGCAAATGTAGATAATAAGCCTTCGTTCCAACATAGAATCATAACATCCATTTCTTCTGTAACAATTTAAAAGCTATGTTAGCTAGGATTTGGAGAGAAATCTCAACTTCCATCCGAGTTCAAGAGCTTAATGATATTTAAATTGTTTGAACACAAAACAAGTTAGAGTGATGCAGGGAACCAGCTAGCCAGCATTCATGTGGAGAAGATGGTATCTCATGGGATCATGTCTTTAAAAGTTACTTGTATCCTACTTTGGATGTCTTCATCCAGAATTGAGATTCAAGAACTTAACAGCCAGTTAACATTGAAGCATGTGTTTGCCAGGCACATTTCTGTATAATGTAGGAAGTACCTTGGATGGTTGTAGTTCTGCATTTTGCACATCTGCAGGATTGTTTAAATCTCACTGGTTCCGTTCTTACTTAAATTATGCTGCGATTAGAAATAAGAGTAACACCCACATCCCTTAGAGTTCTATATTTTCAGCATGTTTAAATCCACTGAAAGACTCAATTTGTGAAATTAAGCAGTTATTGATGGCCATGGAAATGCAGCTAGTTTCAGGAGAGGCAAGGTAAAGGTGCTCAACTTGAAGACAATAAAATAGTTATTTGGCTTGAGGAAGTACAAAGTCACATGTTAGATATTATGGGTAAACATGAATTTAGATATTTTTCTGTCTTGTAGTACTTTGGGGACTGTAGAACTAAATCCAGAGATTAAATACTTAACTGGAGAGTGGATTTTCTGAGACTGCACAGATTTATTTCTCTGTTATATCCCATTTTTGTTCAATACAAAATGCTAAAACAGTCTGAAGAAGAGACATGTTAATAAATATGCCTATTAGTAGTTAAATACTCGGTATATTATTATTTCTGGACATTTTGATTCATGCCTATTTAAGTGATGGATTCAGTTTCCTGTACAGAGACAGCATTCTGATGATGTGCAGCTTAAATATTTTTTCAAAGCTTTGTGACTTAATCTCGTAGTGAAATTCAGGTAGATGTGAAAGGTCACGTGTGTATAACTTTTGGTAAAATCCTGAGTACATATGGTGCCCTTTAATACTTTTGGTTAAAACTGTTTATTTGTCCATTAGATTTTTGAAGGTGTAGCAAGTGAAAATTCCTTTTGTGTTTCTTCAGAGCACTTCCATAGACTTATGTCTTCTTGCTGTTTTTTCCTTTTACATAGTGGTTTCAAAGATCTCATTTTCTTTTTTCGATGTGTTAATCTATATTATCAAAAGTCTTTGTATTCCCTTCTTTATGCTGCCCTTTTTTATAATCCCTTAAAAACTCATGAGGTGATGTTACCCATTTAAAAAAGCCCAAACAAAAACCGTTGGATTCCTCAAGATTTTTTTCTCTTATTTGAAGGTAAGCCTTTTCCTTTCTCTTGGCATCTTTAAAATTTTTGAGCACATCTGCCATTCTGTTTAGTACTTTGCTAGTTACTTCACACTTCTTAATAGATAATACTGTTTTAACATTTGTTAATTTTGAGAAATGTCTCAATATTTTCTGAATTTCTAAACCCATAATATGACTTTTTGACTTAAGGTATAATAATGCTTTTGTATCTCTTCATTTGCTGGAGTGTTAAGCTAGTAAAATTTTCATGTATTTGCGATAGTGATGCTCAGTTTCAAGAGTTTATACCAGCAGATCTACATTTTACATTAAGTATCTTAAAAATGTAATTGTTGGTATGGTTCTATATTTTTTCAGTAGATGACAGGTTTTGTTCATTCTGTTTTGTCTTGCTGTAGGTTTCGCCCAAATGCCAGGGAACTGTGGAGTTACAATGCAGTAGTTGCTGATTCCAGGCTTCCTTCAGCTCCAGACATGCAATCCCGGTGTAGTATTTTGAGTCCAGAACTTGCTCTTCCAACAGGTTCCAAAGCTCTAACCACCAGATCTCATGCAGCTTTGCATATTCTAGGTATACATTTATAGTTCATGAGTCAGAACCTTAGATGAAGTAAAATAACATAACTTAATGTGTAAACAAAATTGTAATCTAAAGACTTCCTGACTTTTTCAGTTAAAATTTCACTTTGTAATCTTTCACCATTCCTCTTAACTTTTATAATTTGGCTGATCTAGTTATCTTCTGCCATCTTAATGATATTAGAGAATTTTAGAGGTCTGGTGAAACTTGTTAGATGCCTAGATAATAAAGTAAAAGACCATTCTAGATGATCTTTTTGGAAAGTCCGCAGAATAAAATTAGTACTCTTAACATGGAATCTCAAAAAAAGAACTCAAGCTTGGAAAAAAGTTGCCTTCAATAACTTATTTTTATTTTAAAGTAAATGCAGTATATAAAATCTTTGCAGTTTTGTATAATGAGTCACTAAGAGAACTATTACTTCCTTTTGTAATTTCTTTCTAATCTAAAAATGCAAAACTTAAGTACACTGTGTTTATGTATAAACTGGCCATGTGCAACATACCCAGTTATTTTAACTCGCTTGACCACTGATTATGATAAGTCATCTGTTCCTTGACCTGCTCACTTCATTGTGTGCTAGAGATGTGGTAACTTTCAACTTGAACAAGCACTTTTTTGTGTCTGTGTCAAAGTAAGGCATGTTAGGTACTTACGTGTATGAAACAAAACACCTTTTGTGAAGACTTGGAAATCTGCTTGTAATTCAGTTCCTACTTCAACTCTTTTTGGATAGCATTTTGTGAAGACGGGAAAAAAAATATTACTGGCAATGTATTTGCCATTGGAAAAGTTTCAGAATAGGTTTAATCACACTTGTTCATTATTCTAGATAGTAAATGAAGTTTATGTTCATTAGCAAGCCTTGAGATTCTGCAGCAGTGACCCTTAACCTAATCAAACGTATAAAGCTACTTGGTAGTATATGTGTGGTGTTGGGACAAAACTCTTAGATTGCTTTGATTTTCTTAACTAGTATTCATTTCTATTTCAATGATTGTAATCAACAGTAAGAGAATTTGGGTTCTTTTTGGTTTTGCTTTCTTTTAGGTTGCCTTGATACTTTGGCTGCTATGCAGGACTTAAAAATGGGTGTTGCAAATACAGAAGAAGAGACTCAAGCAGTAATGAAAGTTTATTCTAAAGAAGACTATAGTGTTGTTAACAGATTTGAAAGTATGTACACACTAAAATTTCATAGCACATGCTTATCAGCTTGCAGAACAACAGACTAAGATTAAATTTTTGTTGGGTTTTGTTTCTGCAGGTCATGGAGGAGGCTGGGGTTATTCAGCCCACTCAGTAGAAGCTATCCGTTTCTGTGCTGATACAGATATATTGCTAGGTGGTCTTGGTCTTTTTGGTGGTAGAGGTGAATACACTGCTAAAATAAAGGTAGGAGTTTTTGTTTTGTTTAAGCAATATTATATCTCAAAATGTCAACTTCCAGTAATGCTATCTAAAACCATGATTACTTTTATTTCTTGATGAATGAGTGAGTGGTTTACTGTATGTGGAAAGCATTATACAGGCACAGTGGATGAAGTAAAGAGCTATGAATTACCATTCTTACTTTTCATGAAATTGGCCCATTCTTATGTTCATTAAATGCTGTGCCATCCTAGGGATATCTTGGGCAGGTATTTTAGTGGTCTGAATGGTTCTGTGATCTACACAAAGCTCCAGGGTCCACCAGCAGAAAATTGGTGTTGTGGGCTTCAGGTTAAAATCACATCCTATGTGATGCATGAGGAGCTGTTCTCAAAAGCAGGAAAAGAATCCTTATCAGGAGCCATTGCTTTCCACTTTCCCTGCCACTTCTTTGTCAAACTGCTGTCTGGATAGCTTCTGTGCTGGGATTCTTCAGCTGAGAGCAAATGGCACCAAATACAATTAACTCTGTGCCAAACGTAGGCATGATTATGGGCGGAGCATGTGTGCTGATTGTTTTAAAATAAATAAACCTGGCGTTGGATAAATAAACCTCACAGAAACACACACTGGTGTAAGAGCTCTGGTTTTGGGTGAGTGTTTTCTGCTCCTACACTTGATAAGGATTTTGGTGAAAGATGTTATAGCTGAGATTTCTATTAGTTGTTTGTATATTCAGAACCTGTTATTGTTGTTACTTATCATTTAGTGGATTATTGAATTTTCTCCCTCTATTTTCAGATGAATAGGTTTTGAGGTTTGTTCTAGGGAAATGGATGACAGACTTAGCAGTAACATTTGCCTAAGCCAACAGGAAATCGAAAATAAGTAGTTGCACTTTATTCTAGTTTAATATAATGATTGAGACTTGCAAATAACTAAGTACAGCCAAAAAACTTAACGTTAATCACGCCTTTTAAATACCAGAGGTAATAACGTTATGTTAGTGCTCTAGCATTATATTTTCAGTTTGTTTAGGATTAGCTTGTAGCCAAGATAAGATCTGCCAGTCCTGCCAGAAATAAGCTGTGTATTAAATAGGTGTTTGCAAGAGAAGTCAGAGACATGTATTGTGGTCCTTTTTCAAAACCATCAAACTGTAGAAATTATTTATAAGTAAGAAAACAAACTTCTCCTAGGTTTTGTCCCAAGTCACCAACTGTTCATAGCTCTATCGACTATCTGCTGAACTGTCAAGCTGTCCCCTTATACAGAAGCTGAGTATATCTTACTTTTATATAGTGCATTTCAGTCGGTGATGGAAAACCTGCAACTTCTGCCCAACTTTGCCTTTTTTAGATGCTCTGCTTTTGTCTTGTTCCCTAGAATTAGGGACTTTCTCCACTTAAAAATGTATCTGGACATAAGGCTGGAAGGTCAGTGTCAATTGCTGTTTCTTAACACTTAATGCCTGACTTCCAAATGTGGTTTTGCCTGTCAGTGATACTAAGTAGTAGTTATTTGTGGGAAGGAAGACGATTTCCAGGATGCCAGACAAGAAGAAGTGGTGTTATGGGGTTTCTAACACCTAAGACATAATTTTACCTTTTTTCTTACTTCACCAGTTGTTTGAATTGGGTCCAGATGGGGGAGACCATGAGACAGATGGAGACCTCCTTGCTGAGACAGATGTCTTAGCATATGACTGTGCTGCCAGGTAAGATGTTTAGCTTGCCTACTTATACCTGCTTCTTGATCTTTATTTTTACCTCCCTGTACACATTTTGGTATCACTTTAAATATCAACAGAGATAGTCTACATCATGAGAATTTTGTAGCAAGTGATGTAAAACACTTGATGTGTGAAGAGAAATAGTAAAATACAAAATACGTCCCCAAACCAATAAGGTATTTAAATTAAAAGAAGAAAAATAATCAAACTCTTGCTCTCGTATAAATCCAAGTCAAATACCATCTTCCTGTGTTGAGACCATAAGACAAAGTATTGTAGCAGCTCTTTTGTGCATATAGTTTGGTTTATCCATGTTGTAGCTGCTTTTTCGTTCTCTGTAATGAAGTAATTTAAATTTCAAATGATATGTGATTAATTCTTTCAGGTTTAAATCTTATATATCAATCCCCTAAATATATATCCTATTAATTTCTTTAATGCTTATTGTAATTACTAAGAAATTATGTATAACTTTTTGTCATTTGCAAACATTTTGTGAAATCAGTATTATGTAGTACTTCATAATTAATACTTTGCTTGCAATATTGTATATTAGATGTAATTGGGTTTATTTAAGTTAATTTAACTTAATGTCTTCTTACTCTGTTTGGCATTGATACAATTGTTCATAATTCAAGATCAAGCACAACTCAGGCATTTGTAGGTCCTTCTGAATTATTTTTTAATTACTAAAATATTTTTAGATTAAAAAGTTTTGGGTTTTGAATGTAAATAGATACATCTTAATACCATTGCTTCTCAATTTCTTTTAATAATTAGGGTGTAATTTGCTAGAAGCGAACATAAAAATAATTAACAGCTAACATTTTCCAAAATTTATTTCTCCCAGAGAGAAATATGCAATGATGTTTGATGAGCCAGTTCTCCTGCAAGCTGGCTGGTGGTATGTAGCCTGGGCAAGAGTGTCAGGACCTAGCAGTGATTGTGGATCTCATGGACAGGCCTCTATTACTACAGATGATGGGTATATTTTTTTCTATATTTTTATTGAAAAAGAGAGCTCTAATAAGACTTGAATAATTACTAGGTTGTTTGTCTTTCAGTGTTGTATTTCAGTTTAAAAGTTCCAAGAAATCAAATAATGGTACAGACGTGAATGCAGGGCAGATTCCGCAATTACTATACAGGTAATACTTTAACCTCTGGAACAATTTCCTGACATGTTTTTTTAAACAGAAATATTAAATTCATTATAACCGTGTTGTATGAAAATATTACTGTATTAAGTGAAAGAAATCAGTATCTGAAAAATGTAGGGAAAACTTAATGCCTTTGAGAAGAGTAATGAAATTATACCCACATTTACTTCCTTGCTATTTTTCTTGTAGTCATGCTGCATGAATTTTTAAGATTTTCATTTACATCCATAGAATCTCACAATAACATGAAAAATATTTTTTGCTAGTTGGAAGGTGCTCTATTTGGTTGCCCTCAGTTTAGGAACTCTTGAACAGATGATGTTAATGAAACAAAGCCAAAATCAACAATGAACTGTGCTTTATCATAAGTTACCATAAACTTATCATTGCCTTGATAAATGTCACATGTTTTAATAATCAGGAACTCTTTCACTGTGTTGATAGTATATTTTACAGATGTCCTCAGATAGATACATGACATAATTTTTATATATTGTGTGTATATAATTCCCCTGGCTTCCACACTGATTTTGAACCTTAGAATTCTTTGATACCAGTTCTCTTGTCCTTTCTAAGGATGTCCTTTTCAAGGTTCTTTGCAGAACAGTTCACTTCTGCCATTAAGCTTTTTCCCTATAGATTCCCTGTCCTTTTAGGTGAAGGTTTCATTTTGATGTATATCAAGTCCTAGCATGACAGATGATTCATCATCTGAGTGATTTCTATGGAGAGATGGCTGTAGCCAAAAGGCAAACAAGCCTTGAGACCTCTGAAGACCTTTGAGTGGCACAAAAGGGAAGATGCTGCAGTGATAGATGCTGTCTGTATTTTTTAACCTCCACATACATTTTCCCTTCACAAAATCAGTGTTCTTTTAAGGAATAACATTTCTAGTCCTGATGTCATCTGAGGAAATGCAGTAGATACTAGTAATTATTGCATGTAATTAAATCTCAACCTCATTTTTAGTTGTCACAGTACTGCCAGTTGGAGAGAATTCAACATACTTGGTTACTGATCTAGAATGATGAGGAACTGGAAAAATTATGTTGAAATGGAACCTCTTTTTTGAGATTTCAAACTGTTTTCACTTTGGTTCTTTTCCCCACTTGAACAATAAAAACAGTAAAAACTACAAAAAGTAAAAAACCAAAGCAAAACACCAAACCCAACCGAAGACTCTACTAAAAGTAAAAACTGGAGATTTCAAGTAAGTTCTAAAATTGTTCTTCCAGGTTGCCAACAAGTGATGGCAGTGCATCCAAAGGAAAACAGCAAACTAGTGAACCCGTACATATTTTAAAGAGATCTTTTGCCAGAACTGTGTCAGTGGTGCGTACTATCAAAAATCTTCCATGGTTCCTGCAAGTTCATACATGGTTAGGAAACTGAAAGATGTAGATGTGGAAATAGTGATGGTTTTGTGCTTGCTTTCTCAAGCAGAAGTTAGGTACACTGATAAGAATATTTAATTTTTTTATTTTTCTGAAGATTTCATTTTGGTGTTCAACACCAAATGCTTTTATTTTGCTTTCTGAGGTACAGCTTTGTGAAATTACTAATCACATACAATAATAATAGTAGAAACAAAACTTCTTAAATCCTCAGATTTTTTGTGAACTACCATGTGCTTCTGTTTAGCTTTCAAGTGCATGGTCCTGCAGATCATAACTGTTTAAAAACAAATTGAAGACAGCCCTGATAATACTTTATGATAAGAACGTATTATGTCAAAAGTCATGTTGGACTCTTCTATACATAAAGCAATTAAAGCTTATTGAAAAAATGTCCATTGCATTTGTTCTTAAATAACTGAGACGCTTCCACACATCATATTCTAATATAGCTTATAGATAGATTTTTATTATGGTATTGCAGTGAAGTGTCCCCTGCATTCTCAGTGTTTTTTTTTTTTTAATTCTCAAGCAAATTAGGATTTGTGTGTTGTATCGTAGATGTGTTTAGGCATAAATGTGTTTTCATAGTAAACATCGATATAGATGCTATTTGCCTTTTGTCTAACACTGATGCAGAACTGTCATTTCTTGTTTTTTAACACTAAATCTGTCTTCGGTATCTATCCTTCATCCCCTGAAATAGGAATGCTTTGAATCTTTACTGAGCATTCTTCACTGGAGTTGGACAACGCTGGTGCTGGGAGTTGAAGAACTTCGTGGGCTGAAGGGTTTCCAATACACTGCTACTCTTCTGGATTTAGAAAGGTTGCGTTTTGTGGGCACTTGCTGCCTGAGATTGCTGAGGGTCTACACCTGTGAAATATACCCAATATCAGGTATTCCTCTCAGTTCACTTATTTCATATTTATTAGCAAATTATGTACAGGATATTTATGGTTTCATCTAAGTATTCATGTAAGATATAATATAAAATAGATCTGCTCACACAGATGGTTTTACTGGAGCAATTAAAAGACTTGTTGTCAGAAACAGGAAATTTTCAATTGTCTGCATAACTAAGTATCCTAGTACCAGTACCACATGTTTACACCATAACCTGTGTTAATTTCCTGTTTGACTTATCAGTTGAGCTCTTTTGGACTCTGTGTCTTTTTTCCATTTCTGTACATGATGCTTGCTGTGGCAGTGAGCACAGTGTGAATTTGAAAGATTATATGTGTTTTTCATGCCTGTACTTTAACAATGCTCATTAAAACGCAGTATATATTATAAAAGATCAGAAAAGTAGGAGTTTTTAATGCTCAGGTTTCTTTGATAAAGTTTAACACCCTTTCGCTGTTTTACTTTTGGAATTGACTTCTCTGAATGTAGATTAAACAATGTTCCTGAATTCTCCATTTCTCTATTTGCATGTAAAATGTGCATTCTAACATGAAAATATTTCATTATTGTACATTTAATGCTTCTGTTTATGTAATCTTCTAGCTACAGCTAAGGCAGTTGTAGAAGAAACCAGCAAACTAGCAGATTGCATTGGAAAAACTAGGACCTTGCTGAGAAAAATTTTATCTGAAGGAGTTGACCATTGCATGGTGAAGCTGGACAATGATCCTCAAGGATATCTTAGTCAGCCTCTCAGTCTGTTAGAAGCTGTTCTTCAGGAATGCCATAATACATTTACAGCTTGCTTCCATTCATTCTATCCAACACCAGCTCTCCAGTGGGCATGTCTTTGTGACTTGCTGAACTGTTTGGACCAGGTACATTAAAATTGCACAAGTAAATGTAACAGCTTAGCTTGTCCTTTTGCTCAAATTGAAGCCAAGTAATAATTAAAACTGTTACTAATTTTTTGCATTTTTCCTGATTTGCGACTTGAATTCTGTTGTGTTTCGGATTGTTTTTTTAATGATTGGGTATTGGATTTGTTTCTGGTTTTGTTTGTTTGGGGTGTTCTCTAAATGTAGTTCAGTAAGATCCCTAGGAACTTTGTCTTCTTTAGCTTCTAGTATTCTCTGTGGGACAGTAAAGAAAAATTGTGATGCTGGTAGCTGTCAGTACCTGCTTTTTTAGTGTTGAGGCTGTGCCTTTATATGTGCTTACTCTTACTGCGTGTTGCCTAAGAGCCATGTACTATTTTTTATCACTCATACTTGAATAATTCCTCATTATTAAGCACTACTGCAGTGTTCTGATCCAGCCAAGTACGTGAGAAGCAGCTGGAAATACTGTTCTATAATCAACGACTTTCTTCTTTTGTTTATTGTGAATGAGCATCCCGCATCTAAACAGTGTAGTTGGTTGCTTGCTTTGCTTGTGGTGAGATGTAAACAGTTTCTGCTTTGTGTAAAGATTCATTTAGCATATACAATTTCAAGGAATAATCTGTTCTTTAATGTATTACTCTAATTAAGTTGTTTAATTATAATTGTTAATTATAAGAAAAGCCTTGTCTTCAAAGGATTCCATAACTTTAAAAGTAATATTAGATAGGTTTATTTTAAAATATGCCAACCAAGAAATTTTAATTACTCCAGTTTTAAAGACCTGAATTCAAGCTTATTAGGGAAAGTAATGTAAAATCCATAGAAAAGCTTTCTCTAAATTATTTTGTTAATTACAATAAAGCTGGAAAGTTCCTTTCAAAGTAGTTTTTCTATTGTTTCAGTGCAGTGGTGCCATTCAGTTCATTTCTTTTTCTGTCTTTAGGATATCCAGGAAGCAAACTTCAAGACCTCCAGCAGTCGGCTCCTTGCAGCTGTCATGTCTGCTCTGTGCCACACTTCCGTGAAGCTGACCTCCATCTTTCCCATTGCCTACGATGGAGAGGCCTTGCTGCGCTCCATGGTCAAACAAGTCAGCACTGAGAACGACTCTGCCCTGGCCCATCGCTTTCCTCTTCTGGTTGCACACATGGAAAAGCTTAGTCAGGTTAGGATGTATTCTAAAAATTTAATGATTTTTTGTACTTCACAACAAAAAGCTCTTACGTATCTACACGTTTTTGCTCAATAAAAACATATATGAGTGTACCTAAGTGTTTTCTTTCTAAAAGGCTTAGTTCAGAAACTTATTATTTTTTACAATTTTCAGTTTCTTGTCTGAACTACTCCAACTCTTTCTTCTTTGGAGAATGTCTAAGCACAATGGTTCTTATCTTGGAATATTAAATTGGAAGAAATATCCTTTGGAGTAGTATTCTGTTGCATAGTTTTTTCTGCAGCAGTTTTTCAGTTTTTTCATGTGATCACAATGTAGACATGTAGATAGATTTGGTGTTTTGAAGAAGAGTCAACACAACCTTCGTAAGAAAAAGTCATGTCCCAAACTGGAGTTTTTAAGGGAGCCAACAAAGGAATCCTAGTTCATACTGTTCTAGCAAAGGTTATTAAACAGTTTCCTAATCAAGGGCTCTTCAATACTGTATTGTTGCAGTTCTGATATTTTAGAATTGATTTATGGAAGTGAGAAATAAGATAAAAGATAAACAATAAAATAAAAGGTAATAATCATGAAAATGGGACTACTAAACAGTATTCTTCAACTTGGATGGCAACAAGGGTATGAAATTATGAATTATGCAAGAAAGGTAAATAAAGGATAGTTGTAGAATCTACCATTACCAGAAATTTAGAGCAAAAGATAAGGTCAGAAGTTTTCTACTCGTCATAAAATACACAGTTAACCTGGGGGACATACTCCTGTAGGCCATTATTGTGCTAAAAGATTTCATGGACTTGAAAAGCACCTGTACAAATTAATGGAGGAAAAAACCACCAGGCACTACTAAATGCAAATACATTATTTGTGTCTTGTATACAGCAGCCTCCTAACTGTAAAAGATGGAAAAGTGTTCTGTACAGGTTTGCTTTGACTGATTATCTTCCATATTTTTTCACTACTTCGATTTTTTTTTGGCATACAAAGAGGTGAGAAAGATAAACCTTGGATTTTCATCTGTTGAGCTGATTTTATTTTTCTTGTCGAAAGCAGTGGATGTCACTGCTAGGCAGAAGACACAATAGGTGCCTAAGCTTAGATTTGTTTCATCGTCTTCATTCAGCAAAGAAAAACTGTGTTTATAATCATCCCACCACTGGTTTTGTCTTACTTCTTTGCATAGAAGATTCTTTTTGCTAACACCAGAACAATAAAGCTTCCAAGTTTCTTGTTTAGACAGTGCAGAAGAAAGTTACATGAATAGGTTCAAAGGTAGCTATATATCCACTGTGTTTTAATGTATGCTTTTAAAGCCCATAGGTTTTATGGCTATATAGTATATAAAGAAGAGACCTCTCCTGGGAAGGACATGTTTATCTGGTGTCCTTCCACTGCAGTAAAAGACTTGTCACCACCTCATACAGGAAATTAAGGACATCAATCTGTTCTTTTGACAAAGGAATACATACTACGATAGCTTTGAGAATTTTTTTTCCACTTTCTAGATATTTCTTATCTTCATGAAGTCACAGATATTTCAATTACCTAATACTTAGAATATGTAAAAGTTAGTGTTTTGGTTTTTTAATAGCCATTGTTAATATTTGTCATTTGTTTTTGTTCACACTGCAGAGTGAAGAAAATGTTTCAGGGATGACAAGCTTTCGAGAAGTGCTGGAAAAGATGTTGGTCATTGTTATTTTACCAGTACGGAACAGCCTTAGAAGAGAAAATGAACTTTTCTCTTCACATCTAGTTTCTAATACCTGTGGGTTGCTTGCTAGTATTGTGAGTGAGCTTACAGCATCAGCATTAGGATCTGAGGTAAAGTTGCTCCAAAATAATTTTTAGAAGTCTTTCTGAAACATACTACATACTACAAATGTGATAGAGGCTGGATGGGTATTTTATAGGTGTGCAGATCTTTCAGAGATTCTGAAATTCTCTGTTGTGAGTAGTGCAGATGTTTTGCATAGACTTAAAAGCATATATTTACTGTATTAGAGAAATACTGTTGATAATGAGCTACTTCATTATATATACTTCTGCTGAAGAATACTGCAGATTGTTTTAAAAAAGGCGCATTTTTGAGTACTGTGCTTTTTGCCTGCATAGTTGCGTAGACATACAATTCTTTCAGGAGGCTATAACTTCATTAAGTGACAGAAAAGTATTTTTCAGTGTTGATAGCACTGTCTCTGTGCTATCAACAGGCTTTTCTCACAGAAAGAATCAAGTTTTTGATAACACCTTGATTCAAGGTGTTTTTACCATTATGTAACAATTGTTTCTGCCCTCTCTTAATCTTGATTGTACCTAAGGCAGAAATACCTTACCTTTATCTAAGGCAAAAATACCTAATCTTTCTTTTAGTACAGCTAATCTGGTTTTTTTGCTAATTCATCCATAAAGTATATATTTAAATACTTTCAAAAACCGAGTTGGATTTCTGATTATTCTAGATAATTTCTAATTATCAGAAATACTTTATTTTTTCTTTTTAGTCAATATTAACCAGAAAGCTAAATAGTGGCATCTTCTGTGGTTTGAGAGTTGACTTTTAAAATTTACCCAGTTGAAAAATCTGATAATTCACTTTGCTTTATTAAAAGTTGTCTACAATTTGGCATTGAATATTTTCTTACAATTGTATTTAACTTTCTACAGGTTGATGGGCTGAATTCTCTCCATTCTGTCAAATCCACTCCAAACAGATTTACTAAAACAAGTCAGGGAAGAAGCTGGAATACTGGGAATGGATCCCCTGATGCCATATGTTTCTCTGTTGACAAACCTGGTGTAGTTGTAGTAGGATTTTCTGTTTATGGTGGAGGAGGAATTCACGAGTATGAGTTGGAGGTATTAGTTGATGATGTAAGTACTCCTTTTGGGAAAACAATTTGAACAAAAGTAACCTCAGAGGTTTTTAAAAGTATCTTTTACAATGTCATGTTTTCATACTCATATTCAGTCTAGGCTACCAGTAAAACAGTGCACTGGTAATAGGGTTTTTTGCTTGTGGAGAAGATTTTTGTGTTACCACAAGCTTCATATCATATCTAGTAGGGTCCTTATCTTGGTTATTGTCATGAACTCTTCCTTTATTACAAGTAATATTTGAAGTATTGGGGGCTTTTCACTTTCTGGTGCTAAATATAAATTAGTGCCAGTTACCTCTTTGTAAACCATGAATAAAATGAAGAAATGAGGTTATAACCAAAAAATGGAAGAAAAGGATAATAGCCTACCAACATGATCAGACCTACAGATGTTCTGTGTGCTGTTGGTGTACTCTCTTAGAAGCAGCATAAAACTGTGTTGTGGCTTCTTGTAATGAAGCAAAACTGCTGTTCTTTTACACACAAGTTGTTCACTATAACTGATGATTCTGATCTCTTCCAAAGGACAAGCATAGGTTACTATGGGAAATTGACCTCTCTGCTCAGTAATTTCCTCTTTAGGGGAAAGGCTTTACTGTTGACTCTGAACAGGTTTTTCATGTTTTTGTTTGTAATGCCATGTGTAAAAATTTATGCAATGAAACAAAAGTTACACAATTGCGTGTGTCATGTATTTACATTATAAATGTATTAAAATGACTATGTTTCTTTGAATCAGAGTGATCATACTGGAGATGCAACTCATTCTCATAGATGGACATCATTAGAATTGGTTAAAGGAACTTACACCACAGATGATTCTCCTAGTGACATAGCTGAAATCAGACTTGACAAAGTTGTTCCACTGAAGGTAAATCAAATAAAACACATTTGTAGGTTTCATACAGCTTCTTTAGATAACAAAATTGAAATTGTCAGTGTAAATTGTTTGGGTTTTTGGATGCACATTCACAAATTGATCTTGACATGTGCTTCATAAAGTCTTGGTTTTAACCTATAAATTAAAAGCTCCAAATCCCATCAGCTAGAAGAAATTAGATCCCAGTTTTTATAATTGCATAAGATAGATTGTAGATGCTTAGTAATTTTAGAGTATTTTTGAAAGTGCAACTTTCTTTATGCAACTTGATATTTAATTTTCTTGGATACCTGCTTGCTCTTAAAGTAATTAGTAGTAATTTGTTGTGGTCCATAGTTTGGGAACATGGAACAGCTCTCATTTTTGTTAAATGCTGGATCTTCTTTATTTAATTTCATTTGTAGAGTGCTTTGAAGGAGTTTTCGGACTCTCCAGTATTAATGTAAAATAATAACTTTCATATACCATGAAGCCATTAGATATTTGTTTTATATTGCAACCTATTTTTGCTCTTCTTTTTAAGGAAAATGTGAAGTATGCAGTTCGTTTGAGGAATTACGGAAGCCGGACTGCCAATGGAGATGGTGGAATGACCACGGTTCAGTGTCCAGATGGTGTAACCTTTACATTCAGTACGTGTAGTCTGAGCAGTAATGGCACCAACCAAACACGAGGACAAATCCCACAGATCCTTTATTACAGGTTTGTGTGTTGTAATAATTCATTTCTAAGGAAAATGAATGGAACCATCACAGTGCTATTATACCACACCTGTTTTTAAGAAGTGGTAGAAATAAATCCATCCACATTGTGTTTGTGATGCCTCTTCCAGTCTTGTTTTAGATTCTGGGGTTTTTTTATTTGACAAATAATGTGATGATTGACTTCTTCTGAGGTCCATTGTTTACTACCTTAAAGCGCTAAATATGAGGAACTCATATTTAGATACGCTATTTCAATTTCTGTTTCTTCTATACCATAGTAGATAGCTGAGAAATTACTCACTAGCATGTTTATCTCTCCAAATTATTCAGTTCCTCAGTTTCCAAAAATAATTGCATCGCGTAGTGAAGCAAGGTATATTTATATAGGAACTCCTCTCTTACGTAGAGGTGAAAGGTGTAAAAAGAGAAATTGCAATTGCCTGAAGAAATTCAGCTGAAACATCTGACGGTCCTGCAGGGGAGCTTTACTTCAGCCTTTCAGGATGACAGTAGGAATTCACTTGTGATAATGCTTTCGCAGAAGGCATTGCTTTTGTGTTTGAGGTGCTTACCCTGATTTGTATAAGGGCAGGATTTTCAAACTGGCAGTATAAGGCTGATTAACAGAAGATGGAAGGAATAAAATGATCCATGAATAGTAATTTACTTTTATCTTTGATTGTGTGAGAAGTACCTACATAATAAAAGATGTAGAAGATAAAAAAAAATAATACTACACCAGCTGATGTATTTTAGACTAACAAACACATGAACATGTTGCTCTTAAGAAGGTTTTAAAGAAAGTAAAACATGAAGAAATAAAGTGGCCAGCAAAATTATAGTAATGTTATATTTGAAGATATAAGATAGTTCTAAACTACCTTAAAACATGAGATTGTGATCGAAGATCCAGCTTGTCAGTAAAAACAGTAATTGCTTAATAAAGAATGGAATTGCAGTGGTGCAGATCATGATACTTTAATTGATTTAGTATCCTGGAAACTTGGACTTCATAATGAAGTATTATAATTGGAAAGTGCCATTATGTAAGAAGGATGAAAGAAAGACATGGAAAACATCTATTTTTCACTCCTAGATTGTCTGCCTTTATACAGGCAGAAGAGAAAATTAAAGAGAAATAACAATTTCTTTGATTTCAGAAAAGCAAAGGACATAATTTCAGTAATGGAAACTTCAAGACATTCTAACAGTAATAAATTAACATATGAAAAATTCCCACACCAAAGTCCTGTCTTCAGATCAGAGCAGTCTCAGTTTTTTTTGTTTCAGCTGGTAAAATTCAAAGAGGCTTTCGAAAGCCTAGTGGTACAAGTTGGAACTGTTACAGAATAAATTGTGTTGAAAAAAATTGCAGCTGCTGTGCTGTAATCACAATGTCTTTGTAGTTTGCATGGACAAGATAAATTTATCTATTGCATTATTATGCTTGTGGACTTAGTATGAAGACTCACTGTTTGATATATAATGATTTGACGTTTTGATTTGCTTACAGCAAAGAAACAAATGTTCAGTCATCTATTATAGAGCAGCTTGTAAAAGTCACACTTCATTTTGTTTGGAGGATGCTCAGATATCAATAGAAATGTTTCTTAGGCATATGCAAAGAAAGCCCACATACAGAAGTTAACACACTTTTGGTAAGGGCAGAAAAGTTTTGGAGGGGAGGGATTTGTTGGAAAAGTACTCCGTTGAATTGCATCTATGTCAGTAGCTAAAATGAACTTGGCAGACTTAGAATTCCACAGTGGCTAAATAAATAATTTGAAGTAAAAATAGTCTGGGAAATAGAAGTTTAATTTACAAGGGGCAAACCAGAAAAATAAGATGTGCTTTGAACCACAGCATGTTTATTAATAATACCTCTGTTCTAATTGTCTTTATTTAGCTGAAGACATTCCAGAATTACTCAGCTCTTCCAGTCTGTTTTCAATGCTGCTTCCCCTCATCATAGCCTACATAGGACCAGTAGCAGCAGCTATTCCCAAGGTATGCTCCTCAAGAGAAATTAATGAAGAATTGTATGAATGTTATGCAAGGAAAATGTTTACCATGCAAATTTGACCATCTTGTTTTCTTACTATTCTGTGAATTAGTGGTTTATATTTGATGAGTCATGAATTTTGCATGAGTCAAGAATTTAAAAAACATGTAATGACCTTTTTTTTAACTTGAATTGAAAGCATGATAACAAAAAACCTTAAGGAAGCAGAGAACTATGAGAGGCTTTAGTAGTAGGAAAAGGTAAGGAATGAGAAGAATGTAATTTACAGCTTATTGGTGAACATTGAGGGGATGGTTTTTTTATGTTATATAAATCTTATTTTTACAGTAAAGAGCAGAAGCATTTGCTCATTAAATTAAGATTATTTCTGTCAAATTTAGAGTTTGGCAGATATCAGCTATAAATAAAAACGTTTCTTCCTGGTGCCATGGCATTTCTTGCATATTCCTGGTCTGTGACACTCTTGAGATCTGTTATTAGATCTATAAATGTCAATAATCCTTAGCTAGTACACACTATTACCTTTTATTGCTTTTTCATGAGCTCTAAGGTGTTTTCTGACTTTTTTTTAAAGGAGGAGGAAATAGAACTGACCACTTAAAAGCTAGCAGACATGTAATGAAAGACAGTGTCAGATTTTAGTTATCTCATCTTTTCATGGAACTCAGATTTGAAACAACCAAGTGTTTTGCTGTAGATGTGTTCATCTGCTTAGAAAATGTAGTGAAGATTACAGGGAACATAATATTAAAATAAATATTAATATGGTTATAGAGTATAACTGGATTTTGGCTTTAGTATGGTATTTACTTTCTGTGAACTTGTGCTTACCGTTTGTTAATGTTCAAGGTTTTAGTAGAAGCTATTTTAGGGAAAGGATGTCACAGTTACATACAGATTCTTGTTTCAGCTTCAGCGAGTCTCCAAGAGGAGATTAATGTACTGGTGCTTTTTCTGTTAGGATTGTGTAGATGATATTCTGAGAATGTTCAAACAACCACTGAAGAGAAATGGAAGTATTAGAGTATTGTTTTCACCAAGTTATAAGACTTTGTAATAACACTTGTGATGTTATGTTACAGGTTGCTGTTGAGGTCTTTGGCCTGGTACAACAGCTGCTTCCTTCTGTGGCTGTTCTGAATCAGAAATACGCCCCTCCAGCTTTTAACCCAAATCAGTCTACAGACAGCACCACTGGAAACCAGCCAGAGCAAGGGCTTTCAGCTTGTACTACCTCCAATCACTATGCTGTTGTAGAAAGTGAGCACCCCTACAAACCTGCCTCTGTTACACACTATAAGGTGAGCACCATTTCTAAGTATACATGCTGCTTCTTAAAAGCTTTACATGAGTTTTCTTGAGTCAGAATTTGCTATCTGAAAAATTGTTGCCGTGGATGATAAGTAATATTGTCTGATATAGAAGACATTATTATATTATTGCTGTACTGCTTTTTGGGCAAAACTCTACATCAAGTGTAGTGGAAAATAGTGATGTTTTAACCCCCTAATTCAGGTATCTGCTCTAAATCCCTAAATTTGCACAGTATTAGATTTTTCTGCTGTCATACAGAGTTCCTTTGCTCTAACTTAGAGGTTGTAGAAGTTCAAAGTCTTTATAAGTATAGAGTATATAATCACATATCAGATTTTCTTACCTAATGCTTAAACAATGTTTTGTAAGAATACATAAAGTCAGTTCTAGTCAAATTGACATCCAGAAGTAGCAAACCTATAATCAAGAGCCTGAACAGGATTTAAATTATTATTCTACTATTCCAGTGCTTGTCCTGTCAGACAGCAAGACATCCAGTGCAGAAAATGTAGCTACGATGTGATCATCTTGATGCAATAATGCTTACATTTGTCCAAAAAGTTTATGGAGCATGTCTAAAGGCTTGGGTTTAGTAATTACTGCATTTGAATTTCTGTAGCTATATGCTATTTTACTGCAAGCCACATTCACTAGTGGGATTCAGCTGCTCTGTACTTTTCTGGGATTGCACAAAACAGGTATTCATTATGTTCACTGAAGTTTGAGTTTGAAAAAGGTATCTGAGACTTCAATGTGCGCAGTAGTCTGTGGTTGTTTTTTTAATGAACCTGTGCAGGATTCTTAAAAGCAGTCACAAGTGCTGCCATTGCAAATATTTAAACAGAATATTAAGTTACAACACAGGATTCTAATTGAGTAAAGTGCAAAGCATTTCAGGTGTACATAAATTTCAAGGAATAAGTTAGGTTAATGTTAATTAAAAGAATAGCAAAACAATTTTGCAGAATTACTTAATTAAATCACTTCTTTAGACTAAATCTGAGTTAAGGCCAAATGGAAATGAAGAAGCAAATGTAAAAAAACCCCAAGAACCCCAAAAGCTTGGACATAATTAACCTATTGCTTTATTTTAGGTGACTTTTCCTGAATGTGTCAGGTGGATAACAATAGAGTTTGACACTCAGTGTGGCACTGCTCAGTCAGAGGATGTTCTTCGTTTACTAATTCCTGTCAGAGTTGCACAGAGCCTGGGATTTGGACCAAAGCATACCTCTGTTCATGAGAACCTTAATTCATGGATAGAACTGAAAAAGTTCTCTGGATCTTCAGGATGGCCTACCATGGTGTTGGTATTGCCAGGTAATACATAGATACTGACGTAATTACTAGTAATGTGTGTTACTACATTAATTAAAGGAAGCTTGATTTTTCTGCAGAATTATCTTGGCAGACAAAGTTAAAGAAGTGTCTTTATCCCAGCCGGCAAGTTAATTATGTCTGTAGTGGGCTTCTTGCTTGAAGTATTGTTCTGCTTGTTTTTCCCATGGTGTTAATTCACATTTTAGATATAAAGGCTGGATTTCATATATACTTACATAAAAGAAGCACACAAAAAGAGGAGGAATATATTATTAATTTAATTTATCCTTTCACTTCTCTAAGGGAATGAAGCCCTTTTTTCTCTGGAGACTGCATCAGACTATGTGAAAGATGAAAAAGCTTGTTTTTATGGTTTCAAGTGTTATGCAATTGGATATGAATTTAGTCCAGGAAGTGATGAGGTAAGGGAAAAAGTGAATAGTTATAATTGCTTCACCTAATAAATCAGCTAATAAATATTTTGAGGGTAAAAAAATTTGTATCTCCGCTTACGGCTAAGTGACATTAGCAAAATATTTTTAAATTAATATATAAAAGTAATAACATTTTTTTGTTAAGGGCATTATTAATTTGGAATTCTTTAGTCAGGATACTGTTGAAGTGGCTGTTGTATGATTTGTGGCACTCGGCAAAAACATAGTGTGTTTTTATCTGGTATGTCAGTGGGATATAAGATTTCCTGAAATTCTGGCCTACTCTTGCCTCAGAGATCCAAAGGTGTTGGGCTTCTTACTGTCACTGCCTATTGAATGACATACTTGCATTATTTTCCAGTGCTCACTTACACCAGAACTCTGACTCCTTGGAAATGCTGTGTGCATTTAGGCTATCTCAGGTTTTACCCAGTGGTCTCCTCATTTTACCTTCAAGGACATGAGTCATTTCCACCACTGTTTATTGCAAAGGGAAGATCACATTTCTTCACATCCTTGACCCAATTCTTTCTTTTGGCTTAGTTTAAGAGATTACTGAAAACACTTAATATGTTTTACACTACATCCAGAAAAATAAGTCTTCCCTTGTCCTGGGAGTCTTTGGCCCTGTTGTTTCATGTGGATTTCGCAAGGTCTGCATCTTGCTTATATTACAATCCTCACAGAAGATTTACCTCATCTTATTCCTGGATTTTGCTCAAGCTAAATCATGTCTTCAGATTTTCAGAATGTCAAGTTCTTTGGAATATCTTGACATATCAGATAAGAGCACATAGCATAAGTTTATCATCTATGGTGATCACACTGGCTTTCAGCAGAATAAGATTTATAATTCCTACAGATGATCTAATTAGTCTGTGTTTCCTTAAGCAAAAGTTATTTCTATTCAGAAATACCTATGTAGATTCATATGTCGTTCTTTTCCTTTAAAGCATTTACAAACAAAGCTGCTGGCATATTTTGAATGCTCAGTGCTAAAACATGCTAGCCAATAGCTTAAATCTATCATCTAAAGAATAGTTACAAGTAATTGTTTTCAGACATACCTTGTTATTCTAAAAATTTTTGTACTCTGTCCTATGGCACAGCAAAACGTGGCAGTAGCTGTAGGACAAGAAATACATTGCTGAGAAGCTTCAAACTGCGACATAAAGTATTTCTTAATATAAAACATTGTCAGGAAAATGTATTTATTGTCCTATTTTCTGAGACACTAATTTTGTTTTAACTTTTTTTAATTTGAAGGGTATTATTCAGCTGGAGAAAGAACTGGCAAATTTAGGAGGATCATGTGCAGCAGCTTTGATGAAGAAAGATTTAGCGCTTCCTATTGGTAAGAGCATATTTCATTTTTTCATCATTATCCATGTTTTCTGAAATACGAGTACATTCAAATCGTAATGTTGCTTTTAATTAGAGATGATAATACAAAATGGAGTCTTCAAACTGAATTAATCAAACAATAAAGCTGGCAGTATTTTCTACTTACCTTTTTCTCTTTGTGTGTATATGGGGAGGAGGGAGACCTGGTCATTTAAATTTGAATGAACGCACCCCATCCACAGGTAGTGTATGACTGTATGAATTGTATCCCACAGTTTCCTCATGGTACTTCATAAATGCGCAGGTATCATCTTTGTATTTCTCTTTCACTGTTGTTTTTTTTCTCCCCACACTTCACACCTCTGTGTATGAAAAAATACCTGCAGCGTTGAATTCCAAAACTTAAAATTACTGTTTTAAAGTTGAAAGTGACCATTTCGTTTGTAGACCTTATAGCTAAAAATATTTCTAGTGTAACTTTTTTTTTTTTTACAATCAGAAAAGAAATCTCATACTTTTACAGCAGATGCTGCAAATAGAGGTTTGTGGTAACCCAATTGCAATTTAAAATGTAAGGAAAAGTGAATTTGTGGAAATTAATGGATCTGGAGATGGAATTAGAACTTCTAATGATGCAGCTGTATTATGAGTAATATAATTTCTCTTAAATAGCATCAGCAAATAGGAAAAACAGGCTCATAATTTATAATAGGATATCTCTCTGATTGTTTTAATTTAGGAGCACAAATCAAAGCTCACATACTATTACAGTGGAAGCGTGGATTAACGAGAAGGAGAGCACTGAACAGTGTGGAGTTATAATCACAAAACCTTCTTTGTATTTTTAATCCAGTATTTTGCTTGCATATTTGGATTGTTTACAAATTTCTTACTTTATGTTTTAAGGAGGCGCCTCAATTGTACTAGTAGATCTGTATTTCACTCTCCAAAGTACAGGCAATTATTCAGGTTAAATAGTGCCCTCCTCTCTTATTCCTCAGGCTCCTTAGTTTTGTTGACTTTTGTACAACAACAAAAATATTGAAATCCTTAATCTCCCATATTTCGTAATACTTTGTACTTCTCTCTTGGGAGCTTTTTATGTTTGTTCTGTTAAAGTGCCTAAAATAGGAACGGTGACATAGATTGATTGACTTTATGCTATAGAAATATAGCATATTTCATATGCAAATAGAAATTTGAAATAAAATATGCATTTAAGTTACCTATGCAGTCACAGCTGCATACAAAAGTGGTTGTATATGATCTACAAGAGAGGAGGGATAGGTGCATTTCCTCTAAGGAGTTTCCTGATGACTGATCTAATGGCAATTGATTTGTCTGACTGAGAACTGCAACCAAGTCTGTTAATGTTGCTGGTAAGTGCTTGTGCTATATAAGTGTATTGTTTCTCTCAAAGACTACTAGGCTCTCTGAGTAAACAAAACTGGGGAATTATAGTCAACAGTGGTAGTATTTGCAACTGGAAACTACTGTGCAGCCTTTTAAAATGGTTTTCAGTTGTGTGTAATTTTGCTTGGGGTGTTTTGCCTGGTGTCTCAGAAAAACACTGTGGCAGAAAAAGGTAAAGTTGTGGTTTTCTAGAGCAACATTTAAATGCTTTAGTATCAGACTTTTTGTTTTCTTTTTCTGCATCCTAGTTTATGCATCTTCTACCTTATGCTGCAAGTGAAATGCTTCTTTAATACTGTGGTTTCTAATCTGCAGAGCCCTGTTACCTTACTTGTGGAAGAGTGTTCCTTAAGAAAAACCTACATAGAATAATAGAATCAATAATCATATAAAAGACTTCCTTGTAATGCATACACACAGGAAAGCCCTTTTTAGTAGACTTTTCATACTTTGTTATAATTTCTACAGTTTTACTTTTTAGTAAAGTCATTTGTTGTAGTGGATTTATTCAGTGTGCAAGTAGTCAAATATTTGTGGGAGTATTCCTCTAGAAATATTAGGAATAAAAGTGTTTTGAAGGACCTAACGAGGTTAAGCCTATTTTGCTCTGAAGGAAGATGGACCAGGAAGTGATTTCATCACATATCAGGAAAAGTATCTTTGAGAGTTACACCCAAATACTGTTCAGGTTACCACATTCAAATGGTTGTTCTTCTTTCTTGCCAGTTCAAGACGTAAATTTAAGATATCTCTCTTTCCAAGAGAGATCTGGTCTATGACCAAGATCTGATTTAAACAGCAATGTGAAATTGGTTTATGTATTTTTGTATTATTACATTCTTAATTGTATCAATTCTGGTAGTAGTTTATTTCTGAGGGCAATTTTTAGATGTCTTTATTTCTTCGAATTTTAAAAATTGCCTTGGAACTTGATTTTCTTATTCCTCTTTCTTCTGACTAGTAGAATTGCCTGACATGTTTTTAAAAGAGAGTAGGAATATGGTAACCTTATTTGTTTCACTCCTCTGTTAAAAGACTGTTTGGCAATTCTGATCACCCTGGAATCAGACTTCAGAGTTGCATTTGTGAGAAAGAAATACTGTGTAATAGTATGTATTTGAGCTTTGTGTTTTAGGCAGGATCATAATTTATGAAATTATGTGGAGTTACAAAGGTAAGTTCTTAAAAGGGAGCAGCTGTTGCGTGCTTAGAGATACTACTTCCCATAAACCACCTTGACCTCTCAAAGTCTTTCTGAAAGTATCTAGTCACATCCAAAGACTTGCCATACATAGTACCTTGGAAATAAAAAGATAAGCACCAAATTTTTGTTCTGTGTAACTTACGTTGTTCATATGTGTGTGCACTGAACTACACAATACTGCATGTTTGCTATGTTATTTGAAAATATTTCAGCTGCTGATTGAACGGTATGATTCATCATTATGCAGACTTGAAATTTGTAATATAAAAGGCTTCACGAAACAGAATTGAATCTCATATTTTGTAATGTGTAGATGATACAACTGCTACATTTTTCCAGCAGGTAGTGAGTTTGAAGAAGATCTTGAGATACTTGAAGAGGCTGCCTTACAGGTATGCTGCAGCTTTTTATCCATTGCAATGCACTTAAGCACAAAATTGCATTGAAACTGAGTGCTACAGAAGAAAATAATTTGTAAGGCTTCTATCATAGAATGGAATCCAGTTTATTATTTAACAGTTTAAGAAAATCATACAGAATTTTACTATTTAAATGAAATAATTTTTTATAATGAATCTGCTTGGAAAAAAATACATAGGACATTAGATGACCAAGTATTTAAAAATATCTGTTTGGCTGAAATTGCAGTATTTGGCAAGTTTTAAATGTTACCAAAATCAGTTTTCTGCATGTCTTTGTAATTAGAGTAATAAAATCACTTTTTCAGCTAAGCAGTGATGTTAATCAAGTCCCAAATAATAGGATTGCAGTCGTTCTGCTTTGCTGATGGACTTTTATTGAGTACAGTGGGAGTTAATGCTGAATCTCCTTCAACTCAAGGTCATTTAATGTATTTTGGCATAAAGTATTGTTTAATAGACTGAGATGGCTTTTTTTTAAAGCTTTTATCAGGGTGAAGTTTATTCTTCTTGAATGGTTTTAAATACTCAAAATGTTTTTACCAACTGTGTCACGTTATGGGAAAATGTGAACACGTTACTGAAAAGCTTTTCTATGTCTTTCTTTTCACCCCCAACCTCTGCCAAAAAAACCAAAAAGGTGTGCAAAGCTCATTCAGGCATTCTTGGAAAAGGCTTGGCACTATCTCACTCACCAACCATTTTGGAAGCTCTCGAAGGAAGTCTTCCCCTGCAGGTACAAAGCAACGAGCAGTCGTTTCTGGAAGATTTCATTGCTTGTGTTCCAGGATCAAGTGGTGGACGACTTGCAAGGTAAAACTGCACTGTTGATTATCCTTTTAACTGGCTATAGAACTGTCATAGTTATTTTAAGTATTAGTTGAATAAAACTGTTGGGCTCTGTTGTTTCAATTAATACATTAGTTAAAAGCATGTAGGCATTCTGTGTCTTTTCTTAGCTCTGTGTCACATTTGTACAGAGTAAGAATTTATCTTTTGGGGGCTGTAAGAGATCTTAATGTTAGGCGGCTTTCTTTGCTCTAGGTGGCTGCAGCCTGATTCATATGCTGATCCTCAAAAAACGTCATTGATTTTGAATAAGGATGACATCCGATGTGGTTGGCCAACTGTTATTACAGTACAAACAAAAGACCAGTATGGGGAAGTTGTTCATGTTCCTAATATGAAGGTAATTATTGTAACCTTGGTGTTCTGCTGAATCTTGCTGTCTTTTAGTATTTATTGTAGGTATTCCACAGAATACTCTTGTATGCAACAGAAAGTGGCATTCATAAATTCATTGTAATCAGACTTTCTTACCTCTAAATCCACAAACCTGCCACATTCTGTATTATGCCACCACCATTTCATGAAATTCATAACTTGCCTGTAATGAATTACACATGTGTGGTTGCATAAAAAATCAGTCATAAGTGAGGTTGGATGGTGATGATGTATTAAAGTGACAAGAATCACTTTTTTAATTTGTAAGCCAGGAAAGAGTGTTATAAACCATAGACTTTGGGATGGGAAAAAAGAATCAGAAGCACACTGATGGACCACCTTATAGTTACTTTATTTTAGAGTAGAACAATACTCTTGCCTTTTCTGTTTCTCGTACTTGGAAGTTCCTGTAGTCCTTGCAGTTAATAAGGATAACTGGCAGGGACTGGTGTTCCCGTGTTTGCCTTCAGCCTTGTCAGTTAACCACTGTTTTTCAGTCCTGGAAAGGATATGTTCTTCACAGCCTCAGGTAGAGTTAGAAGAATTCTGTGCATTTTGGGGTAAAACCTATGTGGAATGTATAAAAGTGGGCTGTTTGATTTGAAGTAGTAAAGCTATGCAAACAAAACAAACACAAAATGGTTTTCATGTAGTTCTAATAAATTAGGTTACTTCTGTGATTTAAAGCTTACTGCTACTGTGGAGTAGTTGGTTTTGTTCAAGCCCAAGTGCAGATGAAATACTTTTTACAAAGGCAAGATTCCTGTGAGAAAAGCTCTCAAATCTGTTCTTTGTATATGATGTAATAATTGAGTTTTCTTACAGTGAGCTGTAAATGTAATAATGAACAGCAGTTCTACAACAGTAACACAAGAATCAGCTTAGTCACAAACACTGCTTGAGTGAAAGTTGTGTGATTACTGACTTATATTAGTGACAGAACAAGTGGAAGACTCTCAGTAGTGATTTTATCCTATCAGTCAGGAAAATGATATGTCAAAATATGATGAAAAATTATTACTGGTTTTATTATTTAATTACTGTTCACAAATGTATTAAAGTAACAAAAACCTTACCTCCATTAGTGGAGATCTGTGCTACCTCTGGGGGAAAAAGTCAGTTAAAACATGCATTGAAGTGCACAATATAAATGCGCAGTGCTGACTGTGAGGTGGCAGAGCTGGCCAGAATCCAGTCTGGCTGATGCAGGTCTTGGAAGGCTCTCCTCCTTTGTGGTGCTTTTCTGTTCTGGGAAAACTTCCCTAGGCATACCAGACTGTGTGCTGCCAGCCAGGGAGTGCAGAAGTGACACCAGCCTGTGCTGATGGTGGAGTCAGTTGGGTGCTTCTCCCCTGCCCATTGGCATCTTCCCAAGATGCTGTGCTTGGCTTTGCAGGTTAATGTAGATAACATTGGGTTTTGACACAGCTGGAGTTACAGGGAGGGCTCTAAGCAGTTTGTCACTGCACTGCATCAAATTTAAAAGAAATGTGTGTGTGTGTGTGTGTTCTCACTAAATCATATTCCCTCTTCCACATCTTATTACAGGTGGAAGTCAAAGCTATTCCTGTTTCTCAGAAAAAAACATCTTTGCAACAAGAACAAGTTAAGAAAGTGCAGCGGATACCAGGCAGTCCTGCAACAGCTGTTTCCCCTAGCAGTGATATGACCTTTGGAGGACTTCCTTCACCAAAGCTTGATTCCTCCTATGAGCCAATGATAGTAAAAGAAGCTCGGTATATTGCTATTACAATGATGAAAGTAAGTTGCTGCAATTTTGGCAATGTTACTATAGAATTCAGCATTCAGAGTGTGTAAAGGTATGCAGCAGAGAAGGAAAAATGTATGTTTACTTTTGGTCCCAATATGCAAATATATTCAATACAAATTGCTTTGATTAATATTATTTCAGCAATAAACTAAATACATCAAAAGGGCCAATTGGTTAAACTCTAAAGCAGTTAGATTGGATTAGCATAAAAAGGAAAGTCGTCTTGGATTTTGATTAAACAGTTTAACAAATTAATCTGAGTTATTCGGGAGAAATAAAAACAGATACTAAAAGGTGAAGGGAAAGTTAAACCAGTATTTTTATTTATATGGAGTTGGAGTATTGCAGTGAATGCATACTTTAAACTAGAACAGGTGAAATTGAAAAACAAGAAAAAAGAGCTCAGCATAGTAAAAAAAGGCATACAAATGACTTATATATCAATGTGTATATATTAAGCAGCATCTGATTAAATTAGCCATTTTAAAAGGATTAGCTCAGACACTTAGGAACAATTTTTAAAGAAGTGAAAACTGAGCAGCTAGTGTTGATTTGATTATGTTATAGCACATGCAGTAAATTTACATATGTGTACCATACTGACCCAGTTAAGAGATGTGACATGTTGTGTACAGCTAAGAGTTGCACAGGCTTAATGAGACAGGATTAGCCAGGAGGGTAGAGAAGGATAATACTTAGCATAATCAGTATGGATTTGTTGTGGGGCCAGAACCAGCAAACTGGCACCTTTTAGAGGCAAAGGATAGTGCTGCAGTACCTGTGTGTAAATAGTGCAGCTGGGTACTGAACAGTGTCTTAACAGATCAATGAAAGAACTATTAAATCAATGTGTACAACAAATGATTTAAGAACTTGCTAAGTCCTGTGCATATCAAGGTGTGGTTTTGGCATTTTTATTTGGGCTGCTACAAATATCACTTCTTGGTTTGATGCTTCTTTTAAAAGTGGCTTGAGGGGATGCAGAAATACATTACTTATACCAAGTTAGATGTTAAATGATATTTCTGATAGCCACTGTCTACAGGTATCTGCTGCTTCTTTTCCAGTGATAGGTGTCAATTCTGCTCACACCACTCTAAGGGTAGTATATCTTGTGATGCATGAGATGCTTTGGGGTAAATTACAGTGGTGCCAAGTGTAGGATGTTCAAAAACTCTTCTGTAGATGAGATTTAATGGAGTGAGGAATGCTTAATATCAGCTAGTTAATGTGCAATCATTTTTAGTTGAAATAAGGCTAAGGGAAAATGAAAGTGGAAGGATTCATTTAAAATCCTCTTAGAAGATAATAACAGTATAAACCTTCATAAAGATAAAAGTAAAAAGACACCAAGGTTAAATTCAAAAAGTGTCTATCTTGTTGAAACATGCTTGATTTTTGTATTTTTTCCAGAGAATCTTCCCAAGGTTCCTTTCAAGTTCAGTCCTTTCCATCCAGAACTTTTGGAATTCAAGGCATTGTCAATATTGTATTCTATTTCCCTGCCTTCATTATTTAGCACACTCATTTCAGTGTAAAATGCAGACATGCCCTGATACTTTCATTTTACATCAGCCTGCACGTTGTATCAGTACTTGATACAAATATTTAATATGATTGTAAAATCTCCCTTCATAAAAATATATATAATAAATTATTACATGTTTGGGGGACTGATACTCAAAACTTTAGTTTTGAATTAAAACTTTAGTTTTAATTGTATCTTTTTTTTAGTTAGTTAGATAACTAACTTATCCAAAATATCTTTATACAGGGACCCAAAATGGCTGATTTGCATATATGTTCAAAGGTTCTTATCCTACCTTTTGTTGGTTTTGGTTTAACAGGAATCTCATAACTCAGCAATTATTGCAGCCCAAAGAGATTCTTGGTGAGGGACTTTGTGCACTCCTAGGACTAGCTCTGTTTTCTTATCTTCACTTGGAGTTGAAAGAAAAAGGATGAAATTTCATTGATGAAGCCCCTGGGCTGGTTTGCAGGTTTTACCTGCAACTTATTTGCTTTCTTATCTTCACATGGTCTTCAGTGCACTGCCTGGATTCAGAAGGGTTTTTACAAGTCAGATTTGAAGAGTTTCAAAGACTTAAGGTTTTTGTTAGCAGTAGCAATCTTTCTTATCTAAATAATGACTGTTTAATCAGACAGTGAAAATACTCTTTCATGTGTGCATATATATTTCTGTGTTTTGAAATTTGTTTCTGATTCCCTCATCAATGCTTGTGGGGTGTGTAAGTTAGATTGATACATTCTTTAAGAAAATGCTCTGCTTTCTTTTATTCAAGACAGTGGTATAACTATTGGTTTTATGTTTGAATTTAATCTATATATAGGCATACGAAAATTACTCTTTTGAAGAACTACGTTTTGCTTCACCAACACCAAAGAGGTAAACATCAAATAATTTCTTTTGGATAGGGACTCATATTAACATGTCCTGACACGTCTGCTTACACCCAGACTCCCAGGTGTGACTTGACAGGTAATCGTGTCTGAAGGTAGAAACACAGAAGTCAAGTATTGTTTCCTTATATGTAGCAATTTTATTTAAAATCTTTTTTTTCTTAATTGTTCTAATGTTGTTTCCTTATTTGTATTAGCTACTCTCTGAATGTCTTCTTTTATCATTTGCTATAAATAAATGTGGAGTAGTAATTTTTCATAGTAAATAATAGGTTAGTACATTGGAAAGGGAAAAACTGTGTTTAGATTATCTGCTAGAAAAAGAGTTGTTTCCAAACTAAACATGATAATAATCATTATATGTTTATGACATATTATTCCCAAAAAGACAGTAACTGTTCAGTGATTTTGTTTTGTTTATGCCTAGACCCAGTGAAAATATGCTGATCAGAGTCAATAATGATGGTACATACTGTGCAAACTGGACTCCTGGAGCTGTTGGTCTATATACCATTCATGTTACTATAGATGGCATTGAAATAGGTAATGAATTTTCACTATATTTAAGCATAAATTTATATTATTTCCACTTTGTATGCTAACACATTTGTCTTGATGCTCATAAGGTTTAATATTACAGTTCATAGCAAAACTTAGTAGCCAAGTTTTCATTCAGAAGCCTTCTAGTTAAATCACTCTTTGTCAGAAGAGAAAACCCCACACACTGAAATAGGAATATATGTTGCAAATCATGTATTTGTAACGTGGTTAGATTACCAGATTAACAGACTCTTTTATTCTCAGCTCTCAGTGTTGAAAGAAGAATGTCTTGTTTCAGCTGAGAGTGACAGAGAAGTATAGTTAAAGGGGGAAAAAACCCCAGCCCAACACTGAAGAACCTAAGGAAAGGCGAAATTGTTCCTGATGATGCTGAAATACATACTGTCATTTGTTCTGGAAAATTGAGGAGGTGTGGTCTTAACTAAGACTCTGCCTAAACTCTTAATTATTTGTACTAATTTTTAAATGCTTTTTGTTTATTCCTTGCTGGAAATCTTTTCGTTATCTTGCCAGTCTTGGGCACTTTGCTATGATGTACTGTAGCATGTGGTGGAAAGAGAGCCCTTCCAAAAATACTCTGTATCTTGAATGCTCTCATGTCAGCCTTATTGGTGATAGGTGAAGATGGCAGTAGAAACACTGTGCTGTAGCCAGACCTACATCTGATAAGAGGGTTTGGGTGAGTTCACAGGCACCAGCAGTTCCTCTTTCCCAATATTGACCTTTTGTAAATACATAGTGACAGTAAATACGCAGTGATAAATGCAAGTACACATAATTCACATAGAAATGGAATGAGATTTGGTTTTATATGTTAACTACAGAAGATAAGATGTCTAAAGTATTATTATTAATGGTTATCTCTGTTCCTCAAACAGAGGAACATTTGCCTTCATAGGAGCCTCTGATGCACTCAGTTGTATTTTTTCCAGTGTGTCATCTCTGGGGCAAACTTTGCACTGCAATTTCAATCAACTACTCTTATACTTTGACACAGGTTCTACCATCCTCAAGCATTGTGTAGGGCAAACTTTTAGAAATGATAAATATAACTGTTAACCATCATTATTAAATAGGTATGAGTACTAATGAGTCTTAATACTTAGCTGTGCCATTTTTCTGCAATGGAACTTTCTGACTCAGTCATTATATTAGACTATGCCCTCTGAAGCTTTGATGTACCTATGCTTACCCATAATTCTGTCAACTTTTGACTGCTTAAGTACTGGTAACATTTTCTCTTTGTTTCAAACCTTTTATGTTCTTGATGCTTGTAGATTGCTTCTGTTACTGCCATGCTTGTGTAAAAGGATGTTAGTGAAACCAACAGTTTTATTGCTATGTCTGGATGCTTCTTTTCAAGATGTTGTTTTTCAGAAGGTCACTCTCTAAAATGAAACAAAACCCACAAAAGAATCTAATATTGCTGTTTGCTTTTAGCAGTAATTGCTGAGGCAATTTCTTTGAAGGTTATTGCTCAGGGTTATGTTCATCTATTACTTAAATTTCTGTATCTTTCTTCACATGTATTTACATGTATTTTTCTTCATAAACAAGAATGTCACTTTCCAGTGACTTCATATTTTATAACAGCATTGGCAATTATATATGCCAAGTTTTACATTATAAGCCTTTTCTGGTTGTATAATGTGTTTTTTTCAGCCTCTTATATCTATGTCTCACAGGTAGCAATTAGCTTCTGTAGCAGTACAGCATTGCATAAGCTACTGCTTCTCCAGAAGCTTTCACCTGCACTTCTCAAACATTAGACTCTGTGTTGACCATACCTTGAAACATAACTCTACAGACAGTATTAGGACACAAAATTACCTGGTAGTGCTTTGTATGTACACTGTGACAGGTATCTAACAACAGCATGAAACCACATCTCTGTAAATTTCCACATATGAAAATAGAAATGTTCAGAAATTAATGCCTTGCACCATGAAGCAACTGCAAGCTTTGATTTTGGCAGACAGATAAGTAAGTGGCTATTTTGTTTACTCTAAATTGTAGCACAGATAAACTGTAGTTACTATTTAACTGATATATTCCCTTCTATTTTTTTTAAACTTAGTCTTTGTTTGCTTATAGATGCTGGACTAGAAGTGAAAGTAAAAGATCCTCCAAAAGGAATGATACCTCCTGGAACCCAACTTATCAAACCAAAAGCAGAACCTCAGCCAAACAAGGTTTGGAGAACTGAAAAAAACCCCAAAACAGATAGTTATGTTTGGGTGGGACTTTTTTGTTGTTTAATGTATACTTTATCATATAATAGTGCTTCAGACTTAAGGATATTTGCAGATCACTTTAATATGCTGAATGGAATGAAATTAATATACTGGAGAAAATGAAATTAATTTCATTTTCTTTTTGTATGTGAATTCATGAAACTGATAGAAGCTCTACAGAAACCGCCTTTGCCTTGGCTTGTCACACACACATATCACAGCTATTGTTAAAGCCACAGACAAAATTTTGCACTATTATTCATTCTATTGTACTACGAAGTTAATTGTACACAAAATTTTACAAAAATTTTGTTTTGTCATGAGCATCTTTAGTCAATATAAAATCCATAACCAGTTTCTTTTAGTATATGTTCCTTCCTTGGAGAATGGCATGATTGTTTTTTAAAGGTATCGTTTCTGTAGCTTTTGACATGCCCATTTCACCTTATCATTCCACCCCAAAGGACAAAAGTAGACACAATAAAGCAAGTAAGCTGAAATGGTGGCAGTGGTATAAGAAAAAGGCCCACATGAGGGAGATACCTTGCACTTCCTCTTAGATGCAAGGAAGGGATACTAAATGAGGTGCTATTTTTTTTTGTTTGTTTTTTTGGGGTTTTTTTTGTAGGAATAAAACTGTATTAAAGTTGTGGAATTTTGAAATACCACAAAGTTGTCTTTCCTGTCCTGCTGAAATTGGGAAAGTGGTTAAGAAATATATGATTATATAAAAAGATCAAGTTTCTGACAACTTCTTACCTATGCAGTGCATCCTAATTTTTTTTTTTTCTAGACTTCAGGATAATCCAGAGACAGTAACTTTGTTGTATGGTTCCCTTGTCCCTAAAATGCATCCAGCATCTGCTTCTACTAACCAGATTTTTTTCCCTGAAGCTGTGCCTCAAATAAAAAATAATAAATGTACTTTTAGTTTCAATGCAACATTTACCCCTCTCTGGCTCTCTTTTTTCGTTTTTTTCTCCAAGAAGCTTCTTTTAGACTTTCTCCCTTCTCTTGGAAGACTACCTGGTTAGTTCATTATCTTAATTAGAACTCCCAATTCCTACTAAGAGATATTTATCTCAAGCAAATTCATTATACCTCCACCCAAGTTGATCATCATATGTGTTGTTTTGCTGTCCCCAAGTTGAGAGAATCTGTTTTGATATGAGATGAATTGCAGAACAGAAGTTTGGTTTGTCTTTTCAGTTATTACAGTGGAAATTGGAGTGACTTGTTCATACATGATAACTCTGTGTTGTCAAGGAACAGTCAAAGTACTTGACAGAAGTCAGTCCTGTGGAGTTCTGAGATGTTATGTAGTGTGTAATCCTCTCCTTGTGTTGTACTGTGTGCATGTCTCATTTCTTGTTCCAAGTTTTTGTCTCTTTGAAAAAGGAGCCATCTTTGTCCTGTACATAGTGTCTGTAGAGCCAGCTGAAAAGTTAAACTGGACCTTTCATGGTAAATCATTTAATCAGTCTTCTTTCTTCTGTGTCATAATAAATCACATAACAAATCAGGATAATTCTTTGTGTATCAACAGTAATATTGTAACTAATACAGCAGAGTACAATTACTGTGCTCCATGTTTCTGAAGTCAAGAATGCAGATTAGACATGCATCAGTCAGAGACAGTCCAGTATACCAAATCATGTTTTGCTGACAAAAAGGGCATAGTTGAGCTCTAAATACTGTTTCATCATCTTTGTCAGCCTGAAATTTCAGATAGTTGTGACTAAAGGACACTAACAGTGCATTATCAATGGTGATCTGCTCTCAGCTAGAAACACCAAAATATTTTCATTGAGGCACTGGAACATTCCAGTTTTGTGGCCAACCCTGACTTAAATTGCAAGCTGAAAATGGGTACTGCAGTATGATTTTATATGTGTACTCTTCATTCTCTGTTATTTGAAGTCAGATGAAAAATCTGAAGGAGGCTATGATAGTGATCTGTATTCTGCAAAGCTTAAATTAAGTAACTTGCAGGAATCTAAATTCCACATCCTGTTGAGGAAAGCATTATTTTTCAAGCTATGTAATGTAAATCAGGGTAGTTGGAATCAACTAGAAGGAAATGGTCCTAATTTAGCTGAATTTGAAGGGTGTAAGACTGGTGCCAAAATGATTGGTCCCTAACATATTTTAATGGTTTCTACCACCCTGACGCAACAAGTAGCTAGCATTGATTGCGAAACAAAAAAACCACCAGAGCCAAAAGCTCTGGGCTGGGGATGGTTTTTCTCACCCCTTCATAGATCAACGCCCTTGTTACGGTTGCTTTATCCTGGACAGCACCCCTTTTTTGTGTGTTGTGTGACATGTATCTCTTCACAGATTTGTCAAATAAGAAAGCACAGCAACACAGCTCTTGAAAACTACTGTGCACTGTAGGGATGATGTACATCCTAATTGTAAAGCCTTTCTGCCTTAGTTCCTTAGTTGGAATCCAGCTGGTGTATGCTCCATGGAAGAACTGCCTATGGAGGTGTTATGGAGTTACAAATCCACTGTGCTATGCAGAAATATTCCTAGCAAAGAGGTGCTGTATCAGAAGGAAGACACAGATGATAAAATTTTTCATCATGGTCCGAAATGAGCATAAGAGAACTCCTAATCTGTTTTTTACTGTATTGTCTGTCAGTGGATCTGATCCTTAAGTAATTTCTAGTTATAGGTTGAAGTTTTTTGTTAACTAATTAGGTTAGCTGTTGCAAAAGGGAAGAAGGCTGTTTACAGGCCTGTGCCTACTCAAAATCTGGAATGTGAGTTTTTCCTCTAAATTAAAGTTTTTAATCCAAGTTCTAGCAAACTGTCATAATTATTTTGTGAACGAACATGATGCAAGGACCCCTAATTTGCAAGACTTTGTTTTTGGCTTGTCTGTGTTTTGAATGCTGTCAGCAGTGATTCAGCTTTATACTTTTACAAGGACCTTGAAAGTCTTAGCTTTGTCTGTTGCGAGAATCTGTCATACGAGTAAGAGGACTGTTAATAAGAAAAACCTTGCACATTTTGGAGTAATTTATGTATGAAATCCTTTGCATGCTTCTGGTTTTGGGTTTTTGTTGGTTTTGTATTTTGTTTTATAAATTATCTTCAGAATAAATATAATTTCTTTAGGGAAAAAAGGTTCATACACTTAGCTCTTACCTTTTGTTATGTATCACTGAGTTTGTTCCTTACACATCATTCTGTGCTTTATGTTGTTATAGATTAAATCCATATTTCCACTCATACTTTTATCACTTTTATCTGTGGAGTTCGAGAATAACCTTCCAAGAAAATGGTTTTATACCATATGGATGGAATATATGCATCTCTGGTTTTAAGAGACTAATAGGATGACTTACGTTTGTTCTCTATGGGACAGGTGGCCAATAATGTTTGAATGGTAAAAAATGTGATAGTGAATAAGTAGGAGGTGTTGGGGTTCTGTAGTAAGTCCAGCTAATTGCAAGGAGCCTCTGCTCTAACCTTCCTGTGGGGGAAAAAAGAAACTATTGAAATAGCTATTTGAAAGATAAAGAAGTAGAAAGATAATTTTATTTTAAAATGACTACTTAAACTCTATAGGTAAGGAAAATATCCAAATTTTGGTTAAAAAGCTGACTAAAGAGAATACTACAGTAGCACAACTTAGAAATGGTAATCCCAGGCTGATCAGTTAAAATAAATAATAAATTTGACAGTGCAGATCTTCAGCAGTGAATGAAACGTGTGTGTTAAAAAAATCATAGGCATGTACTGATTATTGTAGGGCATAACAGAAATATTTCCAAGTCATTGCATGCTTACATTATGGTTTTTTGGAACATTGTAATTTTTTTATTATAGTAGAAAAATGAAGTTATACACAGCAGCCATGGGAAACTAGCAACAAACTGTAACTCTTAAGATTGCTGTCTTGTCACTGGCATTTCAGAATCTGTTAAACCTATTTCTTTTTACTCTGAGAGCTCTGTTCCAATTTTTTTTCTTCCTTACTGTCTTTCTTTGCTTCTCTTAGGTTCGCAAATTTGTGGCCAAGGACAGTGCAGGGCTTCGTATCCGTAGCCACCCTTCCCTTCAGAGTGAGCAAATAGGCATAGTGAAAGTCAATGGATCCATCACTTTCATTGATGAGGTAATCCATAAGACATTTCTGTTGAAAATTGGGCTGAGATGTAAAGGTAATTCATGCAAATAATGGGGTTTTTTTCGTGTTTAGATGCTGACATATACAGCTTAAGACCATAAATTGCAAAAATCTAAATTTACTAATTTAGTTTTTCAAGCTGTCATTTCCTTTAATTTACTTACTTCAAAACCTGTGTAACAAACATTTGAGACTGACGCAAGGAAAGAAAATTCCTGGAGTTCATCTTAAAATATTACCTCTTAAGATTTAGCTTTTCACTACTTACTATTTCAACTCCACACAAAAATGCAGATGCAGGTGTCCTTTTCATTACATATGTTACTTAAAGAGCTGAAAGATCACTACTAGTGTGTTAGACTGCTATGCATGTATTTTTCTTACAATATAAATTCATATGCAAGGAATATTTTTGCGATTTGTGAAGTCATACCAGCAATGGAAAAATGGGAAGTGGGGAATTTATAAAGCTTATTAAGGCTTGAGTTTCTTTCCTCTTTTATTTCAAAGCAATTCTTATTACTGCATGATCTGATTTAAATTTATCTTCATGCCTTGACTTATAAAAGGATATGCTTCCCCATTGCTTTGGAATTCTGATTTTGTCAGTATTCCTCTTCACCTCTGCTTATGTTGTATCAGCATTGTAAGGGTCGTTGCTTCTTTGCTGCTATTGTCTGCCTGAAGTCTGTTAATCCTTGCTAGCTACAGAATGGTTACAGGAGGGCATGGCTCGTTCTTGTTGCTTGTTTCCCATAGATCCACAATGATGATGGTGTTTGGCTGAGGCTGAATGATGAAACAATAAAGAAGTATGTTCCTAACATGAATGGTTACACTGAAGCCTGGTGTCTGTCTTTTAACCAACATCTTGGCAAGAGCCTTCTGGTACCTGTTGACGTAAGTAAAAGGTGCCTTTGAAAAATATCCAAAAGTACACTCTATCCTCATTACAAGACTTTCTTTAATTAAGGCTGCAAAAAGTCCTGAGGTAAACGATATTTTAATTATGAAATACAACCTTATATGTGTTTGCATTTTGGAGGGTTGCTGTGTAATGAGGGTGGAGTGTAGAAAGGTGTGAGGCTTTTTCTGTTGAAGCCTCTTCTCCTAGAAGAGAAACAGAAATGCAGGGACTGCTGTAGTAAAAGTAAAATAGTATTAGATTGTGGTCTGCACCAGGTGTTTCTTATGCTAGATAGCATTGTCTGTGAAGTAGTCCACTGGTGTCCTGATTTCAGAAGAGGCTTGCAGCCTACGGTGAATCAATGTAATTGCTGCTTTTTAACAGAACCAACCAACCAAAAGGTTCTTTAGGCTCTGGGTTTTGTGGATTTTTTTGTGAGTTTTATACCTGAAACCTTAAGTTATCACTTCATTAGCTATGCAAAGAATCCTAGAGCTTCAAGACAAACATTGAATTTATAATACGAGTAAACAGAATTTGAATAACTGTATTGGTGATCATCATCAATACAGTTAAAGGTTACACCTTTTCTGGGATCCAATTACGGTTTTTTGAAAAATGTGAAAAACAGAAAAGGGAAAGCTATAGTAGCTCAACCAATGTTTCTCAAAAGATTCATGAAAGTGCAGGTCTTTCTGGCTCATCTGTTTTCATGCATTGCCCTGAGTGGGCAGTACCTTGTTTTCTTCTGGGCAGAATGTGAGAATCAGATGTAATTGATACTGCTATTTATATTTGATTTGTCATCTTATCTGAGTAAGCTGCTGCTGCAATTGAAGATAGTTGAGAAATATTTCATTAAATTAAACACTGAGACCAGTAATATTATGCTGTTCATATTTTTGGTTATAGAAGAACTGAGATATTCCCAGTTCCAGTGAAATTGGGCTATTTGCTAGTAGCTAAATCTGGAAATACGTAATGTCCTGTGGCTGTTCTGCCAAACAGTGATACATGATGTAACAAGGTCTTCTTGTCTAAAAATTATTTGTTTATGTATTTCTATTTGTAGATTTCTTTCAATAGAATCCTTGTTTGTGAAATTATTTTAGTTTTTGATTTGGGAAGCAAATTATTTCTGTACTCAGAAATCAGTCACTCAAATATGCCTGTCATCACAGTGTTTTTATAGTCTGTTGTAGAATGTATGAAAACATGGAAAAATTAGGCTTTAAAATTTTGCCTGTATTTTTTGTCTTAGAAATTGGTTGCAGTTAGAAAATTCCTATATTATATTTCCATTAAATATTAATAGTTCTGTGCAGTAGTTGAATTTTACCAGTTCATCCATGGTAAAAGTGAATTTATCTTGACTAAGTAACTAACTTCAGTAAATATTGTATATCTAGATGGGTATTATAGTCTGGTAGATTTTTCTTAGTTGTGTGGTTTTTTGTGTTGGGCTTTTTTTTTAGTTTAGCTATCTTCAATACCTTTTTAACTTGTTGAAGGGAATATTTTTGAGCTCAGCAGTTGTCTGTGATTAGCAAGAACTTACTGCTTGCCATATTTCATACAGCTCTTGTATACATGTGGTTCTAGGGAAGAGCATATGCTGTGCTCCTTGAGAGAGGCCTGGAAAGAAATGTCTGCCATGAATAACTGAACATTCAATCTTAACAACAAAATTTTGAGAGCTCGAATTTCATGTGAATAAGGAGTTCAGGTGCAATCAAATGTGAAAAACAACATTCAGTTTTCAAACATTTCGTTCTCTATGTGTAAAGTTCAGATGAAAGATTCTCTCTTGGTTTTGGGCGTTGTTAAACACTCTTATGAATTAGTTTCGTTGCCATTTAGACTGTTATGAGCTTTAGAAATGCTTAATTTTCTTTTAGGTAGACGGTCACATGTCTTGACTGACACAAGTTAAAAGTCACATGCTTTCTTAGCTTCTGCTCTGTAAGTGGCAGCCAACACAGCAAAAGGGTTATGAGAGCACCTCTTACAACAATGCAGGCATGTGCAAGAAATGTGTTTTGAGCTACTGTCAAAGTTTCCTTGCATGGCTCTAATTTTCATATTTTTAAGAGGACTTGGCATACCCTGAAACTATTCGGTTTCATTCTGACAGTATATAAGTAGTAAGATTTGTTGATTTGATTCACAATAATAAGAGGAAAAAGGAAGAAAATAGTTCTCTAACATTTTATATTTTAAAGGTGACAAAAGATAATGTTCAGAGGCTGACTTTTGAATGCCTTAAGTCTTTACAGCATGCTAGCCTAGCATATACTGCTTTCTTACTAGATCCTTCCTTTGCACAGATACTGCTTTCTTGGTAGGAAGATGACAATCTTGTTTATGATGATTACTAGGTTGAAAATATTTTGAATTATACATTTTTTTCTTGGATTTGTCCAAAAGACTGTTTGCAAGTTGTCAAATTTGATTTTTGCAGTTCTCTAGAGATGAATGACTTATGTCAAAAAAGATACTCAATTAAGTAATAAATGCTAAAGTTTTGTTAGATTAAATTGTGATATAATTCATATCTGCTCAATCCTGTTGATTTGGGTAGCTGAATGACATGATGAGCAGAATGCAGTGGAAAAAATTGTGATTGTGTGAGATTTTCTGGAGCCAAGCTGTCCAACCAGTTTTGGCTTAAAAGGAAGGCTGGAGAAAGTCTTGTGTGACGGAAAATGCAAAGGGAAGATCAAATGCCTGAGCTAGGCCATGTATTCCCTGTTCAAATAGATGCCACATGACTCCTACTAGACTCAATTTTCTGTTCAACTCTGAGTGGGCAGACTTGTCATCTCCAATTACATTACTTTCTCATGTTTAAATACACAGGCTTTTTATTATCAATCCCTTAAGTAAATAAAATTTCTCAGTACATTTTGGCAAGTATGTAAATACTTTTTTAAAAAGTTTTAGTTATTCTGTTTCTTCACTGTATTATGGAACAGTGAGCAGATGAAAAATGGTAGAGGTTCTCAGCAGTGTTAATTATGACCTCTTTTCATCTTGACATATATTTTGTATCTTCATTTTATGTATGTTTATTAGCATTAACTAGGTATTTTATGATAAAGCAGATACTGAATATTGTGGATCTCATAAATGCACTTTCTGTATTTTTATTAGAACTATTATAGTTGAAGATAAATTATCATAGGAAAGGAGAGATCATGGTAGTTACCAGTGTTTTGTTGATTTGAGCTGTGGTTATTTACCTTCTTAGAATGTCTTCAGCTCTTCTGTTGTCCTTTCACAAGGAACTGCTTTACAGCCCCATATCTGAAATTGTGCATCCAACCCATTGTGGATAATTATGAGATTGTGAATTTAATAGATTGTGATTTTAAATAAGCTGTTTCCATCTCTGATAGTTATTTTTCCTTCTGTCTTATGGTATTCAAGTATCTGTTTTTGAAAGAATACTTGTAAAATTCCTGATGAAGACAGTTATGGTATTCAGGTATCTGTTTTTGAAAAAATACTTGTAAAATTCCTTATGAAGACAGTTACTTATTGATGCTTACACATGGTGCTTAGTAGAAAGATAAATGTGATATAAAACAGTGCACACTAGGAAGAAATAGACATTCACCTTGGTCAGACTCTGCAACTTGTCTTTTAAAAAATCACATTCTAAGTTCTCACTACTTCATTTTAAATTTAAAATTTTATAAGAAGGAATATTGTACTCCGATGTCCAGCTACAATATTATGTTCCCCAGCCACCACAGGCAATCAAAGATTGCAAAACTGCAAGTTTTTCAAGCCATTATTGCAATGGAAGAAATAATCAACATTAGTATGTAGGCTCCAGTGCTTAAACACAGAACCTCAGAAAGCTGAATGTTTTGTGGAAACACTGAAGGACATTGACAAAAAATTCTGCCATTGTTTTAACCATGAGGGAAAGCAACTGAAGAGTAAGTCTATGTTGGATAAAATGTCAAGATGTCTGTTAAAGATAAGTCTTAGTTTTGAAAAATAATAACTGAGGTTTTAAATGCTTCCTAAGGGATCAATGATTTTTCATGGCAGAACAAATTAATTTTTTTTCATCTCTGAAACTTTGAGTTTATTGAAAAAAGTATTAATGTCTAAAATTAGTTTTAGATCTTGGAAGGTAAAGTCTTGAAGGAAAGTATAAATAATTAATAAAAAAGAGATGATAGCATAAGGGCTAAATTCAAAGCTTCTATATAGTAATTTCTTTAGAACGAAAACTTAGCTCCCAAATAGATGCCTGATCTATTCACCTAAACTAGTGTGCACTGGTATGATAGGCAGGAAGTTCTCAAGTTCACAGAGCAAAGGAGAGCTTCTAGTTTGATCTTCTTGGTGTTTCTAAACCAGCATGGTCCCATTTCACTGCTGTTGGTTTCCCTTGTGTGTTTCACACATAGAGCTCTGTGATGGAGAAAAATAGATCTTTGTAATGATACCTAAATATTTTAGGTATGGATAGTCCAAGTTTCTCAGTGGAAGTCCATCAGAAAAAAAAGATATATGCTGCAAAGTAATAGAATCAGACAGTTAAGGTAGGTTGGATGCCTCTGAAGTATACTCATGAGGCACATGTAGGCTTTCTATAGTTGCCATAGTTTTATGTCAAGTTGATAAACCTTTATTTTGCTAATATTCGTATCTGAGACCCTCCTCACCTTCCCCAGTGCCCCAGAGCAAATATCATTAGTTCATGGCTACCGCCTTCAGTTCTGGGTAAAGGTACTCAATTCTAAAGAAATGCTGGTGTTATGACAATTTCCCTCTTCTTTGTGAAAATGGCAGATCATTTGTATGATGGAAACTTAAATGTTTACAAGCAGTATATAGTAGATGTGATAAAAGTGTAGATTTGCTTACTTTTAACATGTTAGGGCTTTTTCAAGGAATACAGATGAAGCATGCCAAGGGTGTTTTGTACTTCTTTCTGCCTGAAAGGATTTACTGCCTTAGCTACTGTTAAATTTTAATGTGGCTGCTGAGCAGGGATTTCATTTGGTTCCCATATCAGGATGGGGTAGGAAATTAGATTTTGATACTTTGATTGATATAGATGAAATGGGTGTGTTGTCAAAGGGATTCCATCACACAAATACCATAAATACAATTGTTACTGCTGCTATATGTATACTATTCTTTCACTTGACAGAAACTGTGAAAATTTCTTTGAAATGAATAGGAACTAGCTTATGGAGACAAGATGGCTTCTTTTTCATGTTTTCCAGTGATTAAAAAATGCTGTCCTCACTGTTTTGTGGGAGGAAAAATTAAGCAGAACAGCAGTGCTTATTTCTATAGTGTGGGCAATTGGTTATAAAATTACTGATGTCTCTCTGGCAGCTATATTTGGGTTACAATTATTCATAACAAACTAGTTAATTCATTGTATGTTTAACATAACTAATGGAATCTTAGCGATCGTTCTCCATATAGCACTGAAATTTTTGGCTTTGGTAAAAAGTACAGTTTTGATGTGCAAACTGGTGAAATCATTCTGTGCAAGTGAACTCCTTTCAGCAACAGAGAGCTTAGCCCTTTCTGCATCTCTTTGGTTCTGACTGGGTGACTAAAATTCTGTGTACACTTGTCCTGCACTGGTTGAAATAATCTTTCAGAACAGGACACCATCTCGCTAGAAAACTGGTTTGTAATGGGACCAGCTACTGTTTCTTTGTAACAGAAATATGAGATTTTTCTGTGTCTGAAGTCTCAAGTTTGTAAGAGATGTCTGGCTCTTAATTTCAGTAAATGGCATGACACACTACATCCATTTTGAGCTTTTGACATACTAAACTGTTTCTGTGTAATGGATGATTTGCCATGGTGAGCAATGGACTCAGGTGACTTGATGAGGAAAACAAAAGTTTCCCCTTTTGAAAAACATTCTACCAGTAAATTTATTTGAGGAGAAAGTTTGCGTTATAGTACCTTGAGCTTCTTCCTCCAGTATTTCTTTGTTCCCATTTCTTTGTTGATATATGTCTCTTTTTTTCAAACTTTGTTGCTCAGAATGTCTTTAATGCTAGCCAAGGAGTAAGGGATTTGGACTTTTTTTCATGGACTTCCAAAGCTTTACCCCCTAAGGTGAGTTAAATTACAGGAACAGTCACACTGTATCTCGTGTTTTCAAAATGCACCTTATGACTCAACTTTATGCTAAATATTCTTTGAAGTCTGTTTTACTGTGACTTATTTTTATAGGAAATATCAGATTTGCATTCAGTGCTGTATCTGTGTCTCTTTCTTCTAAAATGAGAAAAAAATACCCGGGCAGATTATTGGATTTTCATTAATTCATGAGTAGCACTCTCCTTTATTAACAAACCAAATCAGAAATTCAGAGTGGTGGCCTAGTAACATAACAAAGCTTTTCATTTTTCCTTAGAGCAGAATTTGCTGGTAATTTTTTTTTCTGATGCTGGAGGCTCCACATAAAGTTGCGGCATCTAATAAGATGATATTTGTATGAGTAAAGCCACCACACAGATATTTAATAAATACTCTGCAGATTCCTAATGGGTTTTTTATTCTTTAATTCTAGGAACATGACATGTTATGTACAGTTAAGGTGTTTAAATTGACTCTAGAACTGTGTGTCTGAATATCAGTTATATCAGTTCTGTAATGTTTTGAGATGGATTTTTTTTTATGAACTTTGTAATGAAGACCGTAATGTGGAGTACATTTTGGTTTAGAGATTTTAAAACTTGTTTGTCCACTGGTTCTTTTTCCCCAGAATAGCAGACTTTAATATGTCAAGATCTAAACTATGTTAAATTGTCTTTTTTTTTTTCCCCCTCAAACCAGTTTACCTCAGCTTGCATTAACATTGATTGTAAGTGACATATTTACATAATAGAATAATTTTTGTATAAAGGCTTCTTGAAAAAAACTGCTGTATTAGTCTGGACACAGTGCACAGGCTTCCATACCAAAAAAAAAAAAAAGCTGAAAACATAATAATTAAAGAGATCAGAGGAAATTTGCATTCATTTAAAAGTAAATAATGTTACCAGAAGTTTGGTTTAAATCTGACCAAAAAAGTATTCTTCCTCACAACAGGAAGTGAACTACTGGAAGGTATTTTTGTGGGAGATTGTCAAGGCAGAAAGTATCAGCATATTCAGAAGAAATTAAATTTCAAGAAATCAGATTGATAAATAGACAGTAAAGAAAATAGGGTATACCCTGTAACATCCATAATAAAAAGGTTTTAAATGCTATTGGTATATAAGGGACAGACCACTAGTAAAGATTTTTATGCTGCTTCTAAAAAGCATCCTCTGTTGCTGAACGCAGACGACTGAATGAGGTGAACCTCTGGGTTCATCCAGCAGGACATTATGTAGTTTATAACATTCAGATGTTCCTTTAAAAGTACCTGTGACTTTCAGTATAATGGAACTTGCTCCTGCTTCTTACTTGCACTCTTCTGAAATAAATGCACATTTGTTACTACCATCCTCATGGTTTTTTGTACAAAAGCCTTTCAGTTAAGCTGTTGCTGGCTGAAAAATCTATGCTAATTTTTTCTCTTCTTTTAGTAACTACCACTTTTTTTGCTAAGAAATTCAAAGTGTTTTCTTACTTCAGGTTTGGATATTTATTTCATCAGCAAATAGTATGAAATAATATTGAATTCCCTTTCCATAGCCCTGGACTTTAAGAAAATGTCACAAATAGAGCTAGAGGAATGAGTGTGTATCCTGAGAAATGCCAGCAAGGATGAAGGTTTAGTGAAAGCAGTTAGATTAAGTAATTTATATCTGATGTTAGATATGAGCTATTATTTTTATAAATAATATTTTTATAAATGGTTACATTTTTACCACTTTTGCCTGAAGAGTAATGTCAGGAGTAATTCAATTAATATGCCATTTAGAATATTAGTTAGTTGTTCAGCACTGCACACTAAAATTAGCAAGGTAACTAGGATCTCCTTTAGCTTTGAAATTTACCTCTTGTAGTCTTGAAGTAAGTATTTCTTATCGCAGTAGTTTAAAGGTGGTATTAATAGGTTTTATTCTGTTCTGTTTTGCCTTTTTTTTTAATTTCTCAGGAATCTAGGTCTAATGCTGATGATTTTTTCAAAGACCTAAATTCACACTGCCCACAGGAAGCAGTGATGCAAGAACAAGACATGCCATTCCTTCGAGGTGGACCTGGAGTGTACAAGGTAGTGAAGACTGGCCCATCAGGTCACAACATCAGAAGCTGCCCTAACCTTAGAGGTATCCCAATTGGAATGTTAGTTCTGGGAAACAAAGTCAAGGCAGTGGGCGAGGTATGGATCCTTGTAGCTTCAGTTCATGTCTTCATAGATACCAGTATATAACAGTAGTAACCACAGCAAAAGAATCTGCTTCTGTCCAGGTTTGCTTTTCCCCTCCTCATGCTAAATACTGGCCTTTGAACTTGGTTTATGTTAGCAGTACTAATGCAGTCGTGTCTCTTGCCTTTTTGCATTGATTGGAGTAATGTTAAAATTGCACTGCAGTTACCTGTGCTTGCTTATGTATTTCTGTTACAGTATTCCTTACAAAATTGTGTTTCTTGATTGACTTTTGTTCTATTCTTCGAAAGAATTCTGTTTCATGATAAAATGTTTTCCTAGGACCTAACTATTTAACAAATTGCTGTTTCTCTCTACTGACTGTATTAATTTCTTTAGTTGCTGAACTATTGTTACTCTTCTGGGTTGTCCAGTTGTGGTGTTTTATGCTTAAGAAGGGCTTAAGGATGAAGTGTGTCATGCTATTTCCTAAATATAATATCAGGAACAAAATTAATACTCATAAAAACCTTTCATGTATATCTTGTTACTATAATTCTCCTGTTGCCACCATCGATTAGAAGGTATATCTTCGTGACTATTTCCCTCAAGTTTTTATTTAGGCTTATGTGGATTTTCTGTAGTTGTGGTGTTGGTGTTTTGCTTCTTCTGAACATAAATAGGTCTAAAATTTTTGGAATTACTCCTAAATGTAAATATGCCATAAATAGGTTTGGTACTTCAGTCTGCCTCAGTCTGTGGCCTTAATTTAAGAAACTTTTTTTTAACATTTACTTTGTAAAGAAAGATTGAAATTTAATGTGTTTTCCAGATACTATAAATAGTTGCTGAATCTTACTACTGAATTATTTGAGAAGTCAATAAATTCTGCTTTTTTATGTGTGTGCATCAGGTGACTAATTCAGAAGGTACATGGGTGCAAATGGATAAGAACAGCATGGTAGAGTTCTGTGAAAGTGATGAAGGCGAGGCATGGTCATTAGCTAGAGACAGAGGTGGAAACCAGTACCTTCGACATGAAGATGGCAAGTGGTTGTTTTCTTTTATTTTTTTAAATTAACTTCAAAAAAATAAACAATCTAAACAGGAGAAATAAAGAAGTATCTGAGTTTTGAGCAGGTATAACATTAGCTTGTGTATTTTCATTTGAGTTACGTTGCACAGTCAGACTTAAAAGTTGTTTATAAACATTCTTTAAATGATTTTTTTTTTAACAGTCAAAATATTTCCGTATTATTTCTTCTGCACCAGTTATGGACAATAATTTTAACCATCATTTTTCTTTTAGCTCTGGGGTTAATTTTTATGCATATGATTTCCAGAAGGTGTCTTTATGAAAAGCTTTGACTTCAGCAGTTATATTCTGCTTGTATTTTTAGGTCACACTTACTGTCAGCCTCTTATTTGTTCATTTTAACAGACTCTTTGCCATTTTTCTGGTTTTGATATTTGGTGCTGAAATTAATTTCACACATAGGTACTCTAACCATTATCATCACATTACTGTATTAGAACAAAGCAATTCCATGCTAAAACATAAGTATTTGCTGTAGACTGTTGCGACTTGACTTTCAGGTGTACAACCTTCTGCAAAGAAGGGAAATAGCCAAGAGTTTTTCATTAAATATATAAATGTTTACATAATACTTCAAACACTCCTGTAAAAGTCATAGCTTTTCTAATTTTACTTATGTCTGATAATGTCAAGTTCTGAGGTGCTCGAAAAGCCCAAGTAGATTCCATAAACTGAATAATTGTGAATTGGAACAGTACCTTATTGTTGAAAGTACAGGTATTCAATATTAGGGTTGATAAATTCATTATTTTCTATTTTTATTCAGGGTTGTTTGCTTTTCCATTAGAAAATAATTTATCTGAAATTAATACATTACTCAGTGTGCAAAAATTTCTATTGCAGAGTGCTTATTTTGAGAAATAACTTGACATTTAAATAACTTGACAGTATTTTTCATTTTTAAGTAGTCTTGTCATCTTCAGTATTTGACCTATCATTTAATGTTGTCTTAAATTTCTCAAAGTATATATGTGCTCTAAGAAAGAATTCACAAATCAGGAAGACTTTAAACCTTGTTTGAAGGTGTGTCTTCAAATTCTTGATCAAATTTTTGATACTTAGGCACAGTTACTGAAGGACATCTTGGAATATAGAATTGCTCTCACAGAAAAACCGAAATGCAAGCTCCAGGCTTTGAGGACAAAACTCTGTAGTGGGATTTCTGCAATACAGCTCATAGAAATACCATCTTAGAAATACCATCTTAGAAACTTTCTGATACGAATCCCGTGCCTCAATATACCTGTTTTTAATCTTTTCTAAATGAGTCTCTTTTTACAGGTAGGGTGAAGATGGATGTCTCCTCTGCATCCAGCTAAAGCAGTTTAAGCAGCTATCAATGCAATTACTGAGATTTTTCAACCTTTTCTAGGTTCCTAGTCCACCTCAGTGCCATGTAAAATTTCATGCACTTAAGCCGTATCTGAAAGTTAGCTTAAACTGATTGTTCTTATTTGCAATGAAATTATTTCAGAATAATTTATCATCAGTTTCAATGCTTTTGGTAGAGGGAATTAATAAGAATCTGCAGGAGCTCTAGCTAGATTTGCAAATGTCCATTTTTTTATCCATGAATAACACCATCTTTCACATTACATTCATATTTTCATTATTTAATAAAATTATAACTACATTCCCATAATGAGTAGGGTTTCTGTCAGAGAAAAGGCAGAAGTCTGAATAGCTAGTTCTGTAGCCAGGTATCCAGTAAAGTACTACAGCAAGATCTAGAGTAGCTCTGATTGAAAAAATTCTAGATCCTTTCTTTTATAAACTGACTTTAAATTTCCGGCTTTCCCTCATAATTTGTTTTTAACTTGAATAAGTTATGTAGAGTGTGTACTCTGAAATGCTTTTGTCCTGAAATGCAGTTTTTTAAAAATTGCTTTCTAAAGAGTTGTGGGGTTTTTTTTATTTTATCCATATTAATTTTAGTACACTGACAAGAAAAAAAAAATCACGATGCCAGCTCAAGCTTTTCAACCTGCATTTGGGATATTTCTTTTGAATGCTTTCATATATATTGTCAGTTGGAATGATATTTTTGACCGCATAAAGTCAGTAATTTCTCTGTAAATCTAAATAGTCAAGTGGATTCTGTCTCATTTATTTTAATTCTGCTGTAGTTTTGAATATTATTAAATACTCCTTTGGGTTGGAGGTTGCTTTAGTGTCATACAGAAAGTAAAATTATAGTACCCATTTACAGATACAAATAAATCTGTCAGGAAAAAATGTCTTGTGTTCCATGAACTATTGGGGGTAGGCACAATTAAATGTTTATTGGCTCTGAATTTGTCACTCTGAAAACCATCCTTTCTCCCCTTGCTTTGTCAAAGGGATTTTAACAATTGCTGTCCAAAGGATAAGCACTGCTGAATAATGTTTCTGGAAAAAAACAAGTGTCAAATAATGGCATAGCTGGCAACAACTCTCAGTCAAACAAAAGCAGTCTATGTAGTATTAAGTCCTCTGTCTTAATATTTTTAGAGCATGAGTTTTGAAGAGCAGATGGGGCTTTTTTGAAGAAAATTTAGTCAAGATGAAGAGTGCTATCAGTGAAAATAAATATCTCCCTTTTGCTTTGTGACTCATATTTCTAATGTAAATCTGTTACTCAGAGGTCTAACTTTGAAGTGATGTGGTTTTTTTGCAGAGCAAGTCCTTCTAGATCAAAATGTGCAGACTCCTCCCCCAAGTCCTTTTTCAATACAAGCTTTCAGTAAGGGGACAAGCTGTAGTAATGGACAAGGGTTTGATTATGGCCTTGGAAATAACAAAGGTATGTTTTTACACTCATATTTTTAATAGCTATATTTTATTAGTCATTTTTCTGCTTTTTGAGGCACCACAGGTCATCTCCAAAGCAATCGTATAATGAATTGCCAAGTGTTAAAACTGCTTTTTTCTCTGCTTTAGTTTCACTCAGTCTCAGTATTCTGTATGAAAAGGATCAACAAAGATTTGGAAGTTAGTTTTGGATTTCTGCAGTGGTAGGCACAATACTGAAATACTGAAATGAAAAATACATGTAAAACAAGATCAGAAAACTGTTTGATTTAGAAAGCACATGTTTTTAAAAGTCCAGAAACATTTGTCATCTGTCTTGACAATTTGTAAGTGCCTTAAATGGGTTGACAAGATGAAACATGCCATGTAAAATTTGTTGTGGAATTAAAAAAAGAAATTGTAAAACTGAAGTTACCTTGCAGTCACATACATACCAGGTAAAACTGCTGAAAAATAAATAAATTCTATTTTTTTTTTTTTTTACTGATAGAAAATGATTGTTTCTTTTAATCATGGTTTGTTTTGTTGGCAAGATGTAAACACATATGAAAAAGCCATCAAAATAAACTCAATCTGCATGACTTCTGTTCATTTCTTTGTTAGTTCTAGCAGATTTAATAATACAGAAGAGTCTTTCCATGAGGTTCTTGAGAAACATTCCTGAAACGTGGAGCTCTGTTATTGTATTCTTACACTGCTATAGTCTATGCCACTACAAATAGGGGCCTAAGGTGTGCTATGTGTTTTTTAGCACCAACATATATTTCTTCATGGTATCCTAAATAAAATAGCTTAAAACTTATTTTAAAGGAGAGAAGATTAGGAAAATAATTATTCCTAAATAGTCTATTCTGTTAATGTCACAACATCAAATAGTTCTATATCATTTCACAGTGGTTTACTGTGTAGAGAGTGGTTCATACTTGTCTATGCATTGTTATAGGACACCCTCTTTTTTGGACAAAGGCTGGATAAGTTGAAGCATTTTCCTTTTGTTTTATAGAGCCTTTTAAATCTTCTTTTCCCACTTCATCCATACTCATTTCAGAGTAGTGGTGGAATCACAAAAGTGGAAGTATCTAAGATGCAAGGCAGTATTACAGCTTGTCTCTCAATGTCAATTGTGTAATAGTGCAGAAATATTATCTGTTGATTTTTCTGCAAAAATGTATTAAGACAACAATTTTTTTTTCTGCACTGTCCAAATATAAAGTCTTCGAGATGAATATGCTATGTTAACAGGCATCTTGATTTCTGAAGACATTGTGATTCTCTTTACTACATCTTAAGCAGTTCAGAGGTGTTTCTTTGGGATAATACAGTTACAAAACATTTGGGATAATACAGTTACAAAACATTTGGAAGCTACTCCTGGCATTGCATTCCGTACTATTTTGTATGCATTATTTTCTCAAGATACTCTCAAGTTGTGACACTTAGTGTGAATGAACAAGTCAGCTACATGACTTCATGCAGTCTGTGAACTGTATTTCCTTCTGAATTGCCCAAGAGTGGAGAGTTGTTGGCAACCATATTGAAAGAATAATGGTCTTACTTTCCCAAAAATAGCATTCTTCAGCTGTACCATTACTTTGTATGCAGTCTTTCTGTATTCTCAGGTCTAAGAAGCTCTGAGGTTTGTGAAAAATTAAAAACGGAAGGCACAGGAACAATCTCTTAGGGGAATTTCCAAAGGAAGCACTTCTTTTGGAGGGGCTTGTTTGTTAAAAGTACTTCTATACGAATGCCCTAGTTTTGATGAAAATTCAGTCACATCCAAGAGTGTTTCAAAATAACTGATCAAATCTAAAGATCCCTGTAATAGGTGTGTAGTTCTACAGTAGGTAATAGGGTTTCCTACTGTAAAACTGTTAATTTTAGGTTTACAGTATTACTTGCAAGAAAGAAGACTTGACTCCCCCAAAGAATCTGTTTGATTTAGCTGTCTTCTCTCTTCCAGCTTTCTGTGTTACAGGCAAGTTTTTAATATTCCCATGATTGGCCCTACCTACCTCCATATTTGATTGTTGTGGACAGATGACTTTCAACTTCTCAGATATTCTTCCCTTTAAAATAATTGCTCATTTTAGGAATTAGGCACGTTACATTTAAGAATAACAGTTTGTCAGACGTGTAAATCACAGAATGGCTGGGGTTGGAAGGGACCTTAGAGATCACCTAGGTCCAAACCCCACCCTAGACCAGATTGTTCAATCACTTCTAAGTTTTTAAGGTAGGAATGATTGCTGCTGAAAGTAGTTTTTAGGTATGCTACTTCCAAACCAGTGAAATAAAATTGATTCATTGATTCCTATAGATGATTTTTTTAGAAGGACATTCCAGCGATTTTCTGGTATTTTTGTCTTCTTACTTTTTAACCCAAAATATCAAGAAAATAAATTCAGCTTAGAAGTTCTTAGGTAGTACTGGGTTTGGTACATCTACTGGTCTTTCTCTAATTCCTTAAAAAGATACTTGATAATAATCTAAAAATGTAAATTCTGTGTTAGCTGCTAAAATTCTTTACTAGGTTTTCTACAATGCTGTCAAAGTCATAGGAATTTTCAGAATAAAGTGGCATTGTTAGGATTTGTCTGGTGATGGTTCAGATCAAGAATTTGAGAGAATCTCAGGTGTTTCCTACTTCATATTACTAAGTATACTTCAAGTTACAACATGGTGTGGCCTTCTTTCTGAGGCGTCATGTATTTCTAATGCTCACATAGAGTTTTTTGAAAATTGGCATTCAGAAATCAAAACTCTTGATTTTAACATGCTAGTTTTGTTGAAGGCCTTCGTTTGCCTCACAGCAAATGTAGGTAATTCTTCAGAAAACCTGTTCCAGTTCTTAAGTGGTACTCATGGATTTTTAAAATTACCTTCAATCTGACATCCAAAACCAACAGAATAGTTTTAAAAATATTTGCAAAAATGAGCAAATATTTACCAAAGCATTGGCACAGAAATACATTTGCCGAAGCTTAATTACATGTTAGCTTTCCCTTCTCATCAGTTTTTCTAATGTTTTTTCTGCATGTACTGTTGCATGTGTGTAGTACTGTAAATGCTAGGGATTTCTGTTTTTTTCTTTGGCTGCTCTTCATTTTTAAGCGAGGCAAATACAAATCTCTATTTTGAAATGTTTAAAATAATTGCAGTAAAATATCCATGAGCCTTAAAAACCAGTAATATTATTGCCATGCATGGAGTGGGATTTTTATGTTTAGCCACAACCAGAGTTGTATGTGGCTAAATGAGACTTATGAGCTTTATTATCATCATTTAAACTTTGAGTACCATTTTACTCTGCCTTTCTGGAGAATGACAGGTAACAGGTTGTAGTTTTGACTGTTTTGCCCACTACAGGTGACCAACTGAGTGCCATACTGAATTCCATTCAGTCACGGCCAAATCTCCCAGCTCCTTCCATCTTTGATCAAGCTGCAAAACCTCCCTCTTCCCTTGTCCACAGTCCATTTGTGTTCGGACAGCCCCTTTCCTTCCAGCAGCCTCAGCCACAGCTTCAGAGTAAGTTTGTCAGCCTTACCTGCCTCATCAGTCCGTTTCTGCAGCTTTGATATTGCTGTTCTCAGTTGCTTACCAGCTACTAATCATCCCACAGTGCACCTTTCTGGTTTTGTTTTTTTAAGTTTTTCATGAATCAGAAGCATGTGAGCTAATGTTCCCAAAGAAGTATACTTGTTCAACTATAATTTTTATATTGACAGTATTTTGGGTTTGTATGTGTTTTTCACCATAGACAAGTCATGAAAGTGCATTTCCAATATTTTATGCAATTTGGTTTATAAATAAGGTAAATATTTCATATAGTACAAAATGTTGATAATTCTTTTAACATCAATAATGCACTGCAGTAAGTACACAGGTGTTAATTTTTTTACTTCCTAAATTTCTGGTATTGTTCTGTTTTGTTTCTGTCATTGCTTCTAACTTTAGTGATGCAGCTGGACAGTGGGAACAACTTGGCATTACTCATAAGAAATAATTTCTGTGGGGTGCTCATGGGATTGGCATGGTAATGAAAGTTTACTTGTTGAGGTGAATACCAGCTAACCTGATTACTGATGGGAGGACAGGAAGCTGTTTTGATTAATGAAAACTAAAAGCTCAGCATTCATGATGGATAGCTGATACTGCACTAAATTCTGTCTTACATGCAGAACAGTTACAGCACAGGTCACAGGAATACTCCTTTATCCCTGTCTCCCACAAACTGTCTCTCTGAGATGCCTTAGCTCTTCCTTGTTGACCCTGGCAGTCAGTTCAATGTCTGTGTATATGCAGTCCTGCATCTCTCCAGCTCAGCTTATTGAAATGACAGTGAAGTCTTTCATGTGAGAGCTAGATTAAGGTTTCTAATTCACTTTTATGAGGATTGTCAGAAATCTTTTGACTGTGATCTTCTGTAGTTTTGCTGGGCTTACACCAACATCCTAATGCTTACACCATTCCAGCAGAATATTCCAAACTCAGATAAAACAGCTGATATCAGCACACCCTCTCTGAGAATTTGTCAAATATTTATTCTTTCCCATCACTTTTAGGTTTTTTTTCTGTTGTTCAGTGAGGTAAAATCAGTTACTCAGCTTTGCATCAAAAATAACCCTCATTGTGTTATTTCACATTTCAGATTATATGTCTTTCAGCATTTAGACCTATATTGTATGACAACAAAAGCATCATTTTTGATTGCCCAACAAGATCTTGCTTAATGGATTTCTCTGTCCAAGATGTGTAGATAAACTGTATTCATAAGGTACATCCATGTTTTGTGTTTTAATAAGGATCCAAATCAAATGGAAGCCTTTTGTTTTGTCAGGTAGGGGAGGAACGCTGGTGGTCTACCAAATAAAAAAATGATGAAACTAGAAAATTTTTTTGAACTTGTGTCTGATTTGGGATCTTATCTTAGTACAAGGTCTCAACCAATTTCGTGATTTGCCCTTCCAGAAGGGAGGAAATTGTCACCCT